AGCAAATGTACTGCACAGAGCGAGGTATAAGGGCCAGGTTGGTGTCATATACTTGCTAATGTAGAGTGCCAACCGGTAACAGCAGGTGAGCCCCCTCCCCCCTCAAACACACACGCACATAAACACTCCAGCAATGCCACCCCCCCTCACATCTCCTCTGTGTTTGCCAGGAGTGCACCTGCAGCTTATTATCCAAGCCTTTAGCTTTATAATGTAGCACAGGTGCCAAAGTGCCAAAGCGCCATTGTAACACTCGCACACACACACACTCACACAAACACACACTTACAAGTCAACAAACATTACAGGGATTGAAATGGGCATACACACTTACAGATGTGCAATGATTAATTAATACTATGGTGGGTAAATTCTGAACATTGTTCCCCTCTGGTGTTGGGAAACAGAGAGAGCACATGTGGGGGAGAGACGGATAAATATCTCTGAAAAAAGAAAAAAAAAATACAATGTGATGCTAGATATCAGGTATTTTTTCCCAAACATGAGGGGTTGTTTTACCTTATAAAGTCTGCTCTTTTAATGGTTTGGTGTTTTAAAATGTGCCATGTCAACACACCCCATTAACCCTTTGTTATACTGTGTTCAGTTTTCTAATTTACATTATGTAGAGATGCCAAATGTGTAGTTTTTTATAGATTATGCGTGAAATGATGACATAAATTTACCAAATCAATAAGTCTTCACAGTTTCAGGTTTTAAAACTAACGTGTTTTGGGGTATTTAAGTTCTAAAATTTGTGTATTTTGTATCACAATTTTAATCATGATCTTAAATGTTAAATTTGTACAACTGTGAAAGAAATTTTTAAGTTTGGCATAAAGTTTAAGAGTCAACTCTAAATAAAAATGTACCTACAAACAGATTTTTTGGGATACAAGGCTTTAAGGATTTAAATCCCCTACCATTTTTAACTTCTCTGATTTTTTATTTCTTTTTTTTAATAAATAATTTTTATTTGGAAGTATACAAGCACATTATTGCAAGATATTTATATGACATATTTCCACTAATTTTTTCCTTTTAAATGGAACAGAGCTGCTCTGTTTTTCTTTCTTTTTTTTTTATCATCTTAACTAAGGAAGCACATCATGTCAGCTTAAAAATGTTGATGCTCAGGGATCATGGTGAGCAGTTATAGTAAGATAGCCTCAAAAATGGGTCTATACTACAGATGTGCTGGTCTGTGGACATGCCTTTCATTCACAATATCATGGACTGTTAAAGGCCTAACATGCCAACTCGCAGCTATTTATTATTAATTGGATCAAACTGTCACTGCAGACCCGTTTGGACAGGCCTCTCACCAGCAGTCCTCCTTTACGTCCTCATTATCCTCCATTATGCATTTTTCCTTTTGAACTCTGAACAGATTTTGTCAGATTCAAACTATTTCATCATAATGCATAAAAGCTGATGTAAATCAATTCAACAAATCTCAAAAGGGAGATGTACCGAAAAAAACAATGCTTGTAAACACCATTGACAACAAAATACCAACATTATAAGATAAGATTATTCTATACCAACAATTCAATGACTAAATAAATACTTTGTTTTAGATATGATTTTTTTGACTCACTGAGAAGAGCATTTTTCCAGATCTAATTTCTTAAAAATATAGTTTTTGTTGTGCCATGAAAACATGAAATTAATCTGATCAGATAAGAAAGGAGGTGGGTTTTGAGTCTAAAATGTTTTGTTTTGTAGAAAAAGGTCTTTTTTTGTAACAAATGATATCTCGAGAAGTAAAAGCAGCGTGATTCAAGGCCGTACTCTGTTATATAATTTACAAAACCCAACATTAAGATAAGATCCAGTCCTACCTTATTTTGATCTGCGATTACCAAAGCACTGTGCAGCATTTAGCAAGTTACAGGGGCAAGGAAAACTTCTGATTAACAAGCAAAAACCTTGAGCTGGGTGAGTGAGGACAATCAAACACAGGTGAAACTCATTAGGGAGGGGCAGGTAATCACAGACTGGGAACACAGGAGGGCAGGAAGTGTAGGATCTGAAATGAGACACAGAGGTGAGTATCAAAATAAAACAGGAAACACACATGAAACATAGAATCACAAAAAATAACTTCACTATGGGGATGTGAAAGAGGATAATGAGACAACAACAAAAACTTCTACATACTTCTGATAATGATGGTAAAGTACTATTGATAGGAGCAGCAAATGAATGATAAGAGAAAGATCTGGTTATTAGTATTGACAAGAATGATGATGATGATGATAATAATAAGGTAGGATGGATCATTTTAAATATCACAGTTGGAGTCGAGTCACTTTGAAGTTAACATTAGCATTATAACAGTGATAATAATGGTGAGGCTGATATCTATAGTTGCAGCATTTAGAATCAGGCAGGTCCACAGCATCAGGTCAATCCATCCATTTGGTACTGCTTATACCGTTGAGGGGTCGCGGTGGGGCTGAAGCCTATCTCAGCATCTTGGGGCAAAGGGAGGGGACACCTTGGACAAGTCGCAAGTTCATCACAGGGCTGATATACGGAGACGAACAACCATCCACACTCACATTCACACTTATGGTCAATTTGAAAGTGACCAAATAACCTAACCCTACTTGGGCCCTCTATTTCTGCCAATAATATTGATTGTTGATCATTCACACACCTTCACAAATCTCTTTGATTAACATTCCCTGACATGCAAACATACCTTTATCGTACCATTTTTTCTCTTTCTTTTCTCTGCTCCTGAAGGATATGTCCTTTTTTGCGACATTGTTTTGCCCCACAACTACCTGCGCTTTGGATGCTCAGTGCACATTGCACACAGCAGGAGGCACAAAACGGTAGCGGAGCTTTGACATATTTCGACAATAACATATATTTGATAACATATATTTGATCATACAGAAAGCATCACTCATACATGCAAAAAAATAAAAAATATCATTATTATAATATTTTTTTAATTGCTCTTGGGGGCCCCCTACTGGCCCCAGCGCCCCAAGCAGGCACTAAGTTCGCTTACGCCTTGGGCCGGCTCTGCTAACCACTACACCACTGTGCCGCCCCCAGCATCAGGTCATTAGAAATAGTGTTTTGTAGTCTTGCCTGAATTGTAGAGCAAACTGTTCAGGCCGTTCAGGTCTTGGCATGCTTCTGGTTAAGTTAGCTGATTGGTTTCTTTTGGCTTCATAGTATAATTGAGCATCAGCTAATTAACAGTTAGTTTGAGTGTTTCTTCTGAGGATTACCCTGAAGGCATTAAAAAAAAAAGATTCAGTACCGAACCTTGTGGCGCTCCATGACTAACCTTGGTGTGGATGGAGGACATTTCATTTCTGCGTAGAGATCAGCCTGATAATATGATTTATGACTATATCATTTTTCTTTCAACATACGGTTATATAGACCAGCATCCAGCACACATCCACACCAACACTGTGTATGTGCAGTGGGGGATGGGAACAGACTGCAAAACTTTATTGGTTTGTATCTGTACCCACTTTGTTTGGCGATGACTCTGTGTGCTGAATTGATGGGAAACCACAGCGAGCTGCAGGCGGGCTGAGACACTGACCACAGGCACCCCGATCCAGACTCAGTGACAGACCTTGTGGTGACATCTGCTTTTACTCAGGAAGAGCACTTCAGCACTTAATAAAGCATGTAATCACACTGTTGTAACTTGGGAGCAGACAAAGCAATGCAGGCACACAGCGAACGCCTCATATTCTGACTTTTTCTTATTCCTAAATGTCTGTTTCTACTTATCTGATTTTAGTTTATCAGCTATTTTACATTAAGACTGCAATGGAGACCAACAGCTACTTAAAGCCTCTATGATTGATTATAGGTCATTATTGCACATGCAAGAAAGTAATTTACAGCAAAAAACTACTGTATAGTCGTTGTTTTTTCCACATACACCTGCATGCAATTTTCTACATGTAAGTAGAGAAGAAAAAGGCAAGAAGCTGCAGTTAACGTTTTTAATCCTGATGCTATTTAGGAGGGTGAGAGCAGCACATCGCAAACAACAAAGGAGGTTTTGTGGACTTGGTGTCAGCTGGGTTACAGTTCTTCTTGTTGTTATCACCCAACAGGACATGCTGATGGAGCAGACAGACTGTGCCACATTGCTGAAATACTTTGCAAACCAAAAAAAAAAAATTCTCTCGAGTTGTCTCTCAGGTTTTGCACGGACAGAATTTTACTGCAGTGCTAGCCTCGCAGAGTTAAATTGAAGCTCACTTAGAGTGTGTTCTCTGCATCTCTTCTCATATTTCAGCTAAACTGCCTCCTCGCCAGGGCCAAGGAATGCATCAAGCGCCATAAATCAGGGGCTTGATAGGAACTTGGCGGCCGGACAGCAGTGCAGAGCACTGTGTTATGTAGCCACAGTACAGTAAAGATGTTTTAAGGTGAACATTACCATCTTGGAGGAAGAGAAAAACGAGGGGGGAGGAGACTATGATTCAGGGGAGTTTTGTCCAAATGACAGAGCTATGAAAGCCCTTCTCACCTCCTTCAGGCCTTTGCTTTCCTGCACTTGTGAATCACTATGATCACCAGCAGGAATACAGGCCTCAAACGCTCAGTCTGGCGCTGCCTTTAATTTTATTTACGGTTTGGACTCAGGAAACAGGTCATTTATGCTGAAAAGAGGGCCCAGGTGGGTTCGCTTCAGCTGTATCTAGTGTGTCTTTCTTGTCGTGGCGAGAAAAGAGGGAAAGAGTTCATGTGAAGGAGGCAGCCGGTGCTGTGTGTGCCAGGTTTGTTTGTCACATCTCCGCCTGTCTGCGCCTTATGCAAATGGGCAGGGGGCTGGGAGGGACGGCTCCATGGGAAACTGCTGGTGCTAATCCAGCATGTTGAACAGGGGAGGAGAGGAGTACTTTTCAATAAAGCACCCCCACCCCTCTGTCAAGTCATACACACTCACAAACACACACATGTACACACACATGCACATACGAACAGCGTGTTCTCGTATTATGTGTGTGTACGCCTTCGAAACAAACATCACAGGGGCTGCACGCAGACACACACACACGTACTTCCTCGCTCACTTTCTCACGCACACGCACACAAACACTGAACACCTGTTTCTTTCTGCGCATCTAAACAGACATGCTTTAATATGTGAACAAATCCCACGATCTTAAGACCCACTCTCTATCCGCTGGGTGTAATACCAGGGTGCTTTCAATGAGATAACAACAAGCCTCAGTGTGATCGGCCTGTACTACCACCTAAAGATAGACTAATAACACGCTCCAGCCACAGTCCATGACTTAGACTATGAAATTTATGCAAATTTGTGTGGGAATACACAGAGCCCAGAGTACTATTTAGGAGTTAGTGCGTTTTCAGACAGGCCTCTTTTATTCCCCAAGCGCTCTTTAACTGCATTTTTGCGAACTGATGTAGGGCCGTTGTCTGAGATCTTGAGTGTTCCTTCATGAAAGCTAGTACTTCATAGAAGAGATGGCTTTTTTTTATTTTTTATGAAACTTCATGCCCATGGGATATCTCCAAATATTTTCAAGTGAAGTACAGCTTTCCATCGTCATATTAGTTTGAATAGTTTGACATTTTGGGGAATATGCTTGTTTGACTCTCCGCAGAAAGTAGGACCAGATGCTTGATATCATTTGTTAGCCGTGGTGTATACATTTAGAAGATTGTTAGATTAGCTTAGCGCAAAAGCTGAAACTGGAGGGGAACGATGGATGGACGGTGAAGGAGCATGAAACACAAAACAATAAGTGAGCTTTGATTGTGTTAGACTGCTTTTTAGACTTCAAATACAGCCAGGCAGGCGCTCCCCTCTTCCCAGTCGCTGTAAGCGAGGCACACCCTACTTTCACATAAATTACTTTGAATTGTTTGACGTGCGTGTTGAGGCTTCGGCAAAGTGAGACAAAAAGATTGACGCCACTCTTACTTCTAGCTATCAGAGATGATGTGACTGCTAGCTTTGGAAAAATACTGGAACTGAAGGGGAGTGATGAATTAAATAAGAGTACAAAGTGAGTGTAGATATGAGCATTAGCTACAGCTAAAGCTAAATTTAACTATAAGTTAAGTTAAAAGTTATTCAAACCTTACCTTTTTCAGCTTTTAGTCTGTACCCTAAGCTAAACTAAGCTAAGCTAAACTAAGCTAACAATCTACAGGCTGAAGATTCAAACGTCCTCTTTTGCCCGGATATGTCCTCTTCTTTGGGGGTTGTCCAGCTTGTGAGGCTTTGTTGGGTAGTTTATAAAATCCTTCACATGTCCGGAGTTTTATATGGAAGTTTAGAGTGTATGTAGTGTGGGCTAACAGAGTTAGACACACGTAAAAAACACTCAACCCGACCCGAAAACCCCTCAAAATTTACAACAAAATAGTAGAGTCCTCTTTTTGGGGATTCAGAATATGGTCACCATACATTCAACATACACAAAAGTAATATTGAGTGAGCTGTTCCCCTGAGTCCTCATTGCCTGAAGCCATAGGCCTATGCCTTGTAAATCTATTTTTAAGAGAGATAAGCTTGATCAATGTTTTGTTTCCTTTTTATGTGAAATCGTGAGCTCTACATTGTCCGCAAGAAATACCAACAACATAAATCTTTCTCTTTGTCATAGACCAATAAAAAAGTGTCGTAATGACTTCCTGTTAGATAAAATGCATTACACTAATACTCTGATGCCAAAAGACGAAAGGATCAGATTAATTCATTACCTGATTCCAACGGCACACAAGATGAATATTATATTCCTCCAATAAAACTCGGGGATGTGACAGAGTTCTTTGTGCTGGCATTGGCCCAGGTCCAACAGTCCAGCCTCTGCACTCACAGAGTTGTGTGAGAGTACTCACTGTGCTTTCCCCCCTTCTCTCCATCCTCTCTTTGGTACACAGTCAGACGCACGTTCAAAAACCACAAGGTGCCGTTACCTCTCCTGGATCCATAAGAGTGGAGGAAGAAGAAAAAAGAAAAGTGGACAAACACAAAGGCAATCAACAAATCCCCTTTGCTTGAGCCCTGCGAAACATAATAGGGCCAAATCATCATCTATTTAGCTTCGTCAAATCACTGACAGAAGGCCTTGATAAAAGAGAGTGGAAAATATGTAGGGTACAAGACGCTGCCAAGACCCTCACCGACTAGAGCCCCCTATTGAAGCCAGATGTTGACTCAACTGGCCAATTTTGATAAATGGCACGATGATTACCATTATAGATCGGGTAATTTTATATCAGCCTGCCACAGTGTTGGTCCTCTTTAATGATAGCCAAATGAACCCCGGTTTGTGCCTGTAGCCAGGTGGGCCTTCGCCTGTGATTGCAGTGCCTCAACCAGCCATTAGGAGGGCGCCCCTGTTTCGGACAGGACACCAGGTCTTATGGGCATGTCTGATGGTGCCTGTTGTTGTCATCAAGTGTCCAGCCGAGCCCTGAGCCCATCACAGAGGCCAGTAATGAGACTTAATTGGCGCTTTAGCCCGACTTTTGCTTCCTTCAATGTCCTCAATCCCATTAGAAAGGCTTACTAGATCAGAGCTTCACATACTTGACACAGTGACCCAGATGGATGTTACCTTAAATGACCCTCCGAGGTCCCGGTAGACTGATTCTGCTGTGGTCCAAACAAACCAGTCAGTCTCCCATTCCTCAGGGATTGGGGTATTACAGTAGATTAGCTGGAGTAATACCGCAGTGGAGCACGGGTATGTTGGGTCATGGGATCGCTTCAGGACATGAAAACTAATGTTTGCTTTCAGGGGGAAACTGTCACAGACACACTTCTGAGAATCAATGAGATCCAATTAGTTTAATACTTCACGTCAAACAGTCGTCTTCGAGCGGACACTGTCCTTATTCCACCCCTGCAGAAGCTAACCTTGTTTGGCTCTCAGGCTGCTTATAGAAACCTTCCTGTGTGAGGTGATCCTGAAAGCCGCCTAAGTTACTTTGCAGCGTTTAAGAGAAAATCTGTTACCCTGATCTTTTTAAAGCATTGTAAGCAAATTAACAGGCTGAATCCGAATAGGAAATCAAGATCTGTCCATGCTGCTACTGTCTGAAAGATATTGGAAAACAGAAGTTGGTAAATACTAACCTTTTTTTCCCTCCCAATACAGAGTAGCTGTATGTGAATGCTGTTTTAACCACAGAAAAAGTGGCTTCTGCCAGTACTTATAACAGCAGAAATACATTAGATTATTTGGTGCTATATCCTGTGCAGTAAAATCAATTACTCTATGATTCGATTACATGGATGAGCATGTTTGAGATACTTTTTTCCCAGGCAGCTTCCAGACAGCATGATGTAAACTATCAAGACTAAACCCACATATCTGAATGTGTTATTTTTTTTATTTTTAAAATGTATTTCTTTATGAGGAAAAACTAAATGAATTGGGAATGAGAGCGAGTTAACAAAAAACATCTCCTGCTCTCTAAAAAAAATCAAACTCCTCCTCCTCCAGTCGGGAGAAGATATACAGCCTTTCACCTTCCCTAACCTACCCTCCAGCTTGATCATTTTCATACAGCCCCTAAATTCAGAAGAATAATTCAATGCGGTTAGTTTTTCCAGCCAACAAGCTTGTGGCAGTTTACCTTTTCTTCAAACAGGCTGAATGTGGTGTCAAACCTCAAACAGGAACTCCTCCATTTTTAGATCTTGTGTTGCAATCATCCAAAGTCAAACACAAGAAAGAGACATAACAAATAAGTCATTTTTGAAGCATAGCTCATTTTATTGTTTAAACAGTTTTGCATAGGAAATATATCCACTTCCAGTAATTGACTGCAGTAAAAACAGCTGCTAGCAGTATAGGCTGGATATAACAGTAACAATCACAAAAAGTTGAGCCTTTATTTACACTGATTTTAATCTTGTGGCAATTTTAGCCCCTGCACCAAATGTAACCAGCTTGAAGGCATCGCCTTATGCATGGCGTTTCTAAAATCAAATAAAGAAGGGATATCAAGGCCTTCGCTATACAGTTCACAACGGACACCTGTGGCTCCTAAACTGTCAATGAAAAGATAAAAAACAAAAAAGGTTTTCAAAAGTCCTCTAAAACGTACATTCAGATACATACATAGACCTTTGCACACACTTGCAGTGTAACTATGATCACTACTGGAGACTGTTTACATATTGTTTTTGTTGGTGTTGTTGTTGTTGTTCATTTCATATAATTCCACCTTTATTCATGAAGTAGAAATGTGCGCGCAGAGGGAAGTAAAAGTGCCACAAGACCTGAAAAATAAATCAGCCCTGCAGAGAAAACTGGCGACCAATCTTTTTCTTTTTTTCTAAAAAAAGACAATTTTTCATCCTTTCACTCTGTTGAATGTAGCACTGACCCCCCTGCTCCACTCCTTCTCCTAGAAAGGAATAAAAAGAAGAAAAAAAACACTTCCTTTCTGAACAAGCTTGATGTGGGCATTGTGTGCAGAGAATTGAAAATTAAGAAACCCCCCTCTTGCAAACATCAAAAAGGTCATAAAGAGCATATTTCCGATGAGTTAGCCACATTCTGTCGTGTTTGAAGGTTTTTTTTCATGTCACATATGAAAGTCTATCACATTTTACAGTTATATACAACAGACACTTGGACAGCTTGAACAGGCACTGCATTGCTAACTTTTTGTCTTCTATATGTGAATGTTACATCCTGTAAAAATGCTGGTTTCCATGTTTTATAACAACCTGATGCTAAGTGACTAGCAGCTAGCCAACATGTGGAAGGTGTGTATTGCTTATGTAGGATGAAAATGAAGTTCTACTGTTTTCTCTACGTGTGTGTTTGTGTGTGGGTGTTTGCGCGTGTGTGTGTGTGTGTCTGACCCTTTAGTCCTCCACAGAATGTGTGACATTCAGTTAAAAGGGAAATAACACATATTGCATGAGTGCCACAGGTCCTCCTTGCATAAAGTTGCCCTGTTTCGTAATGATTGCAGTGACCGATGACATAATACTCTCTAAAATGATGTTGTTGTGAGTGTTGACATCTGCCTTGAAGCTGCTGACGGGTTGAACACTGATTAGAATTTCACAAATTTTCAACAATTGTTTTGATTGGGCATAATCAGGTCCTGTTAAGAAAGAAAAAAAACACAGAGCCGAAACCTGAAAATGCCGAATAATTTAAGCTGGAAGGTAAAGTACCCAAATACAAAGCACCTGCAGTCAATTTATGTGTGTTTTTATAATTAGTGTCAATGAAGGTTTATTTCCACATCACTTCAGGCATTGACAGCATGTGGAATGTGCAAAATGACTGATGCCTTGATGCTTTTCTTAAAGAGATAAACGAGTGCATCGTCTGCATATTGGCTGAGTAGACCGCTCAATATTGACCAGACTCCAAACTATGTTGAAATGTAGCACCAACAATTTGCAACATTTCCTCTCAATACAAATCAAAAAAACACCAAATTAAAATAAAAAATTGAAAAAAATAATTAATAAAAGAAATTATTTGATAAATTGAGGACGTTTGTCACTGCAGATTTTACCCTGCTTCTCGCTTAAGGTCAGGTGCAATCTGGGGCTTTTTTTTTTATTTTTTTTACTGGTTAAGTGACATCACCTCCCAGCTGCTACAAGGAACACACTCACACCATCATCTTGTTGGACAAGAATTCACACCCATTAAAAAAAAAAAAAAGATCAATCACACTCGCTATGGCCACACTAATGAAAGAACAACATTTCAAATATTTATAAGGTGATTCCCAAATGGAAATATCTAAGCACAAACCAAGATCAGAAATAAAATAAGTAACAAAAAAAAAGCCTTCATTACTGATGTTGTTTTTATATTTATGGATCTGTATAGAATATTTCCCACCCCTTTTTGACTTTACATAGAAGAATTTCACAACTTAAGAATACACGTTTGATTCAATCGATCGGGGAATTCTGGAGAGTTCTAACTCAAATCCAGCCTGCGAATAAACGACCCCCAAATTGAATTTTCCTTAAAATGGAATTGACATTTTTTTTTCCCCCAGAATTGAAAATTTACAAATAAGGGCGTCAGAGAAGAACTCTCAAGAAAGTTTACAGTGTACAAACTCCTGTCCTGTGGCAGGCTTTTATTTTTAATAAAAAGACCCTCATCTTCTCTCATTGTGTAGTGTCAGAGGCACTCGATCACATGTCCAGCTCACAAGTCACATACACACACACACACACACACACACACACATGCGCGCATGCACACTAACACCCAAGCTGCCAAAGCAGAGATCAACCCCACAGACTACTGCTATCGACGCAATCAGGATATTTACCTTTATGTACAGTCTCCTATTCAAATAAACACCAACAGCACAGTGACCCTGACACATTGTTATCCAACACACACATACACACGAAGCACACACACACATCCACTCACAAACACACTTGGGGACAATGCACTTCAGTGGGGTCTCCAATGGCCAAAGGCTGCAAAGCACTTATAGTTTTTCTTTAAAAGAGAAAAATAAAATAAAAAGAATAAAACAAAACAAAGACAGAACAGTGCACATAGAACGGGGTGACTTTTTCAGTTTTTTCTGCATAAGAAATCTGGGTGAAGACGGAGAGATTGAGCTTGACTTGAGGATTCGTTTTTCCAAAAAAAATGTTTTCTGCTTCTTAGCCCTCTGCTTGGTTGTATCTCTCTGAGGGGAATATTTCTTTCACGATTGTAGGGGAAAGAGTGCAAAAGGTGTCAGAGCAGCAACACAGCTGCTGCTCTTTCTCTCTCTCTCTCTCTTGGTGAGAAAAGTATTTTTTATTTTTTTTTACAATAAAAATGGAAAAAAACAATTGTTACAAATAATGCCCTGTTTTACTCCTGAGAGATTTGTTTAAGACTGGGTTCAACACTCTATTCGGGGAGAAGACGATTGCTTATGTGCTATTTAAGTGCTATATTTTTCTTCTAGTGGATTCTATTGAAGCTTCTACGGGGCTGGACAACACCATGCTTCTCTGGTCCAATTTTTTACCTCAGCGTACTCTACGGGGCCCTGCTGGGGAAGTACAGGATCTCAGGAATTGACATATGTGCATATCCTATATACATTTATACAAATCATCTACTTATAAAATACTTTCTAAAGGCTTGCTTGAGCCTGTCTGCATCTGATTTGGACAGGTCTCAGTAGCATTAGTCGGTGTGTGATTGTTGCGCAGGTCACAGGCCACTTCACTGATGTGTTTAAGGCATCTACATGGGAATTGCATTCGGTTACGTCTACAATAGTACGGCGTAGGATTCAATAAAAGCAGGCAACAGTATCCGTAGTTGCAGCTTTGAGGGATCTACAACAAATAAAAAAAAAGGGAAAATGATTTCTTAAAATGATTGTCATACTCAAGTCAAGCCGTCTCTCCTGTGAAAAATGAGCTCCAAGGTCACATGCTAGCACCCCAGGTGGAAAGTGAAAAGAGTCACAGTAGACCTATCAGTGACTTTGCAGCCATAGAAAGACCAAGGGTGCATTTTTTTTTTCATAAGTACTTCTAGAAAAATACCGCCCCTCCCCTAAAACTCCCGAATTCAAAATACACTGGAACACGTCTCACCGTCATTCGGTAGGCCTATATGCTAAAGAAAGAAGAAAAAAAAAGACCTTGTCATACACTGCATAGAAAGCAGTCCCCACTTTGGTCAATAAAAAAGGAAAACACCCACAACAACAACAACATCATCAACAACAACAACGACAAACAACGATATCAACAAAATAAATGCATTACGATATTGTCTATCTCCAAACTAGCCTCTAATAATTGACGCATCTATAAGCACTACCTACATAGGCAAAACTTGGTATTGCATAATTTTCATAATTCTGAATTCCACCCTCCACAATAGTAACTGGAAGATGAACAACAAATGAGCAATTGAAAAATAAGGAAAAACAAAAGATGACAGGTTATTAGAAAAACCACCAAAATACTGAGGAAAAAAAAAAAAATGCTGGTTGATTACAAACTTTAAAACAGCAACTATACACAGCCTTGATATGCAATGTAACTGTGAGATAGAGTAGTACATGAAGTTAAAAATCAACAATTTCATTCAGAGTACAAAACAATTCTTATCATAAAAATGTTAATTTTTTTTCTATAATGATAAATGCAGCAAAAACAAGTGTAGTGATGTCTCTATATTCAAAGGCAAGGCACGTAATGTGGACTATATGTCATCGTGCAAATTAAGAGTATTGGAGATTTTCCTCGTATAAATATGTCTGGACTGGAGAGGCAATGGCTGTGAACATGCCGTGCACATATCTCGATTTCAGGGATCTGCCACCACCTGGATTTATCATTTCAGTTTTTAGCCTCTTCCACTGTAGAGTGAACCTTGCACAAACTGTAGCTTTACACAGAAGCTGACTGTACATTTGCATGAATTGTACATTTCCATGAAATAATACTTTGCATTCCATTTTTTTTTTTCATCGTAAACATAAGCTTTAGAAGCTGATGGCCAAATGCTCTTGATCTTATCCCGAACATTTTTAAGAACATGAAATGCCATTTTTACACACTAAGTGCGTCCCATTTCTTCGCTTATGTTCTCTTGTTTTTTTTTTCCAAAATAAATTAAAAAAAAATCTCCGCATAATGACGGGAGGGGCTCAAAGAAGTGCTGGTTTTGCTCAGCGCTGCACAGGTAGCTTAGTGCTTGCCTTCAACTGCCTTTCACGCTTGATGTTTTTTTTTCTCATGTGAGGAGATGAATATGTGACTGAAATTTATTTCAGATGTTTTCTTAAACATTTTTACCCATAACACCATTTAATATTTATCCCCCTTCCTTTAGAGTCTTAGGGCCGACAGACTGATAGCTTCCCTTCAAAAATTCAATTGCACTTGCCTCTAACGAGATTTTCTTACACTCCGTCTTTTTTTAAATCCTTTTGGAAAGGAGTTGCAAATTCTTTAATGAGGGGTCCGATCTCAAAACCTAACATTTAGTGTTTTTTGAAAACTGCATCAAGAGTTCTCAACTCTCACCGCAAGTGTTTGCATTAATTCTAAGTAAGTAGCAGTAAAGAATAAGCAAAGTCAACACATTTTTTCTGAACAAAGAGTCGTATCACAGTAAACTGAAATCAAACGGAAGTAGAAACACTCTGAATTCACAATTTTTTTTTTGTTCCTATGGTGCACACAGTGAATCGTTTGACGTGGGAAAGCCTCTTTTTAAGAGGAGAGCTTTGAGTCTCAGAGCCGTCCACCAGGCAGAGGTTGTCGATGCGCAGACCTCTTCACTCCTATGTGTGTGTGTGTGTGTTTTTTTGTGTGTGTGTGTGAAAATCAAGATCTTACATCCCCCCCCAACATGGAAAAATAGAAGGAATTGCGCTAAGAGCCTAGAGTGTCATGCAATAAAACATTAAGGCATCTGTACATCACAGTATTTGAATGGACTAAAAAGTTCTGCAAACGAAACAACTGACTGGTGGCTGGTGGATGTGTGGGCGGGGCCGGGGGTGAGGAGACAGCAGACCTGAAGCCTTTTCTTTTTTCTTTCCTCTGAAGCGACTCCCTCGTCCTCACTTCGCGGCCGGTGTCCTTCGCGGGGAAGGGACAGTTAGCTGGGTCGGGGGTGAGATTGGAGTTGGGTAAGGGGGGAAAGGGTTCGGGGGAGGATTGTGCAGCTCGTGCTGCGTTGCTGGTTTCATCCATGGCTGCGGACACCTGGAGTGCGAGCTCTGCACCACCCATCCACCCTGCGGGGTCATCCGGCCTCTGTGTGTTCAGTTCCCTGTCTCAGCGGAGACCAGGGGCTCACCAATGATGTTTATGCTGTAGTTCTGGTGGACATTTGTTGGCAGAATCGGAGTCCCGTTCGACACTTGGAATGGAACTAAGCTCGCCCAGGTACCAGGACTGCAGAAAGAGAGAGAGAGACACAGAGAGAGAGAAAGAGAGAGAGAGGTGGAGAGATTAGTCACATGCCATTAACTTGTTTGTGCAGCATGCAGTCAAAATCAGATTCTTTCTTTCAATTATCCTAAACAGTGCTTCTCTAATGACCAGCATGACTGCTCTGCTGACAGTCATCAAGGCTGGAGTCTTATTTTTGTTTTATTCAGACACAGAGAGAGAGGGTAAAGAAAAAGAAAAATGGCAGCACTGGCTCGTTAATCTACGCTGAGGTGATTCCACTTGATTCCCACTGAAGGACATCATGTGACGCAGGCCCTCTTCTCTGCATTGATGGCAGTATAGAAAGAGCATGAGGGGGGAGATTGTGATTGGTGTAGGGGGGGGGAGGAGGAGGGAGACTGAGGGGTGGGAGGGTGGAGGGGGTCCCTACACAAAGCTGTCCCATCCCTATTCATCTCACGCTAATGGCAAAACAACACAGTGATTGTTCCTGGGGAGCAACGGTGCTAACTGAAAACGCGAGTGGGAACAAACAGCATGTTGTTCCCGTGGGGTGCTGCGCTACGTAGATGTCAGATAATTAGCCCCCCCCCCAACCCCCTCCACCCCCCCTACCCCTTCTCCCCCCCACCACAGGCCCCCAGTGTGCACTCATCTGACTCCCTCCCACATCAACCCTGCTAAGTCTGAGAGTACCTGTGTGGCACATTTTCTACCAAACTTTTTACGACGTGCAGAAAAAAAGTGACGAAATCCGCCAGAAGGACGACAAACAGATCTTTAGTGTTAACATGGATGACAAGAAGAACTAGATGACAGCATCATCTGTGTTCCTAATCAATCGATCTAACCATGAAACTGCAGAAGTGACAGAGAAAACAGACAATATTTTAGATTTAAAACTGTGGGTAAAAAGAGTTAAAAACAACCTCAAGCCTAATCCCCTGAAGCGGTTTTCTCTCTGTTCGACTCGTCCTCATGCTATCCTCTCCCTCCCCTTTTGCTCTCTTTCCCCCCCCCTGCCAAAAATCGTCGGACAGGAAAGGGGGGATTAAGTTTTTCCTACCTTGCTGAACAAAGAGCGCACAGAGTGGCCAAGGGCTGCAGCTTTCCCTTTTTCCCGTTTCTTTCTTTTCTTCCTTTTCTGTGTTTCTCCTTCCTTATGAAACTCCTCTCAGGTAATGGCTGACTTTAGAGGGGTGGCGTGGGGGTGGTGGGGGGAAGAGACCACACAACTACAAGAGCAGACTTACGGGCCTTTGTGCCGGCAGGTCGGTAATAATCTTGTTAAAATCGATGGCTGTCAGAATGTGTCCGAAGCTGCGGTGGATCAGATTTTATGTAAAAACTCATCTGCTATCAGGCTGGATTACAAAGCAGGAGGGGCTGAAGGCTCCCATCACTGCTAATCGAGACTTGCAGCTTCGCCTTATTAAAACCACTTCACCTGAATACAAACCAGGTCCTTAAAACTCCCTCCCAAAGACAGGAAGACTCTCGTAGTTTTTGCTTTGTGAATCTCTACAATCCTGCTACACTTGCGAGCGCATCTCTCTGCTCTCATCCTCTCTTGGTACAACTTGTTGCGCTGTCTCGAACAAATCTGACCTCCATTGCTGCATTTCCTCAGATAACCTTGGCGATGGCTTCCCCTTGCCCTGTCCAAGCTCCCAAACTTCGCTAATTCTACTCCCCGCGAGCACAACCCCGGGTCTACAGCGTGCTTCGCTTAAGGATTAGCTCCCTAAATTAGATTATCTAATGGCATCTTAATGGATTGCTGACCCATTTCCTGCACAATGGCAACATGCGAGTCAGGCAGCGTTTTAATTTGGGGGACAGCACCGGGGAGCGCAAGAAATCGGACTTGTTCGACCTATATGTTTGAAGAGCGAAACATCGAATAGAATTACCACCCGAGATTTATAACAAATTCAACTAAATTCATTCAGGATCTTTTTTATCTGAGCTCATTACTGAAGGAGAGAGAGAGAGAGAGAGAGAGAAAGAAAGAGAGAGAGAGGAGGAGTCAGCTGGTGTGTGAGTACAGTAAAGAGACCTCGAGCTGCTGCAAGGGACATTTTTCTCTGCTACCTCCACTGGCCTATTAGGAGGCCTATTGAAGGGGGTTCTGCCGTGTGCATGTGTGTTTGCAAAAAAAAGTTGTGACTGCACAAAATGAGCCCCACACACACACACACATACACACAGTCTTACACACAAACACAGATGACTTACACTTCCAGGGAAAAGGGGAAAAGGGAGACGTAACAGGAAAAGGCTGAGCTCAGCTTGCTTGCTCTGCCATAGTGAAGCGGTTCAGGTTTTCCCCCCCAGGGAGGAGGACGTGTACAATATGAAACGGGGAGTGGGGGGGGGTTCTGTAGCTTTAAGTTAAAGATAGCAAGCATGACTTCAGCCTAAAGTCCGACAGAGCTAAGCCTGTTGAAAGTAAAACATCCTCACGTGGCTGAAAAGCTGACCTGAAATGACTTCTTTTATTCAACGTGAGTCTAAAAAACACCTTCATCTAAGTTTGTGTTATGAAACAGGAATATTTTGTTTTCTTTGAATGAGTACCAAAGAAAAAAAAGCCGCATTATAAATGTGAATCATGGTGGAAAAGTTGTCATTTCCCCCTTGAAAAATAGCAGGGCAATGAATTACAATCATGAGAAATCTGACAGGGATAAAGCTTTAAATAAATTTGTTGATTTTTACCACATGACACGAGAAAAATGAAGCTGTTAGTTTCCGACGGTTAGGGGGATTTTGTTTTTTTATGGTGCATTAAAACATCACAGAGAAACCACAGAGAAAAAGATCCATTCAGGGGGAAATCTGTGACAGGAAAACACAAAGTCAAAACACTCCTGATAACTTGAGAATGAGGGAAACAACACAAGGGTGAAATAAGGTGATGGATAAGAGAGAGAGACAGATGGAAATATAAGGAAAGCATGACCTTATGCCAGAAGTCAAAAAGGTTTTGACTTAACTGAATGTGTTTATAAGCGAGTATGTACGTGTTTATTCCCAGGGAGTAAGAAAATCAGGAAAATCATAAAGGATAAATGTGCGTGTGTGTGTTGGTGTTGGTGTGGTGTGAGAGAGAGGGCATGAAAGAATGAAAAGGTTACCTTTGCCAAGTAATCCCCAAAGTGTCGTCAGTGGCACTGGGGCCATAATGCCTGCCGTTTTGAGTCACGCTCCAGTCACACTTCCTCAGCTGTCAATTGAAACCTAGCGGTCAGATCACTGGGCCAAGACAACTTCCAACTTCAGATTACAACTACAACTCAACACTGTATACACAAAAAATGCATGCAAGAGAGAGCAAGGGGGGAGCTTCAATACAAAAACAAATGACTCCAGAATTGTCCTAACTGGTCATAACAAAAGTGAATGAATCAGTGTATTCATAATTTGAAGGGGGGAATAACAGTACAAACAAAGCTATGGGTAAAACAGACAGAAAAAGAAAAAAAGCATGCAGTCAGAGTTAGTGGGAAGAGCTAACCTGGAATAAAAGATGAGTTAGTTGGTTTTAATATGAGTGGTTTTATTGGTTGTTTTCTGTGCCTGTTACTGCTGTTAAAGCCGGTGAGCCAATGAAAACATGCGATCCAGAAGGGGGGATGCGTGCACGCTGTCCATGATGGCTGCTTCAGTGTGAGTGCACTTTAAGATTCAGGAGCGAGAATGCATGCCCTCAAGCATGCAGACTTCTTTTTCATTAGCTAACTGTTTTTATTGATTAGGGGGTCAAAATTACAATGAAGTTAAACGGCACACACACACACACACACACACACACACACACACACACACACACACACACACACACAGACACACACTAACCCCCATTCCCCCCCCCCCCTCTTAAGACATGCCAACCTTACATACAGATTACAAATTACTGCAACAAAAAAGCCACACACAAACTGTGTCTCCTTTGCATGCATTATGCGGGCGCACGTGTCGGCAATCCAGCTGAGAGCTATCTCTGCCAATACCAACCTAACCTTGCCCTGTGGTCAACACATTCATTTAGTAATGCATCGGGCTAAAACTGCACTGTTAGCACTCTGCAGGCAGCGGCAGACGTTCTGCAGAGGCTCTTAAGAGGGATTTAATCAGATATATACGCATACGCTGAATATTCAAAGCCATTTGTGGCGGTGGAGAAATGTGCTCTTTCTCCTCTTGAGCACCTGGGCGATCACATCAGGAGCCATGATGGGTTTCTACTTAAGCCATACTTAAAAACACTGATGTGTTTTTGTTATGCTACTTAATTTATTTTCAAAAAGAAGTCTGAAGTAGTGGCAAGAGACGTAGAAGCTAAAGGGGGCTCATTTCAAAAGGCTTTCGATTTGGACGTGATCAGATAAAAACCGGAGTGACAAACAATGCATCATCCTGCGTGTTGTCCCTGTGTTTATTAAAGGTTGGGAGACTAAGCCTCAACAACGCTCCCGCGCTCTCCAGCCCTCACAAAAGCTGGGAGAGAATGTGCGGGCTGGGCCAGACGCTCGGTGCCACCGCTCCTCGAGGGGCTCGCCATCTGTCCGCTGGCACCGGCACATCAAGAGTGGCACAGGCAGGCAGCGGGGGGAAAAAGGGGGACGGAGCCGGGGAACGTTAGTAAACAGATGCGGGCAGATTGTGGATTAGGATCCTTCCTTAGATAATACCAAATGACATCTGATCACGGATCTTTCCCTGCGGAATGCTAGATGGTGGCATTCCCTCGAGGGGTTAACCAAGGCGAGAGATGAATGGAGGGTTTTCACACATTCGCTGCCTGGGAATCGTAGAGCAGGTGTGGGAGCGTGTGCTGGTGTTGTTTTGTTTTGTTTCTTTCATTTAAGAAGACGACTGAATTTGTGTGTGTGTGTGTGTGTGTGTGTGTGTGTTTGATTACAGCCTGCACTTTAACAGTGCCACAATTAGAAAAGAGGCACTGCTCTGAAAGTTGATTATTTACACTTTATAGACAAGTTTATATAATTATCCAGCTGTTTTGAAGTGTTCAAGTATAAAAATCAAAATCAAGGATCTGCTTTAGAGAAAATAATGGTTCCAGTTAGGGATGCACCGACATGATATTTTGATCGTATATCGGCTCCAATATTGACAAATTAACTGGATCGGATATCTGATGAATGACGCCGATCCAGTCTTTTAATTAATATCAAACACAGCGATTCTGTTCACTCTATATTCTATGTCTGTCTTCTTTTTGCACTAAATCATTTTGTACTAATGTGCAATTTGTTAATAAATATTATTACATCAATTTATATCTTTGTTAATTTGTTACCTTTTTTAACAAGGCTAATGTCAAGCCTGATCTCTTCACTCACAGGGCAAGGTATACAGTTCATTCATTCAACAGTAGTATTGGATCGGGATCAGATATTTGCCGATATGCTCAGCCCAGGTATCAGTATCGGGAAAAAATGGATCGGCCCATTTCTAATTCCAGTATTCCTAATTCGTCCTCTGGTACTTTAGTTTTTCCTCTGTTTAAAATAAAAAAATCAAAGGTAGCTTTGAAGGCAGCAGGAAAGTCATAGCCTCTATTCATCATACAGACAGTCAGACAAAGAACACACACCTCCACGGTCCACACAGCTGACCACACTTAAAAAAAAACTTCAGACAAACGTACATGACGTGTTTCCCCTTCCTCTCCAGTTTAGCGACAAACGGCTGCAAACTAAACAACCCCGAGTGTCAGTAAGCCTTCCCTTGCATTTCGCACAATAAACATCCCAACGCCCCGGTGAAGACAATGACAGAGCACTGGGTGAAAATGTTTAGTCCTGAGGGACTTGGCTCAGAGTCGGCCCTGCTCCACTAGGCCAGATCTCAGGCTGTTAAATCATACCGCAGAAAACAAAAACAACTGTGACAAGCAGAAGCATGATGAATCAATGTGAAGACTGTTTGGAGTTCACTATGTCGACAAGAACATTTATTCATGTGGTTATAGAATTACATTTTCTCAGAGAAGATGTCACTCTTCTGCTCGCAAATCTTTCACTCTTTCACATTTGAAGCCTCTGTCCTTTTGATTTCACTCTTCGCTAACACATAAGTCTGAAAATTCATATAAAAATAAACCACTGTAACTTCTTGATGTTTACATTATATTTGTTCATACAGTATTTGTACAAGTGGCTGTGTTAAACTTCAAAATCAAGACAATAAAGGCCTCCAGCAGGTCACGTGGACTGCTGTTGTTTTTACCACCACTTCAATAAGTAGCAGGGCAACAGGAAAATGTGGAAGACAAACTGTGCGACATCAGCCAAGTGTGTCGTCCCTCTCCTCCCCTTTCTCCTCCTGAGTGAAATAAAAGCATCCTCTGACTGCTGACAAACACTCATCTACTATTTTTTTTTCCTTCGCCTTCATTGATTTTAAGGATAAAATAGGGAGCCAAAAAAGCAAGGAGAGAAAAAGAAAGAAAGAGAAGTGAGGAAACAGAGGCCGGCTTTGTCATTTTTACTAAACACTGAAAAAAGAAAAAATCAAGCTGAGGAGAAAAAAAAATCAAGCTGAGGAGAAACCCAGCGATCATTATGTAGCCGCGTGCAGATGCATTCAATTAGTTGTGGTTGGAAAAGCCTTGGCCTGAGACCAGCGCTCTCAATAAGACGGGGCGGGAGGGAGAGCACTCTCTCCCATCCGACAACACCGCAACACTCCTAACCTCGCAGACGCACACAAACACACCCACACACAGACATGCACGGGGTCGCCACATCTGTCCGAAGACCGCTGCTGGGGCAACCGCGTGACGCCAGCGCTAAAAGTTCATCCTGTGTGCTGTAAATGAGGGGAGTGGACTGATTCCATGTGGTGTATGATGAGTGCATGTGTGTGTGAGTGTGTGAGTGTGTGTGTGTGTGAGTGTTCCTTAAGTTATGTGTGGAGGAAATAGAGCTGTGCACATCAGACTCTCCGAGACACCCACATGTCCCATCCATCTTCTGAGTAGTGGCCACACCATGACAGTGCATTTCCTGACACTCTCATTTTTTTCCCCTAATGTAACCTTAGTAACAGGATGCCTTTCCAACCCTAGACTATAAGAAATGTAACTCAAACACACATCAACATTCACACCCCAAAACATGTATTACAGGGCTGCCAAGTTTCAGAAAATGACAAGAGTGAGACTGTTCGGCGAATTTTTTTTTTGCCTTTTTTAACGTTGATTTATACCTAAAAACTGATGTCCTCACCTCCATGCCGGCTGCTCTCCCTAAAACAGTGTTGTTTTCATTGACGAAAACCCTTTTTTTCCACGACGAAGACGTGAAGTTGACGAGCTAAACATAAGTCTTAGATGACTAAAATGTGACGAGACGAATGTGCGTTTACGTTGACGAGACTAGACGAAAACGTTAGTAGTGGACAACGCTAAACATCAAACGCTAAACATATATTCTGCAGTGTTGTTTTCGTCAATGTCATCGTCAACGAAAACAACACTGCCCTATAATGCTAGTTTTAATTAACCAGAAATTAAAAATGAAAATTGTAACAAGAATTTTGACAAAATACATTTAATTGTCAATATTGCATTACGTCGGAAAAGTTTTAAATGTTGGTGCTGTTGTGTGTGAAAGATAGAGACGCCAAGACCCGCCTTACGCTGCTTCTGATTGGTTTATATAGCGTGGTGCCTTCCGTGGTTGGTTAGATTTAGCCACTAATGACTGATGGATTGGTCTGGGATTGGTTATCTCGGTCAGTCAATCAGAGTTACTCTAATTACAGCAAGCCAAGTTTATAATCATGAAAAAAATAAATACCGATTATTAAATGGAGAAAAATAAGTGTGAGAAATGTCAAGTGTGGCATGTGGTGTGAAAATGGGTCAAATTGCGTGACTGTCACATTCAAAGCGTGACGCTTGGCAGCTCTGTTTTATATGTTTGACAATACTGGAAATTCAAGATAGTTTGGCGTACATTGTTGTCTATCAAATCTGTGCTTTTATCCGCATCGATCACTGATACGTAGTAAATCCTGAATGCAAAAATTGTGGGTCAAATTAGGTCCTTGAACCGTTCTTTAATGTGTTAATCAAATTAAACTTCTGCTTATACTAACAAATAAAGTCAGAACAGTAAAGCAGAAATAAAAAGTAAAAAGAAAAAGAGTTAGATTCTCATTACGGTCTTCAGCACGCTTGACTGCGATGTTTCAACGGTCCGAAAAAAAGTCATACATAGTGGAAATATTTTATGTACATGCCAAAAGTGAACGCTAAGCTTGACCTCAGCTTATAAGTGCTCTGATCTGATCTACAAGTGCTCTCATTTAACAAGACACTTTAATGCTCCCTACAAATCAATTTCAGAGTGTGGCAGGCTTTTGCAGAGGGCAGGGATTTCTCATCTGATATGCAGGGAGAGAGATGGGGGGGACAGATAATGAAAGGATAAAAGGGGTAGGTGAGCTGAGTGCTGAAGGGGGGGATAATCTCACCTGTTGCTGGTGAAGGAAGGCGGGATCTCTCGTGCTCAGAAAACGATTAGCTGTTGGGGTGCCAGGGGCTGAGTAGCCTGGGTAACATGGCGCCAGAAAAACACAAATACAAGTGAGCGTTACATTTAGCATTTCAGGAATTTGACATGCTGGTGTAGCTCTTGTGCCCTGTCAGTAATTTGTCAATGAACAATGTATGGTAAAATGTGCATGTGGAGTCCCACAGGGTTCAAGTTCAGAGCCACACTGATTGCAAAGCATTTCTACATTTTGTCACCAATCAGGCTGTGGTTTCCACCAGTAATACTTGATGATTTCTGTCATTAAAAATTAATGTTAAAATCTTTAACAGATGTATTTTTTCAGTGCATGTTTTACTTTTAAAGCAAAGAGGAACTCCAGCTCCAAATCTTGTTTTCCAGTCAGCTAGCTGCAGAAAAGGACATGTTTTATGAGTGTGTCAGCAGAAGCACGTCCAGATTTTTTTCACTGGGGGGCCAAACTGGGACACGGATTTGTGCCAAGGGGGCATTAAGTATGTGTGCACAAACAAACACACATACTCACAAGAACATTGCCAGAAGAAGTATTGGTAACACTTTATTTGACGCCTATCTCTATAAGCATTATAAATATATGTAAAATGCTTTATAATAATGTTATAGCACTGTATAACTACACTTGTAAACGATCATAAATAATCATAATGCTTTATAGCAATAATCATAACACATTACAAAGCATTTTATCATAACTTAGAAGGTCAGGTATTATAATGTGTTATAACTGTTAATAACAGTTGCATTGCTTTATCTATGTGAGCATTGTCAGTGAGTTGTTAACAGTTAAAACACATTATAATACCTGACCTTGTAAGTCATAATAAAATGCTTTATAATGTGTTATGATTATTGCTATAAAGCATTATGATCATTTATGAGTGTTTATAACTATAGATATACAGTGCTATAACATGATTATAAAGCATTATACATATATTTATAATGTATTATAGAAATAAGCATCAAATAAAGTGTTACCAAAGTATTTTTATACAGTTTGATAGATATAAGTGTATTTTTTAATTTTTGATGCACTTATTTCTCTCCTATCCATCAGTATTGGAAAACAGCTGTGTATTATTTATTAAAAACTTGCTACACTTAAATAAGATGAAAACAGCTTGCAGCCTGTTGTGAAGCAGTTCAAACATGGCTCACAGAATTACATCTGACATAACAATAAATGTGTAACAGACTCTAAACTTTACCAAAGTTAGTAACTTGAATTTATAATAAATGAATGAGCATATTTTATTCCAACAATATTCCCTTGGCAACATTTCCAGTGATAAAAGAGTCATGATATTCTTTTATAAATTCACTTCACTTCATATAAGAGATAACGAGTCAAAATTAAATAAGTAAATGGTAAAATTTTATTGGCACTATTTGGTGTTTTGTGTAGCTATATCAGCGCTGGATGGTTTCAAAAGACTCACCCTCTGTGGATGTGGTGATAGGCTTGGTGTCAGGCATGGAGAGCGAGACGGGTCGCACAGTGCCGTGGTGTGGGGAAGGAGCCAGAACCGGGGTGAAGTGGCCTGGGACCTTTCCCACCACCTGACCGCTGCTGTTAGGCTGCAGGCGGGACACAGAAAACAGTAACAACAGTTAAAAAAAAACACATTTACGTTTTTCTCAAGATCTGAATTTTGGAGAATAATATCCAAATAAATGTGCACAATACAAAGATATATAACAAACTGCTCTTTTTCAAAATGTAAGGCATTAAATAAGCTGAAAAACTCATCACTATTTACAAGGGTTTAACTCATGTAAACTACTCTTTTCCCCCTTCACAGCTCAATAAAATCAAACCAGCAACAAAAGCTGACTGTACGCTAACTCCTACACTTAATGCTCTGTGTGAAGAAAAGATTTCAGTACTTTAAGTCGCTGTGTTGTCACAGTTATTACTAAAAACTCTGGGGGGCAGGAGTAACAATAGAACCTCCGTCACTTGCGATGGATTTCCTACATGATTTTACACAATGATTTTAATGGCGGCTATAAATGGAATTTAGGAGGACTCAGGCGTGAAAAGACAGAGGGAGCTGCGGAGTGACCTGCTACAATGGTGTGAATGCACGAGTATAGAGAGCGAGGCAGAGGGACTATATATATAAAGAAGGAAATAAAGGGAGCTAGTGGGAGCTACTCTTTCAGACGGCTGGAGACTGTCTGGGGCGTTCATTTCAGGGCCGCCCCAAGTTCAAAACTCAAACAGGCCTTTTTGGAAAAGAATTGTGTCCACAGGGTTCCCTCCCATGTGAATAGAATGTTTAATTAGAGTGTAATATAATCTGCGTTAAAGCAAGCATAAAAACATCCTGGCACTCGTCCATGGGATTATAAGCGCTGTGTTATTTGCCGAACCTCCCCCCCCCCCCTCCATCCTCCCTCTTCCCCCCCAAGTGGTCTTCTAGCGCTCTCGCTTCCCTACCGGACCCAACATCGCCAGCCCTGCACCAACTCCCCCCTCTCTCCCCTCCCCACCTCCTCTCTTCTTTCTCCAGCACCCCAGCAGAGGGCCAGTTAATTCTGCACAAGAGCCGGGCCCCGGCAACGGCAAATATTTACAACCTTTATCATTCCCCGCGGTTTTTCTCTAGAGTAACAGCCAGCCCTCCCCTCCTCCGCCCCCCCACCATCCCCAACCCCAACCCGCTCCCTGCTCTGGAGTTGGAGCCGTCTACGAGGCCTTTGTTTACAGTGAGAACAGCGGGGATATAAAACTCACATAAATATCACACTGCTCTCTCATCTATACAGACGCCTGCTCTCGCTCTCTCCGGCACACTGGTCGCTGTGTGTATCCACAAAGTATAAAAGCCCTCGGCTGTTTGATTTACTACAAAGTCCTGATACAGTTTTGTAAGTCATGTGTGACTGCAATTGCGATAGTTAGGCTGACTTTTTTATGGACCTAAAGTAGTTTTCTTTTAGGCTTTTCTAAAACAAAAGGCTGGGACTGCGCTGTAACCTTTGCCACGAGTATTATATCAAACCCAAAATATAAGCCTCTCCCTGTCACATCAAATGGTCAGAAAGAGGTTTAATTTAACTCTAATTTCAATCTCTGTGAATTATTCTTATCAATTAACTCCTAGTATAATTAGAGACTTTTCTAAAACCAATTTTATACAAAAGGAAAAGTGGACGGCTAATTTCAAAGACATGCTCATTAAAGGATTTACAGGACACGTTTAATCAGACTGTGGTCATCATAAGGGCTCAAAACATCTAATTTGGGGTTTAAAATTACACTCATCGTTCAGACTTGTTAAAACCCACAAATTTTCTTAAAAAAAAAAAAAAAAAAGTCTTGGCTAATTTGAAAATATATTTGCAATTGTACCGATGAGATAGGATTGAAATAATTTGTCTTATTTGTAATCTGGAGGTCAGATGGGATAACAAAAGACAACTCCAGGCGGCGAAAGTCCTGCCAAACCAGACTCATACTCTTGGCCGGCAAACTGGATGCTTCACAAAAACAAAACAAAACAAAACAAAAAAAAAAAGAAGAAGACCGACCTGGCTGCTCTGTGGGCTGGACGGGTCATACGACGGCACGTAGCTCTTGAGGGGATCAGCGGGGTTAAGGTGGGGCGGGTAGCGGATGGTGGTATGCGAGAAGTAAGGTGACGGCGCCGGGGGCAAGATGGCTGAGGCGGAGAACTGCAGGGGCGAGTGTGGAGGGGGGCTCCTCGTCGATATAACTGCAAAAGAGAGCGACAGAGAAGCATCCGTAGAGAGAGACCGAGTTAACATAAAGTGATCATCATTGATCTGAGAGGGTAAATGAACTATCTGCATAGATTTTTCAACTGCGTCTATGAAGAAAATCGTTGATATGAGCTCATGAGAGCTGGAGGTTAGAATCAGCAGCCACTCACCACTGTGTCCTACACCTGTTAGGTGGTGAGGCTGAGGAAAAGTGCTGAGTCGTGGTGAGGAGTCCTGCGGGGAGGTGGGGCTGAACAGCGGCTTCTCTGGCTTCTTCATGGTAGGAGAGGACATATCTGCTGGAGGAAAAACACACAGAAGCGCACAGATATCAATGTAGGCTCAAGATCAGAACTTTTAAGATAACTTACTCTAGGGCTGGGCGATATGGGAAAAAGTTTATAACAAAATATTTTTTTTTCATATCAGTCAACATCAATATATATCACATTATAACTTTTCAGATACCTTACCCTAGGGCTGGACGATACAGGAAAACGTTAATAATTATATATTTTTCATATCAGTCAATATCAATATTTTTCATGTTATAACCTTTTAGATACCTTACCCTAGGGCTGGGCGATATAGGAAAAAGTTTATAATGATATATTTTTTCATATTACTCAATATAGATATAATAATAATAATAACTTTATCTATGAGGTCTTTATGTGTCTTTAATGTTTTGTCGTAAGATGTTGTGCTAGAGAAAGTGGACTGAATGGTCGGCTGTTTCGGCTACACAGGCGTCGTGGGCTGCTTCGCACTTGCTCCGCTCAAGGTTTGTAAACTTTTGCATTGCGCATGCTCTGCCGCGTGGCACTGCCCAGGTGGTGAAAAAGATTGTAGGTATTCCCTCGACATAATTTGCAGTGTGGACTTGGAGCAACCATTCTTTTCAATGGCTATTCTTTTACCCGGGGTTTCCACTGCAACCAAAACAGTGGCAATTTTCGTTGTACATTACGGAATTGCAAGTACTCACAAGAAGCACAGGCTAATCTGTACTGAATTTATTTGGCATGCTCCGGCGTCTGACTTAAATGGTTATGATCAGCTACGATCAGCGGATACGACCTTTTCATAGCCATTTCGGATGTGGTGGAAACTGCCAATTAGTCTACCAAAGCACGGCAGAATGCTGGCTATCAAAAAGCATATTGACCATGTTTCATATCAATACCAAGGGAAATTACTTTTTGATATATATCATTATCATTTTATCACCCAGCCCTACTTTAATCATCATCCAAACTTTGGAAAACTTTTCCTTTTTTATCTTGACTTTCTTTTTACTTCTCTTGTGTTTCGCTTTAAAAAAAAATACACAGAAAGGATTTCTTTTTATAAGAGTACTTGAGTCGTGTTGCTTTGAAAAAAACTCCCCTGCAGCTCCTGCTAATGCTTCCATTTCTCATGCATGAAAGGAATTAAGTGCCAAAAATGAAATATGTTTGAAATCAAGCAGAATTTGATCTGCCTGGGATTAGTATTACCAAGGGCCTCATGTCTTTGGCAAAAGCAGCAGACAGGGGAAAATGCTCTATTTCAAAAGCAGACATCGCGAAAGGGTCGGAATCACTTGTAATCTCTGGAATCATTACAAATCACCGGACATCCCCAAGAAACTTGAGTCCTGTGAAAAATGTGACTTTTGTCATGTCTGAGGGAGACAATTAAATCCAGTGAACTGATGCTCGGTTGTGAAGCAGCCGGTTGCTCAAATAGGATTTAAGAATTTCAAAACCCTCACGCAATCTTAAATAGAACATTACACTGTAACATCTGCTCGCCTGGGCCTTACACGGCGTCTGACAAGCTCCTGTAATTCCCCATGAATAATCCAAAAGGCTCAGCAGAAGAACTTGTTTTTGTTGGAAATTTTGTGTCGTTCTATAAACTGGAAGTAAGCGCACAAACTCTACAAGTCGCTCATTACTGCTGCTCTACACTTTCATGAGCAATGTTCTGCTGTCACGGATGTGCGGTTTTCAATTTTCCATGGTGAGACGCAGTGTCTGAAGGGAACGTGATAACAATGAGATGCGAGGGGCAATGGCCTATGTCTGCGCGTGCTTCTTCTATGAACATCCATCAAGTGCTTTTCTGGTCGGTAACAGATTTGTGGGGTGTATAACTTTCAAATCATCCATCAATTTCCCCTAAAATATGTTATGAAAACCCTGTTTTTGAAGCGTATCCATAGTATCGCCCGTCTTTTTCCTCTCTGAGAAGGATGCGCCCGAGTCACAGGAAGGCTCGCTGGACTCCGGAGAAAGAGCGCGACAAAGGTGGCTGGAATTCAGGGGGATTTCCCACTCTGAGGTTGCAAGAGGATACAGGCTTAAGTGCTTTCATTTTTTGTGTCAGAGGGAGAAATACCTTCAGGAAGATTGATATCACAGCTTAACTTTTCCATGTAAGAATAGGACACGGAGGTTTTTTAACTCTTCCTCCTTTCTGTTGATTAAACCCACGTCTGGAGTTCAAACTGGACGATTTGTTTCCAGGAATAAACAATTTAAATATATTAACTTAAAGTTTTAATGCATTTGGATTAGAACTCTTCTTCTTTCTGGTGTGTTTCTGAATTAAAAGGGTGTATATAAATCCACAAAAATCCACTGTGAGAGCGTTTCTACTTCTTCTTACGGGTGAGGTTTTGTCAAATGATAACCATGTGCAAGAAATGACCACTTGGCACTTGCCGGGCCTCATATGGGTTTAATATCGCCCCACTTCTCATTTATTCTCTCCTGACAGAATAATGGCTGTCTTTGGAGAGTTTCTTACCCACTGCTTTCCCTTTCTCCTCACCCCAAAGTGTCTAAGTTTACGCAGAGTGATACTCCCAAGCCTTGTGCGCGGGGACAGGCTGAAATTTCATGCACCCACATTGGGCTGTGGTTGAATCCCACCACTGCTTGAGTCTCTTGCGAACTATCTGGTGTTTTCCTCTCGTCTGAAAAAGTCGATTGAAATGAAGTTGAATGCAAAACAACTTTATTCCCGTCTGTCGCAGTCCGACGAAATGTTTCCCTACGTCTCAGTCTGAGTAAGCAGAGGCAGCAGTGTGGAAAGAAGTCAGCAGAGAGCGAGAATGATCCGGAAACACGGGACAGTGAGGCCTTAATTAAAAGGTTGACAGGCTCTGCTCTGCACCAGGAGACAACGTAATGAGACATGCAAGTTGTCCCGTGAGGATCTTGCTTCCTCTTGCGCTCAGAAGCATACAACACAGACTTTTCCTTTTTTTTTTTTTTTTTTTCTTTCTGCAGATCCAATAAACCCTACATACGAGCTTATGAGGTGAGCTTTGCGTCTTAATTCCCTCCTTAAGTTGTTATGTGCCGTTAAGTTGGCACATGATTATGAGAACTCGAAGGATAGGGCTTTCCTCTCAAGTTCAGCCAAGATGTATAGGCTTGTTTCCTGATGAGGAGTCATATGACATGTTTGCCCTGCAGGTGTAATAGCACTACATGAGGTTTATAAACAGGATTTTCTCGACAACAGAAACTAAAAAGGCGTTTCAGGTATCTGTACGGAAAGACAAGGACACGCCTAACTTTCTGAAAGCTCAGAACTTGCACCTGTATGTAAGTGAAATACATATTTTAGCCATTAGCTGTTCTGGGGTCGTAATTTTTGAGATCCGAGGCTGCGAATTACAGCTGGAACAGTTTGTTCTCGTAACGGACGCACTCAGGAATCCAATGTTTCCTCTGTGTAAACGACAGGTGCGAGAGAATTTACATTCACACAGCAGTTCCTGGCTTTAAACATTTATATGAGTGGCGATGCCTGCGGCTATCTCTGTCATGGTATGTGTTTTAAAAAGGGTTGAACAGGTTCATGCGTGGAGAAACCAGATGCAGCTCATCCGCGACGAAACACATTGATGTACAGTAGCTGATGACAAAGCAGTGAGTTAGATCGAGTTCAGCCGCTGGTAAAAAACAATGCGAGGGCTTCACTTTGATCAAATCTATGAATTAAGTAATCCTCGTTTCCTTCATTAAAGTCTGTGAACATGCTGTCGAGCAGCACCAGGTCCAACTTGGGATGTCTGTGTGACTTTACAAATGTGAGGGAGGGTGTCACTGACAGGGTGCATCCATGCCTGACAAAACCTCCAGTGGGTAAATAAAGGTGGTCAAATAAGAACAGGAAAATCACCTCCTTCTCGATCGTGCCAGTTCGCCCGGGTGCTGGCTGGTGAGCTGGGTGATGAGTAGAAGTCAGGTCCTGTTGGGCTGGTGTCCATGTTCTCCTCCATATTGACAGTTTTGGGCCTTTTGCTGTGGGACATAGAGAAGTTCAAGGTTCAATATGGCCGTTTGGATGGGGTGGATAAAAGTGCAGATCTACTCTTTGGGAAATTCTCACAAATTTATTTCTGGAAGATGAAAAAAATGTACTTCCATGATGTGTATAAAGATAGTGCTAAAAACAGTTGGAATGAACCAAAATAAAATACGTTCATGAATTCGCATTTATGCTAACTCCGGTATATTTACGTTGATGCTTTTGCTGACATGTCAATTAATGTGCATTGTCCTAATCAAATAAATAAATAAGAAGAAGAAGAAGGAATTGTGGTTTGTGTCCATCTTACCCTCTTTGTAGACAAAATACTAACTTCTCTGTTTACATTCACTCGAAAAATATCAATAATTGTGCGGTTTTTTAACAGTTAAATTTATCACTCTTTGGTATTTGTCAACAAAATCGAGCAAAACTGTGATTCTGCTGTTTGCTGTGAGTTACCCTGCACCAGCATCATCATGCATCACAAATATCTGATTAGAAATACCGTATTTTCCGGACTAAAAGTCGCACTTTTTTTCATAGTTTGGCTGGGTTCGCGACATATGTTGCGTTCAAGTTACCTCGGAAGTCAGAAGTCCGAGCTGAGATTGACGTCACACCCAAGTTATCAGCGTTTCGGTTACCAAGTCAGAAAAAAGCTAAATCGGAGGCGGAAACAAGATGGCTACATCTACAAAAGTTATTTTAGAGCTTGCCTTGTCTTTGCTTATATTTGGACAAGACAAGCACCAAAATAACTTTCATAGATAACTTGATAGATAACTGACTTGGTTACAGAAACGCTGGTGACTCGGGTGTGATGTCATTTTCAGCTCCTACATCTGACATCTGACTTCTTCTAAATTAATCTGACTACTTCATTATTTACTTTTTGGCTGGTGCGACTTATACTCCGCAGCGACTTATAGTCTGGAAAATACAATAATACATTTTTATTTCCATGTTCCTGCTTCCTTTTGTAGCTCAAAAAGAGGCATTAACCTTTTTTTTTTATTATTATTATAAATCTTGTCTCTTACAAATCATTTCAAAACTCCTAAAAGGAGCTTTAACAAACTTTTGATAAGTTTGTTTCATTGAATTTCTTTTCAAAAATCATCAATGCAAGATGTCAGGGATGTCACGGTCATGCTCTGCCCTTGTGTTATAAATGTTACAATGAACCAGCGCACTCTTGGTGCTTTGCTGTTTTAATAAAAGGAATACATTAAAGAAGCTTTTGCTGATCTGAATTCCTCTGACCTGCCGGGAGGGGAGGACAGGGAGCGATGCAGCCCCACGCTGGAGTTCAGGTCGTGATAGTAGGGCTGGCTGGGCATGTCAGCCATGGAGAAGTTTACCGCCGCACCGTGGGTGATGGGCACTGCAGAGGACACAGAGTAAACAAAGAGAGACAGTTAAACTGTAATCACTGCAAATGGAGGACTTCAATGTCAGCACTGTTGTCAGGCCCGGTACTTAGTCTTTCCCCAGCCTTACATCAAGAGACGCACAATTAATTGCGCGATAGCTTGACTGACTGTTATTGACGCTTTGTGTTTAGAGGCACTCTGTATCAAATTAAGCGCTCCCTTTTCTCGGGTTAACTGTCTGACCATCGCAGACATTTCTGCTGAGCTCTCAGATTAACAAGTTAGTGCTTCCTAAAGTGGTGGCGGCTGCAGGTAAGCACTTTTGCACAGACAAGTTTACTCTAGCTCCATTTAACCGGTCTGTTTGGTTCAGTTTTGATGGATATTATCATTAATATCAGAGCGAGGTTTGAATTTATCTCAGTAATAAGAAGATAAAATTAGTTTGTAAACACACAGGTGCACAGAGAATAAGATATCTAACTTTTTTAACCTGTTTTAGTTGGATGTGTGGCATCTCAAAAAAAACAGCAGTAAAGTCAAATCTAAAAGCACTATCGTCATGATTTTCTCCACTTTTCTGCCTCCTAAAATAACGCCCAGCATCTCCTCTCAAAGTGATTTACAGAGAGGGGGAAAGGTGTTGTTCTCACTGCGGTCAAGGTGAGGTATATTGTTTCAGCAGAGGCCCGGTCGGTGTTTACAGAACAAAAGGAGTCCACCACCCATCCTCACTCTCTCCCCCTCTCCCTCCTCTGTCTCTCTCCGTTCAGTGTGTGGCCCCGCGAGGCAGCCTGCAGCTCGAGCGGTCGCTCGGTTTGGAGTCGATGAGAGGATGGAGTGTGTGGCGCCGTCTGTTGTGGTCTGAGGTTCACCACTGGCACGATCCCTCCGCCAGCCTCCGCCCTGGCAGCTCGCTGTGGCCCTGGCAGCGTCCCCTACCCGCTGCTACCCACACTGAGCTGTCTGTGGAGGAATGCATCCGGCCTGAGGACACTGAATACAAGTCCATTGTTTTGGGTTTTTTTTTTCTCATTCATGGCTGAGGATACCCCCGACCATGTCTCTGTGTGCTGGGTTCTCTCTTTCTCCTTTCTTGGCTCAGCGCAATATTTGTGATGCCGCTTGGCTGCCCAGCCACTCATCTAATTTAATAATCTGGGCTTTGACTTTTAAGCTTAAAAAGCAGCCAAAGAAACAATGATGCTGCTAATCATTCGCCACACAGCGCTTCTTTTAGCAGATTACTCCCTCTTACTGTACGGACGGGGGGAGGGGACAGAAAGTGCACCAGTGGATCAGCATTTTCTTTTGCCCGTGCATGCCCACATTTCTGTTGACAAAATATCTGCTACACTTGTAGCTGAGGCTCCTGTTGCATTAATGAGCGTCCCCGTCGAAACGCTGGATTGCAAGTCAGCCTTGAACTCCACAGACCCCCCTTTGATGGACTTCAAAGAATGTCTCAACAGCCCGGAGAGTTTGGAGAGAAGCGCGATGACGGACGAGCGGCTGCTTAGATATCTTCCCGGGGAGTGACCGGCTGAGTGAGTGACAATTCCTGTGTGTCCGTCGACCTTTTTAAAATTCCAGCTCGACTTCAGTCGGCTTTAGTGAAACGGGGCTCAGTCACATGAGAGCAAACACGCCGGCGCAGCGGCCATCTGGTCAGGGGGCAAATTAAACACTAAACAAAAACACAGGCTTTTTCAGAGGAGATTCAGCCTCTGAGCATCATGAGAGGAGCTTCTTTAAAAAAAAAAAAAGAGAATACGACTGACAACCAAGTTTCTACATCACAAACACTTTGACAAAGAAGAAAAATACAAACAAGGTCAACTCTTACCAACACTGTGTCCAGTTTTTTAACACTTTTTTGGATTCCCGATTCATGAACTCCAGTGTGACGGAATTCAACACAACATAAAGTGTATATGATCATTCCTGCTTTCACGACAGGACAACAGCCTCTCAGCTTAACACGGTGCGTTTGCATCTGTTTGATTTTGAGAAACGTACATTTTCCCTTTTTCAAATAAAGAAATTAAAACATCTGCTACTTGTTTTCTTGACTAATTGTTTGGTGGGGGGAAAGAGTGAAAAATGCTGAAAAGAGAATTATAATTCCCCCAGAACCACAGATGGCATCCTCGGATCAGTTGTTTTCTCAAACCAACTGTCCAAAATACAAAGATATTCAGTCTACAGTTACAAAAAAAAAAAGCAAAGAAGTTCCTACATTTGAGAAGTGAGAGATGTCGTTTTATGGTCTTCGGCTGATAATCAATTATCAAGAGAGATGTCGGTTTATTATTTCATAAAGACTGATATTTTCAATCAGATATCAAAGAATCGGTTTGGTTCACTCTCACTTTAATAACGAAAACAGAAAACTGCGACAGAGGAGTCTCGACCAGGACTGATGTATCTGTGTTTAATATCAATCAGTCGGTTTTGGCTTGTCAAATATATAAATTGGTAAATGTTTTTCACCGACGCTCCAAGCATTAATATAAATCATACGACACATAACACCAGAGTAGACTCAGCATTTTCTGCAGCATGTTTCACAGAACGATCACGGCTGTGAGGAAAGCTGTCTTGGATTTGAATCACAATTTAAAACAATGTAAAAAAAAGAAATTTCTGTCTGTCGAGGAAGCGTCTATTTTTTCAAGCATAAAAATTCACCACAAATTGGTTATTATTGTTAAAAAATAAACAGTATTAGACAGGGATAATGATAAATCACACACACTGAATAAAACATGGTACGCTGTTGTTTTAAATTCCTTTTTAAAACAAAAATCATGTTTTAACGTCTCTTATTTAAACGACAGATAATATCATCAGACATGTAAATGAAAAACTTGTGATTTCACTGTTTAACCCTCGCTCTGTTTTTTGGTATAATCTTCGCAAAAGAAGATTTATTTGTGCCAAATCCACATTTCACTCTGTTACACCAGATTTCTTTGACCGTTTTCTTAAAAACGGCATTAAAGCTCAACCTCGTGTCTTCAGTAATTCGCCTTGTCATGTCTGGCTTCGGTCATAATCTTTTTTTCCAGATGTGTTTTGTCTCCGATTGTGTCAGTATTGTAAGTAACTCCAACACTGAACAGTTATGACACACCACCTCAGGGCTGTCTTGGACTGATGCATACTGAGACACACAGACCTCATGGCACAGAACAGGTATGTCTCTTTTAAACACAGGTTGTTAGGGGTGACTGTCGTCTTCGTGCACCGTAGGCACGTTCCAAAGCTCCGGCTCAAAGGCAGTGCAGGTAAACGGCGCCTGAGGGTCCCCAGCTATTAAAGGCAGGAGCGCTCGAATCTGGAAGAACAGCCATCAACGGCTTCGCAGAGGGCAGACATGTCTGTACAGATGCGCACAGGCTCATGCAGACGTCTGCACAGTCGTGTGTTCTCTTTGTACAGAGCAGACTGGCCAAACTAGATTTACTACAACGCGGTTGCACAGTGGATTTCATTTAATTAACAGATCTTCTGTTGTTGGCCGGGCTTCTTCGAAAAGCTGCAGTTGGAGGACTCGGCTGTTTTCTATATTTGAAGTAAATCAATCCTCAGTCGATGACAGACTTGAAATCTCTATACGTCAAGATGTTTCAGATGCCTGATTAGACTTCCTTTCAGGGCTGTGTGGGTGTGCGTACACTGCGACTGATTGACATCTACCTGACTCTCAGATTAACTAGGTTGCACCTGTTAGGGCAGGGAAACTTACACCTTCAACATTCTTGTAAGTACAACAACTTTGGTGTCCTCATTTGATTCCTAACTTTGCTCCACCCAGCCTGAGCACTGGTCTGATCAGTGACGAGTGAGAGAGTGAAGGACAAACTATCTGTGTGTACATGAAATACGGCGGCTGTGTACTCACTTCTGGACACTCGCACCAGTTCTGTAACACTGAAGACTCCTGATTTGATGAAGCTGTCTTCCAGGTAGACTGTTGGAGAAAGACAAACAGAAAAAAAATCAAGATCTTATTGGTTTTATTGCTGAGCCTGCGGGAAATAAAAGTCAATACAGCATTATCTTAAGTAGTCAACCGGAAACAGAGGCAATAACTTCTTTCAGAGTGAAATCCATATGCAGAATCTTCATTTTTAAGGCCCTTGAAATGATCCGGATTTCTTCTGTTTCCATAAGATTTAACCTTAAAAAATCAGTGTATCTTTAAAAAAAACAAAATCATTTCCTGTAAGTGCGTCACAGACTGACAGGACAGGTGTGCGAGGAGGAGAAGAGGACTGATACTCAGACTCGTGTTGCTGCCGTGAGTGCAACCAGCAAGCCCATTTGATTCAAAACACAAGCAAACCTTGATACCTGTCAATATTGACTCTGACAATACTGCTAAGATACAGTAAAACAAGGGGACATAACCAGCTTAAAGAGCCATTTAGGGCTGTATTTAAACTTGAGATCAGTTTGAAAATGTGAGGTTGCTCGAGGTTAAGCTCACGGTCAACAAAGCCAGATTTTGATTCTATTTTAAAACCGAACAAACGACGGTTGTCGTGTTTATTTTGAATATGTTGCCTTCTGTATGATCTGCATCTCAGCAACAGTAATCAGAGGCTGTCAGTCAAGTAATACAGCCAGACAAGTTATTGACACCCAAATGACTCCGGCTCGGCTTTGATGCCATGCCAGCGGCACTCGCTCCATGCCAGACAGATAGGCGGGCGGCTCGATTGGCACCTACAAAGCCCTAATGCCTCCAGTGAGCCAACGGCTTTCGCGGGGAACTGTGCCGCTGCTGAGGCCCTCCAAGGCCTGAGTCATTGGCTCACTGGCATGTTTTCTTTGGCACCTGTATCAGCAGAACCTGCTCTTGAGGTAAAAAACTAATTATACTTCTTCGGCTATTTTCATTCCAACATTGTGACGACACAGCGCAGGTCAGTCCAGGGGAACAACAGCGCTGTCGGTGAGTCTGCTCTCCTTGACACAGTCAGATACCAGCCGAAAGGTGCAAATGCATTTTCACTACAGGTCTGGAGAGGCTCTCTGATTATACCTCTCTGTATTTGTGCTTCCACTGACATTCAATGGTCCTATTCCATTTTATTCCTCCTCTAAATAAAGTTAAAAACTTTGGCCATCACCACTTGGTGTCACACAGAGGGCAGAAGCGTCACTTTCATTTACAGCACAAGTTAAAGTTTTTGTTTGGCCCACATTAAATGCAGTTAAATATATATATTTTTAAAAGACATATGCAAAGATTAGAATGACATATTTGTGTTTTTTATTTTTCAAATTATTTTGTGGATGGGTGATTGTATAATTGTTGAATGAATGTTTATGTAATGTTCTTATTTGCCCACTTTTATATTTTTTAAAGAAATAGAAAAAGAAATTTTAAGATAACAAAGCTGGGAATGTTATGTTTCTGTTTTTTGTTTTTTATTTTATTTCTTTTAATTTTTTTTTTTTTTTTGTAGATGAGTGATTGTAAAATCATTGAATGAGTGTTTATGTCATTTTTGTATTTGCCCACTTTAAATGCAGTTAAATATATTTTTAAAAAAGAAATAGAAAAAGAACTTTAAAGAAAACAAAGCTGAAAATGTTCCATTTGTGTTTTTATTTATTTATTTTAATTATTTTGTAAATGGGTGATTGTATAATCGTTGAATGAATGTTTACGTTATGTTTTTATTCTCTGTATTGGACCCCAGGAAGTCTAGCTTTGTCTTGACAAAAGCTAATGGTGATTCTAATAAACAATAAATAAAAAAAACTATAGTTTACAGCAAGGGCTAACGTTGTTATTTGGCCCCTTTAAATGCAGTTAAATGTAATTTTTTTTAAAGAAATATATAGAGCTGAGAATGTCATGTTTTTGTTTTTTATTTTTTTGATTATCTTGTAGATGAGTGATTGTACAATTGTTGAATGAATGTTTTTATTTTCTGTTTTGGACCCCAGGAAGACTAGCTTTGTCTCGACAAAAGCTAATGGGGATCCTAAAAAACAATTAACTTCAATTTGCAGCAAGAGTTAAAGTTTTTATTTGGCCCCTTTAAATGCAGTTAAATGTACTTTCTTTAAATAAATATACAAAGTTGAGATGGTCCCATTTGTGTTTTTTAGATTTGGGTTACTTGTAGCTTCCACTGGTTTTCACTCAGCTTTATGGTATGCACTTAAGCTGCGACAGTTGAGTTTTTTTGTTACAGTAAGGGCTTTGAGTCGCTGAGTTCATGGCAGATCAACACTATTTAAACTAGTTAAGTTATGGTGTGCACATGCAGGCCGCTGTGTGGAAGGCGAGCTGCTGAGGAACAATAGAGTGATGACAGGAGGGAGGAGGGAGGATGACTGGTACTGTACATACCTGGAAGAGGGCTCTTGCCTGGCTCATTGTTACTGGGACTTCCTGACTGCTGTGAGTCTGCAAACACACAGAGAAACGGGAGGGTGGGAGGAGGAGGTGAGGGTTACAACATGCCATCTTACTGAAACACGGTGTTCTTGTCAGCATTGATTATTTCCAGCAAAGATAGCCAAGTTGCTGGGTCAAAAGGCTGCATCCTTTGACTCTTTGACACGTTTTTACAACCACAAACTGGGGTCACTGTCAAACTTTATGATTCAATAGATAAATATCTTCTGTGAAGACATAAAGCGAGACAAAGAGCATTTCTTGACTTTTGTCTTATCTAACATACAAAGACATGCTCACTCACCACTCACTAAAGATTAAAAAGACAAGTCTGTTTGAACAGCAAGAACGGGGGGAGGGCGAGAGAGCCCAGTTGTCTGACTCAGGATCATATAAAAGTTTGGTACTGGCAGACGTCAGAGTAATTTTTCAAAGGGGCTGTAGGAGTGTAAGGGGGGTACAGAATGTGTTTGGTCCTGCTGTGCGAGGTACGAGCAAAGAACAAAACGGCGTAAGAAGACAGGAGGGGTGGGGAAATACAAGGAAACACGTGTGGAATTTTTTCCACCGGCTACGGTGCGCAGAGTGAGTATGAGACGACCTGGACTGACGTAGCTTGAAGCAGGGAAGGGGGAACCAATCAGTCCTCTGCGGTTCCTGCTCCCGATCACAGACAGGCACAGGTGGCTTTGTCTGTCTGCAGCAGAAGTTGTAAAACATTGCTGATAACGGGCTAAATTATTGTCTGATTCCAATCTATTTTGGACTTCAGACAGGAAAATAACTTAGGAAAGCCTCACAAGCGAACATGGAGTAACCCAGAGCTGCTGCTGTGCCAAACAGTGACCAGCAGCATCTGAGTGGACCCCTGTAATGTTTCAAACTGGCCCAAACCCACACATGCGCTGAGCCAGCGAGGCGAGAGGCCCCAATGAGAACCAGCCGAGAGATTATTATCTCCGCCTTTAACACGAGAGAGCTGAGACAAGAAGCGGGAGACAGTGAACTCAGATACCCTCGCCTTGCAACAACACCCCTTTTCCTGCTGCAGCTCTCATGAGCTGTGTTACAGAGGCAGCAGAGGGAGAAGGAAAAAGAAAGGGAAGGGAAGGGAAGGGGGGGGGGGGGGTGCAAGACGGAAGAAAAAAAAGTTGAAAGATTTATCCCTTTCTTGTTCTCCCTCTGTGTCTCTCTGCTTCTCTCTCTTGTTCCCTCTCCCCTAAATTTGACTATTAAACGGCACTGCAAAAACAGAATGTTCTTGGCCGAGGCTCAACAATGACAAAGTAGGGAGGGAACAGGACCATACGTTAAGGAGACAAAAAATCCCCTCTTTGCAGAGTCCCCCCCAAAAAAAGAACCAGTATCATACAAAGTTTTGGTGTTGGACTCAAATCTATTCCTCTTTCTCGCATCTTAAAACACAAGCTTGACTCGTGTTTTCTCATCATGTAGTCCTACGGGGGTCACACACGGAATAAGAAGCCATGAAAGTTGATGAATTGTTGGTTTTCAGTGTCTAAAAATTGGCAGAAATGTCTGAATTATGCTCAGACGTCAAATTAAAACTCTTAAAATTACTTTCTTTTACTCTTTTTAACAAATAAAACTCAATAAAATCAACAAAAAAAAACACATTTTGATGAACAAGAAGTTGAACCAGTCTAATTATCGCCATTTCTCTGTCATAAATCATTCAAACAATCATCCCATTACCAATAATGATGTGTCTTAAGTTTCTAAAAACCGCTTGAGTACTATCACCTCCACTAAAGTGCAAGTTGTACACTTGTGAACAAGTACGAGACAATGTCTGACCTCAGCAAAATGCAAAGTTTCCCGTCTTCATCAAGCAATGAGTCCCTGAAGTTGCCCCCTACATACACACACATTCACGTACACAGTGTGTAGAGGTCTTTGTGTGTAGGTTGAGTTTGTGTGCATTTGGCACAGCACATGTCCATAAAGTGATTGCAGGGAGCTCAGCGGCCTTGTCTCCCTGTCTCCTCCTTTCTCTCCCCCACCCCACCACCCCCAGTGCCACTTTCAGAGTCATCCATCAGTCTAGTTACGACTGCCAACTCCACACTCGCGCCCCGAGAACTGCTGAGAGGGAAAGAAACAGGCAAGGGGAGAGAAAAGGGCACAGTAGGGTAGGGAGGAGAAGAAAAAAGGAGCGAGGAGGTTGAGGTGGAGGTGGAAGGGGTGTTCCGCTTCGTTTGGATGGGATCAGAGTTTGTGTTTTTTTGTTTTCTCTTTCAGTTCTTCGAGGCCCGAACAGGCAACCATGACAAAAAGAGCAGATGGTGGTGGCAATTAGAGATCCCAGGCAGCTTCTTCCAGCATGAGGCCCCACTGTAGCACCAGGAGAGACCACCTGGATGACTCAAGGTGGGATGCGAGCATATGGCGCATCTGCCAGGCCTGCGCTGGAGCAGGAAACACCTCCCCCTGTTGCATTACATTTTACCTTTGACCCGAGAAGGGCATCCTCGTGCTTCTTCATCTTCTCTCAGGCTGATTACATTGTTTAAAGCTTTGCTTGCACATTTTTCGGGTTTTGAATGTGATGATTACACCGACTCAACACTTATTATACTCCTAATCACCTTAGTCACCCAACAGGTATTCAAATAAAGCCCCAATCTGAACTCTTAGAGAGATGAACTGACTCTGTTTCATTTAAAGAAGTAAAGAGGTGGAATATTGGAAGAAGGGAGGCCTGGTATCTGTATCTAGAAGGTGTCCTGTGCAGAAGCGAAGCCAATCCGATAGTCTTCAAATAAACAGTAGTGAAACCTGTAAATAAACAGTTGCGGTGGAGGAGGCTGAGCTCTGCCCTAGGAGCTTGGCAGGGCTCGATCACAAGGCCAGACACCACACACACACACACACACACATACACATAAACACTGCTATACACACACGGCCCTTTTCCAAAAACAACATTTCTTGGCACCCTCCATCCCCGGCCACTTGTTTAAATAAACAAAACGGTTCATGAAGGAAGCGAAAAAAAACAGATCCACGTATGATTCAGATTATCTGCTGTTACTCAGCAAAAAAAAAAAGAAGGGGGAAAAAAGCAGCAGAGGTGGCTTGTGGGTATTTTGGATGTGTCCATGAGTTCTTACACCTTCTTGTCCGGTGGGATACTTATCATACCACGGTAACGATTAGGGCAATTAGGGGTAATGGCAACAGAAATCTGGCTCGGCAAGAAAGTTTCTCAGTGCTTGTGAGGTTTCTCCACGCCCAAGTGTGTTACTCGCCTGGATTTTATAATCACTAAAACACTGACACACACACACACATGCACACTCTCCCCAACCCACCCGCTTATTTTTTGGCATGGTACCCGTTCTGTTCCCACTAAATCGCAGAACACACATGCACATGCACACACTGTGTGGATTAAATTAGCCACATAGTTTGGGAAAGTTTCTTTTTTTTTTTGACAGCGGCGGTGCACGTTCCTCGGCCGCAAACACTTGCAGACACGTACAGATATCCTCCACAAAAAAACTGTGCGCACGCGCGACACGCACACCCTGCAGATGCATACCGCTGTCGACATTTCAGGAGGAGAAGCCTGTCTGGCAGCCATTTTATGCCGAGCGGGGTTCTGTGCACATGTATAGCACTCTGGCTGCCAGAGGCATGGGTCCCGAGCCAAGACGCATTTCAGCAGCCTGGGGAGGCGAGGGGAGGGGAGTGTGGAGGAGAGGTGGAGAGGGGTGGACTCCCGGAGAAGTAGGGAAACAGAGAGAGGGAGAGGGGCAGAAAATATCGACCTAATTACGGAGCAGCTCTGATGCGTAATGTTTCGACAATACAGCTGCTCCTGAGTAAATATTTGATGTGGCCGAGCAGACTTTCTGCTTAGTGTCCTCCTGCTTCACTTTCCTGTTCCGCTGCAGGAGGCTCCACTTTGTCCTTCCTTGGAAATGCACAATCAAAAATGTCTATGTGCGTGTGTGTGTGTGTGTTTGTGCGCAGGACGGGGTCATGCAAGCCTTGACAGTACGCATAAATGACTGTACATGAGCCGGTGTGGAATGCGTGCGTGTGTTTGTGTGTACTTTGTCCCGTGTCCTCCTCTGCTCCTGGTTTCTATCATTCACAGCTTCGTCGATGACCTCACACTGCTTGGGCTGGCTTCCAACAGCCGGCAGAACCTGCTCTCTTCTCCGAATCTTTCTTTCTTCTCCCCGATATCTGTCTATCGCTGTCCCTGTGCCTGCAACACTATCCGTCTCCTATTGTATCTTTTCATGCCAGACTCTGTCTATATCTACTATTCAGTGTGTATCCGTGAAGATATCGTCTTATCCGCTGATAAGTGCACACTACATCTTTCTTCAAATTTCTTGATTTTCCCCCTTTTATAACACCGATCCCTGTCTTCCTTTAATGTCTCCATCTGTGTCGGTGCTTTCCCCCCTTTGCCGCCTTTTTTCAATACCCCCTCTCTCTCTGTTTCTTCTTCTTTGTCTCTCTATCTCTCTCTTCTCTCCCTCCCTCACGCTTTGTTGTCTAAACAAAGTGGCCTTTATCAGGATGAGCCGCAACCCAAACAAGCCAAACAAAAGATATGGGCGAGGAAATCTGCCCGTAGAAGAGGGAGGATCTTATCGTGCCAGCCATTGTGTGCCAGCCTGCCAACTGGCGATGCCCCCCACTGACGACCCCTCCCCACGAACGCACACACACATGCACACACACTAATTTTCGGTATCCCAGGCCCTCTCTTAAATTGAACCCACGCATGGTGTATTTGAAAGCACTGGCACCTGACCTGAGGAAAGAAAAGGGACATTGACACTGGGAATGAAGAGGATGAACACAGGACTTTTGGATCCGTATTATCTCACGAGAAGATGTGCTCCGACCAAAATGAACAACTTTTTAGTTTAATTTTATTAAGTATGGTCTTGTGTTGAATTGTGACACTTAATACTCGATGGGTTTGATTATTTTGATTGGGCAAAATAACATATGCATCATGTGCATTTATCGAACCTCTGTTTACACTCACTTCTAGATGTATATTTTCTGGAATATAGACATGTTGCGCACTGTTTAGCTAAGCTTGGTAATGCTTGCTGCAGTCACTCAGACTACGTTTACATGTACCCGGCGAACATTTCCCCCTCTCAATTTACAAAAAAACCTGACTGCACACTACTACATTTTCAAAAAAGTTTTCATTTACACAAACCCATGTATATATGCCATCATGAGCATATCAAATATGTGGGTGGCAGGGTCGTGAGAAACTCAAGCCCATGTCAGCCAATCAGAATCCTGCATAGCAGTAACAACAACAACAACAACATCTCCTGCGTTCGGCTAACCAAATCTCTGTTTTACTCTGTTTTTCACCTTTTACATGCTAACGTGCAATGTCTCTGTTTTTAAAGAAAACTGGGTATGTATAAACAGGGCCTCCTCGCTCACTCCGTCCCTCTGCTGCACTAACACACATCCACTCCTCCCACTCCTTTCCCAAAGCTTCACCACTCTCCATTCTCCACAAGTGGTGTCAAAGTTTTTACCGCTGTATCATGTAGCATGATAATCAAATTTTCGGATGCGGAGAAGTAATCATGATCCAACAAAGCAAAAAATCTTAAGTGAAATTCAGTGAATCACCCCTACCAGGTATCACCTAGGGGTCCCGATACAACCTTTCTACCTCTGATACAATACCGATATTGTATTCTTCAGTATTGGCCGATACTGATATTGATCCGATATTAGCATAAACTTGAGCATGACATCTTTTTTGGGGTTTAACGAAAAATACTGCCACACGCTGACATCACTCCTACTCCTTGCTACTTTGTTAGTGCCTTAGTATACACTGTTGTTGTGATTATGTGGGCTGTGCACACTGGATCAGGGTGCTGCTAGATAGAGGTGCCAGTGTGGAGTCTGAAATGGACTGTTTGTATCAGAGTGCTGATATCAGAGATTTTGGGTGCAGGCCGATATAATATCATTACCTTATTTCCAAAACTGTGTCTCTCCTGATCTCTTTCATGCACCACTACTGTATCAGTGATACCTTACACATACAGAAATGGAGAGTATAGTGTTCCCTTTGACAAACTATGACTATGTTCTCCCAATGGTGTCCTTACACTGTGTGACACTGTAATGATTATCTCATAATTGAAACAAGGCGAGTGTTTCTTATTGGCTTAGAGGAGCACCTGGTAATCCGGATAGCCGCACTATCAAATGACTGCAACTGACGGGGAATGCAGGTACAGTAGGATGGGTTACACACACATTAACACACACACTCGCACACACAGACACAAACACACTCGGGGCAAAAGACAGACAAGGGCATGGAGGAAAAAGAGAGGGGCAAAGTTGAAACGTCTGTGAGAACAATGACATTTTGCCTCCTTTTCACCGAGCCAGACAACACAGACTTCTTCAATAGAGCAGGAGGAACACACACACATACTTAGACACACACACACACACACACACAGTAGGACTGTCAGAGTTTTGAGACTTATGGAATCAAGTGGGATCCCAGCCCAGACAAGAACAATGAGAAGCCATACAGTGTATACATGCGTGGCTCACTTATATCTCCGTGCACACATGGTTGCTACCACATCAGTGTGTGTTTGTTTCTAATTATTAACGCTGATGAAGAGCGGGCCTTCTTTCTCCGCATACAATCCCGGTGCCTTTTCCTCGGTAAACTCTCACAGCAGTGAAAGGAGGGGAGCGTTTTAACCGAGCCGGGAGGACAACAGGCTCCTCATTGAGGTCACCAAACAGTGTGGACAGGGAGGGAGCGCATTCAGAGGCGAGTGGGCCTTAAACAAGGGAGTGAAAGGCCTGACGGATCATTAGCTACACCGGCCCGGGAGAGGAGATGGAAGAACCGAGCGGACACAAAGGGATAACAGGCAACAAAACTAAGGATGCAGATGAGGGTTAACCCATGTAAATTCAACTTCCCCACCTTTTTAATTTGTGAGATAAAGTTTGGCCACCTTTGCACAAACGCAGAGTTATACAAAAGCTAAAACACTGAAAACAGCTTCAAGTTGTGCTCACACGTTGACGCACATGCATGCACAAACACACTCCACATCCCGCTGAGAGCTGATCTGTGCTGTACATGTGCCACGGAGTCAGCGGCCGGGCTGCAGACTAACTACACAACACAACAACACAGTGGCTCATCTGTCCCATGAAAAATGAGCAGGCTGGCCTCCAGTCAGCACACTGTGCCCCACATAATGTTTCCACCTCCTCCCACTTTTTCTCTCTCTGTTTGTGCTTTTTCTCACAATTAGGCCTTTCCTTTTACTTAATTATGATACTTTGTCTTTCTTTTCCTCTTTTTACGAAACTTTTCACGTCCTTCGCCGCACCTGGCAGCTTCTGTTTCATCAGGAGATGGAGATGGTCCATTTGGAAAAGAAGGCTGTTTGTGTTTAAAAAGTGAGTCGAATCCAAAAACTTCAAGAATCTGAAACTTTTCTCATTATTAACTGGATATGTGACTATGCACGAAAAACAGGCAATTTTTAGGTCAACTTGACCCTTAATTTCTTACGTACAAAAACAAATACACTTTCAGGAAAAAAATTCCCAGATGTAGCACCTAAAAGTCTTTACACTTAAAACAACCACATGAATTATCCCGTCTTTTCAAAGTGCGGTCTCATCATTCACAAGTTTAATCAGCGTCAAGTCTAGCCTGTGAGAAAAAAAAGAACTTTGCATCTGCGTTGAAACAATGGGCCCATCAATGGCCAACCTCGGCATCTTTTTGGTATGCACCAAACAAACAATTAGCTTTGTCGCGGCGTAATTGACTGGCAGGACCGGGTGGCATTTACATTCGCCCGCTGTTGCCACCCTGCCATTCGAGGAGCTGGGCTGAAAGAGAATAGGTCCATACAAGGGTTGAAGGTTGGCCACATCTCTGTGGTTTGAAGACACTGCTTTTTTTTTTTTTCTAAGGTGGCAAACTTCCAAGCCGGTGCGTTTTTTTTTTTTTTTTTTTTTTAATGCATGGCTGTGGAGGAAGGAGGGAAGGGCGGGTGGAGTGAGGACGAGACTATAGATTTAATTATGCATGCGTGTTTTCTCATTCATTGTAGTGGTGGGAAGGGGAGAAGGAGAGGGTACGAGGGGTGTGCGGTGAGAGGGTCGGTGGGGGGGAGGCAGACCAATGACATTCCGTCGTTGTAGTCCTCCTCCCACACACACACACACACACACATACGCACACACAAACACACACAAGGAGCAGTCTGGGAGCGAGCCGCTATAGGCTAATGAGGTGACACTCACCGTCTGGAGACTAGCCAAAACAGTCCATTAACTCCTAGCCAGTAGTTAAGAGGAGAAGAAGGAGAAAGGTGGTGGTGGGGAGGGTGGAAAAGAGAAAAGGCGAGGTGGATGGGGGGGGAGCGGGTGAGGTGGGCGGCTAGCCGATGGGTCGGTGGGCGGAGCATGTGAGGGGGAGAAAAAAAAAAGAAGAGAGTCTGAAGTCTTTCAGGATGTGAGGGTGGGGGGTATTTCTGCAGTTTTGTAGTTGTGAATGAAGCAGCAGGGTGGCTGGTAGAAAAAGGGAGGGGGGGGGTGTGCACGAGCGTTCACTGTCGGCGATTATGCTCCATGGAGGCAACTCTTGAGGAAAAGTAAGTCTGTGTGTGTGATGGAGAAGAGGTGGTGGGGCAGGCGAGTGGAGAGAAAGAGAGGACAAGGGAGATAGATCCAAAACCCCCCAGTCGGGCAGACAGACCTTTGACAGAGGAGCTCTGTGATTTGCCTCTTTCATCTTCAGAACCCCCCCATCCAGTCGGATAATTATGAGACAAATGCACTGGACCCCTGCTGCTTGAGTGGCAATGGGCATGGGAGGCCAGAAACACAGAGAGAGGGTTCAAACCTGCACGTCTCGACTGGTTCGGAAGGGGGGAGCACAGAGGGGATGAGGGGCGGTGGGGGCATTTAGGGCTCTGGGAAATTCCCCACTCTCCCGAGAGAGACAAGTTGGCCCACAGATCATAGTTCAGGGACAGCCTGGTGGTGATACTAGCGAGGCTTAACTGGTCTTAGCTGCCAACATCCTTTCAACTTCCACACACACATGAGCACATCCAGTTAAGATCTGATGTATTATTTGGTTTTCAAACGTACCTGAAAAACATCTGAAACTCGCAGCTGGCGGAGTTTGCGACTGAACTGGTTCTCGGCGCGTTGTTTTATTAATGTATTTGATGAAGCTCTGGCTTGCACTGATAAGGGAACTGCAGTGGCACCTATTTGTTTATCTCACAGCAACCACACTTCTGCCCTGAAAGCCTTACCTCCTGGAGCAAACACAGAGGAAAAGTTCAATTTTACTTGACGTGAAATTCAATTTAGAAATCTGCAAAGTGAATCTAAAACTGATTAAAGTGAAAATACTGTCATTTAGATAGAGAAGGACTGGCTAAAGTACAAATAAAATACTCTGGCTCCATAATGAAGCTTCTTTTCAGCTGGATATCAACAGATGAAGATTACTATGCTCTCTTTCACAGGCACAGTCACTTAATTTTGACTCAAGCCTGTGTAATGTTGTTTCTCTCAGGCCTCTGCCAGTGATGTGTCAGTGATTGTCAACGCTTACGACGGCTTCAGGCCTCAGCCAAGAGGAGTTCCCGCTGGCGAGAGCAGCAGGCCGAGCCAGGGCGACTGGGTGCTCCCTCACAGGGCAAATGGCTCTCCTCCAGCTGGGCGAGAGGCCACTGAGGATCCCTGCCACCCATTGCCACTGTTTGCACTCTACGAGCCCTGCCAAGCGAGCAGCGGCAAAATGCACACAAACACACACGACTGCGCACACACCTTAAACTGGGGACTTGGTAGGAATTATCCGATCATAGAATGCCACCACATCTAAGACCAGATCTTGGCCCAAAACAGACAAAGAAAACAAAGCGTGCACTCATTCAGACGATTTTGCTGGCACTGCTCCCTTGGAACGGGACATTGGGCGGAGAAAGGGGGGGGAATCAACCACAGAGTTTAATGTGTCATTACAAGCTTAAAAACAGACTACTGACATTGCCAACAGATGTCGAGCCAGTTTATTTTTGCCATTAAAGCTCCAGTAGGGAATGAAGCGGCAGGTGCAAATGTCTTGTCACAGTCTTGTAGTTTTCCTCTTTACTATCATGACCATAGTGCTGCTGTTTCACCACTTCTCCTGATCTGTTAGTCATACATGCATCATGGATATCCAGTGAGTTGTTGCATTATCAATACTAGTATTTGATACTACCAAACAGGCAGTACTGGCATGTATAATAATTTGTGTTGAGATCTGAAACAACCATTCAATCATGACACAAGACATTAGCATCAACACATCATAGCAGTCAAAAGAGACTAGAGCTTTAAAACCACAGAGGAAAACTGATTATGAAAGTATCACCTGACAGTCACAAAAATAAGATTGGTTGTTTGTAACATTAGTTTTAGTGAGAAAAATATCAATGACTTTTTCTTTTTTATCAACATTACACGGTATTTCGGACAAAAAAAAATAATTAAGACATAATATTTCCCAGACAATTTGACATACTGCTTCACCATTATATCGTATCGTATCATATCGCATCGTATTGTATCATATCGTATTGTATCGCATCGTATTGTATCATATCATATTGTATCATATTGTATCATATCATATCATATATTGTATCGCATCATATTGCATCATATCGTATCGTATTATATTATATTGTATCGTATCATATTGTGTCATATCGTATCATATTGTATCGTATCATATTGTATCGTATTATATCGTATATCATATTGTATCATATTGTATCGTATTATTTCGTATATCATATTGTATCATATTGTATCGTACAATATCGTACCGTACAATATTGTATCGTGTCATATTGTATCATATCATAATGTATCATACCATATCATATCATATCGTATTCTGTCGTATGTGATCGTGTTGTATTTTTTCATGTCATATATCATGACATACTGCATTGTATCATACTGTATTGTAACATACTATACCTAATCATATTATACTGAACTGAATCATATCATATCGTAATCTGTGCCACTATCAGAGTCCTGATACTTGTCAATCATCCTCAGCTGATTTTTTTCTTGGGCCTCTACCTTTGCACTACAAAGACCACTACCACTTGGCAAGAGGTGTATAGATCCACAGGAGCCATGGTTTAAAAAAATGCCCACACACTTCTAGACTTGCTTCTCCCAGTACTGCAGTTATGATGGAAAGATGCTTTAACTCTTTAGGGGGTAAGTTGTTTGGATTCAGCAGGCGGGTAGAGACGCTTCTTCTTGGTTTAAATGCCGGCTGCCGTCCGCATGGCCAGTAAAACCTCTCCTTCCCTCTTAATGAGCCTGGAGTTTGGGCTTTCAGGGGGCCCGCAGTCAGAGCCAGCCCCAAATCAAAGCATCTGTGGGGATCGAGGCTAGGGGGCAAGAGGGTTTGTTGAGGGAATGGGTTTCTGGTGTCTCCACTGGCACAAGACCAGGGAGTGAGGCTGTAAGGGCAAGCAACAAGGGAAATTATGGGGGTGATTTCACAAAAACCACTGCCTTTATAAAGGAAAGTGTGTGTGGTTCTCGTGGACTCACAGCACCAGGTAAGTGCTCATTTGGCGAGCCGTACTCAAATGCAGAGCAGTGGTTTAAAAAAACAGCTTCATAAAACAGGTTCTCACATAACTCAAGAGGGAGTGACAGCGCCTGTGCCCGCCACAAGGTCACAGAGCTGGCAGTCATCCAGAGACAGAGGAGCTCCTCTTCTCCTCGTGGACCCTCCAACTGTCTGGAGATCGCAAACTATAACAGCAGTTGAGGTGAAACCCATCTTTGTGGTTGTAGGTCCCAGATGCACAATACAAACGCACTCGTCTACAGACTCGATCCAGTCAACGGCGCATCACTTACCACAACAAAGCATCACGTAATCATGACAAAACATCTCGGTATTACAGGAGATCAAGATGCAAATCTGATCTTCCAGCTTTAATGGAGTATCGCCTTTGCCACACCACAAGCCTATGATTTATAAATCACACTTAAGTGCATGCTAAGCAAGTATTCACAGCCAGAGAGTGAGAGAGAGAGAGCTCGATTCCACATTCCTGGCAAAAACACAGAGAGCAAATCTGTTCTGTGCTACTAAGGCCTGCTGGGGCAGCCCCCTCTGCCACTGCAGCAATAACAACATGTGGTTTGGCTGCACAGCGCCAGTTTACAGAAGGAAGAGAAGAGGCGCTAAATTAATTTCATATTCTGTTGTTTGGGAGTTATAAACAATGTCACAGCAAAAGCATGGCATCCAGAGGGGCAGACACACGCGGTCACATGGTTAGAGAACGTTACATCATTAGCCTCTCAGGGTTTTGGGGATGAATTGACATGCAGCGCAAGTGTTGAGATATTCCGACTCGAATGTACGGCTCATAGTGAAAGCATCACGTCGAACAAAGGTGTGTAACAGGCAGGCAGGCAAGCCGTGTCCTCGGGCATGGCAAGCCTGGTCCCACCTCGCTATTTAGGACGGGAATGTAAAGGGTCTTTGTTTCCAAATTATTTCTGGGTTGAAGCCAGAACTCTGGGATGATACGCCGAACAAAGACACATGTCATCAGGCCTCACCTGGCAGGTTTCTGTTTGTAATCAGGTGCCATGAATTTTGTGGTTAGGTGATAATACGCTTACTATGATACAGTTCAGAGAGGAAGTCTTCATCTTAAAGCGAGTTTAAGTCAGGCTGTCCTCCCGCTGCCGCTGCTTCAGCCTTTCCCACGAGGCTCTCGAACCATAATCTCTTGAAATATTTGCACAGATGACGGCAGCGCTCGGCTGTTTTGACATCGAGCAGCATGAGCGAGATCTAGCAGTCACTTTTTCCATCACTTTTCAGTTCAGGAACAGGAATTCCCCTTTTACCGCTTTTCCCTGCAACCCGCCTCCCACCACACCAACCCGTATAACCCCACCGCCGCCACTACCCCCCCAGCACTCCTTCCTCCACTTCCTCAGCCTGCTAGGATTTGTCCACTCAGGGCCGCACCACAGGGGCCTTTACACCCGCCTCACAGCCAGCTCCCACAGTCCTTGCTTTCCACTCGCCCAAGCATGTTGTTTTCACTTTATCTGAGATGCCAAAAGTTCATTCACAGAGAACAGGGGGCGGGTGAGAGGGCAAACAGGGTTGGGGTAAAGCTGCGGGAGGATGAGGAGAGAGGTGGTTTGGTTTAGTAAGGCAGACATTTATGTGTAATGTTTCTGGCAGGATTGTCTTTTGACTGCAAGCCCCGCTATAAAAAAGCGCCCCCTGCTTGCTTCTTGATTCCCTCATTTTTTACGACTGTTCCCCTCCATGACTCTACTTCAAGCAATACAAAAAGTATGCACGCTCTAACCACTGCACTGATTTTTCACTTTCTTGGTGGCGCCTCCCTGCAGCCAAATGTTTACAGAAATATTATGGTGTCATTATATGCACTGATTATTCCCCTTTAGGTGTTTTCCATCGCTATTGCCTACGTCATTCTCCAAAGTTCATACCGAGGACTTACTTTTCACCAATTCCACAAATATATAATGTCATCCACAAGCTATTATACTTAAAAAATGAAGCAAACACAATGCTTGATATGAAAATATACCTGCAAAAAAAGGGTTTTCGGTTGATTCATTGAGTGCTGCATCATGGGAACAGGGAGGGAATTCAAAGGGCTCCTTCCAAACATCTCTCACTGCTTAAGTTTCTTCTCCTGAGGACCTACTTGAGCGCGCATTTAGAAATCTCTATCTCTTTGCTGACACTGAAGGCACGGCAGGACCTGCATGTTATAATCACAGCCCTCGTAAAGGTTGGCAGCTCTGCAGAAACACTTCCCATTTGCGGTGCAGAGGCTTGGTCCAAGCCACTTGAACTTGGCAGGGCTTTTACCTGGAACAGCCTACCAGTAGGACTGCCACAGACGCTCCCCCCTCAGCCAAGACGGGAGGCCTCGCTTTAAGCTACAACAGCTGATGTTGGCCACACCTCCAGAAAACTGGATCTAACCGACTTCCAGGTATTCATCAAGGAAGTGGGAAGTGATATGTTTTATCAGCTTGTCGCTTTTGAACAGGATGAACGGCTTGTTGTGGTAAGACATTAATGTCAGATATAAGAGCTTCCATCCAGTTTCATTTGCTAATATTTCTAAGGAGCCTGATCGTATCTAGTTTGACAAAAAGTGGTCACATGTTAAATTTAGTACATGTAGTACTAAAGCTTAAGCTCCTCCACAAAGGACAGAATTGTTCATACAAGGTGACTTTTTTTATCAATTGAGAGAGAATTACACAGATCGTATGACACCATATGGAATTCTTTTTACACATAATGTATTTCCTTTGCAGGCGCTGTGAAAGGCGAGGCCTACAGGGAGTCCTCTTTAGGAGGAGGGGAGGGGGAAAAAAAAAGCTGTATGTATGGTGAGGAGGGAGGGGGGTGGGGGGTCGAGGGGTTTAGTGGGGCGGTCCAAGCACGCTCAGCGAAAATATGCCTCATGCACTCGTTGAACTTGGGGCCTGCGCGGGCTTCTCTCAAGGTTACAGGAGAGGCCTGTGCGGAGAGGAGCAGGAGAAAGAAACCATGCAGCAGCAGTCCACACGCAACAAGGTTTCCACTGGACGCGCTTTTTGTGCTGCTTTTGCTTTGGAAATGCTTTATTTTTAGATCCAAATAAATGTTTTAGCATGTGTAATAATTAAAAAAGTGTGACGTAACATTTTTACGTCTGGTTTAAAAGTTTCCCCACACATGAAGTCCCTGACAGTCACTGAATCGCTCCGCGAGAGTCTGCTGCTCAGATAACAGAAGCAGCAAGCGATCGCCTTTGACACCACGTTTCCTTCCCTCCTCGGAGCCTGCCGGGACCTGGGCCATGTATCCGCTGCCGCACCCCTGAGCCCTCGACCACACAAAGGTAGGAAGCGGCGGCCGGAGCAGCGCGCATTGTGACGAGGCCCCCTAAATCACCTCTCGTTTTATCCACCGCTATTTACGCACGTTTCGCCAGAGGAAACCATAAAGACAACAAGGCCTAGTAAATACATCTGAAGAGGTTTGCTGGAAAAAAAAAAAAAGAAAAAAAGAAAGAGGACGGGTTATTAGCTAATTGAATGATACGGATAGTTAGCTTCTGATATGATACAGACACACACAAAGCCTTTACACTTTAACAACAGAATCTAGGACAGAAAACACGCCGCCTTGTGAATGTCAATGATTTGCTGTATGTTGTGTAAGGAAGGCGGCGTCTCATCTGAAGCCCACGGTTTACAGCGACATAAACATAATTATGTAATGTGGAGCGAACAAAACATAAGGTGATCCTCTTTAGCTCCCAATACAACCCATACCCTGTAAGTAAAACCCGCTGACACAGTCTTAATCCATGGCAGACTTGTTAAGATTACAGATCTTATGATAGTGTTTTCTACCTCTTTATGATAAAGACAGGTAACTGTGAGTCACTGTGATGCACAGTGATCGCATGTGTGATGGTAAGCAGCATTAAGGACTGTCAAATCCACTTGTCAGAAAAGAATGTAAACACAGCTCTTAGCGCAGGAACAACAACTTGGATTTGACTTAGCCTTGACAGAAAGGGGTCAAAGGGCAATAGGTAGTAAACACTCAGCTGAAGGAATTGGTCACTTTGCCTTTCCCCAAGAATTAGCAGGCCATTAGCACCTCGTAAAAAGGGCCACTTCTGCGCTTTACAACAGATTAGTTCGGCTTTCATACAAACAGCAAAGCAAAGCTATAGAAAGAGTTCCAGAGTATGTGAAGAGAGGGAAAGCCACAGAGGAATTATGGGAACACAGCCTGCTTCAATGCATAGATATTACTTTGGTATAAGCTTGTAAAAAAAAGACCAAAACATTTCTCCACGCTCAATCCTGGCTAATTTCCCCTTAAAACAAATTAGCATAAGATGAAGTGGGTCATTCTCATGTCTTGATTAAAGTAGGCCTCGGCTTTGCCCAAGTGGCCGCTCTGCAGACTGCAAGTTCAGCCCCGCAAGCTGAAAGCCTTATCAAGCCCCTTTCGTAAACAAGAGGAGGAGGAGGGGAATAAATAGCCCTGTGGAACTTAATATAAAGAGCATCAAAGCGACCATAGAGGAGAATCAGTGGGAGTATTAGAAGTCACTTGGGGTTGTCAACGTGATGGCTTAGATGTCGCTGGAGAACATCTTCGTGGAAGTAAAGCGGGCAAACAAATTAAGAGGGATGAGCTCGCACTTGGTGGATTAGTTTTAGATTTGTGGAGGCAACTCAAGAGTCGACGCCGAAGCAGAGAGACAAACAAGTCAGTCACAGCTGTGAAGACATCTGAATCGTTACAAAAACAAACGCCCACATTTGCATCTTTGTTAATAAAGTATTGAAGTTCAAGGGTGGAGTTCTGTGTTAAGTTTTCTGACTGTGAAGTCGGATCTGAGGCACGTTAAAACAGGGTCAACTCGACAGAGCTCTTCTCATTAATAAAGATTGCAACCTCATTTCCCTTAGTTAACCTTGGCAACCGTCGTACAGTCTGTTCTGTAAACTCAACTGTAAAAGTGTGGCAGTATGTGTGTGTGTGTGTGTGTGTGTGTATTGTGTATCCTGATAGCAGGTTATGTATATTGAACAGCAGCCCTGCGGCAAGCCCTGGCTCTCATCAGCGCTTCATCAAATAAGGGTGTGGTGCAGGTGCTGTGTGAAGAGCGTGGAGGAACCTATAGATACAACTCCGAGTGAAAAGGCCGTGGAGTGTGTTAATGTCAACGAGGCAAATGTTTAAACTGAATGTCAGAAGGTGCAGGTCCAATCCGAGTAGCTACAGACACTCAGCCAATCCAAGAGTGAGACGACGGGAAACACACATGCGAGGGTATTTTTAGGCCGGTACAATTTCTGTGTGACACATTTACTGTGAAGGACCTCAAGAGTGATAACGTACATGTACTGCAGTGTGCAGGAAGAGAGTGACAGTGATATTCAGAGCCACAGGAGAGCAGTAATGCAAAGATGTCCTCTGAGTGCAGTACCCTGTATAATCCCACAACCTACTTTACGGGGGGATGCGCCCCTCTTTTGCTGCTGTGTGTTCATTAATCACATTTCATATCAAAGGCCTGTCCCTGGCCACAAATATTCACTCCCAAAACGCAAAGCAACGTGTGTCAGATATCCTTTTTCATTACTTTCCGCAATCAGTTATCACGAGAAGGAACTGCGAATGGCTAATTTTGAAAAATGATCCAAATCTGAGGTCATTCATTAAAGCAGAAGTGCCTCTTCTCATTGTGCTAACACATTAAAGATCTGAAAACACACTCCCTGTCCTGATGCTGTAAAAAGGAAAAAAAAAGAAAAAAAAGAAAGCCGGTTTGAACTTCAGTTTTATCCAATGCTGCTTAAAGCCAAGCTCTCAAAATTCCCGCTCAGCACGCAGAACTGGCACTTGAGACATGAAAGGGCAGCTGCGACGTTTGGTTTACATTATATCTTAGTGGTTTCCACATTGTGGCCAGGGGATAAGAATCAGGAGAGGTTTATCTCTGTCACAGTGCTCTATGGAATATGTAAACACTATGTGTAATCAGTGCTGCAGTGAAATGGAGTGCAGGGGGGGGCTGTGTGGGAAAGTGAAGTGCTTTAGGAATATGCCGCCATCTTCCTCCACACGCTTAAGTGAAGATAAAAAACTGGGACGAAGCTGCAGAACATCCACGCTTATATATATACCACTACCTTTCAGTGAACTTGATATTTTAGCATTCAAAGAAGAGCAAAACCCACCCAAAGTAGGGGTGGGAGAAAAAATTGATACAGCTAAGTATTGTGATATTTTGTCTGGTGATATATCATATTGTCTCATTTACTATGTATCGATTTTTTCAGATTAATTGCGAATGTGAAGTCAGATCTATGATAATGGAAACATAAAATCAACTCTTTGTCCAGTGAGGTTGGCAGAGGTGGCATAACAGAGCAGGAAAAAGTTAGTACAACAAATATATATGAGGTTTGCAAGATGTGCTACATGAATAGAAAATACAGCGTAAATAAGACAAACACAAAGGAAAGCCAAATGCTAAATTAGCTAAACAGTTGAAAAAAATGTCCAAATCGCAATATTTTGTATCGCAATACTCACTGTATTGCAAGATGTTAAAAATCACAATAATATAGTATTGTGGTCCAAGTATCGTGATAATATCATATCGTGGTCCAAGTATCGTGATAATATCGCATCATGGGCCAAGTATCATGATCATATAGTATCCTTGTCCAAGTATCGTGATAATATCGCATCACGGTCCAAGTATCGTATCGTGGTCTACTGGTGATTCCCACCCCTACAAAAAAGTAGTAGAGACACTATTGTTGGTTACTTTGGAGCTGTTTTACTACCTGCACTCCAGGAAAAATTAAAAAACAAGGACATAGCTGCTGAAGAACTACTCCTGTATGTTTTTTTTTTAACTGTAAACTTGATATTTTAGTTTCAAGAAGAAAAAAAACTTCACAATGATGCCACAGTGTTGTGCAGACACTATTGTCAGTTACTTAGGTGCTAACTTTCACTCTGCTGAAGAATGCCACTCTCATCCGTCCTCATCTTATTCATCTCTTGGCTTAACTCGGTCAGAGTTTCTTTGTCTCTGTCATCCGCCCTGTGAGGCAGCGGCGCTCCTTCTTTGTCGACGACGGGTACTCGTTTTAGACGAAGAGCCTCTCTCCCATCTCGAGCCCAAGTTTTAATATGGTGCCCAATCAAAAGTGATTAAGCATCGCAGAGCACAAACAATGCTGGCCCTTAAATCTCTGTGAACCCTCTTTCACTGGAGCGAATGAAAGAGCACTCTGTCTGCCGCAGCAGATGACAGACGCGCGCTTGAAGATAAGTCTCCTACATGAGCCCTTATCCTACGAACATGCACCACCCACTGTTCAACCTAATAAAGAAAAAATAAATAGATTACAAAACACAACAGAATGGGAACCCACCTTGAAGGCATCAGTGTGGAAGTGGAGGGTATATTTTGATTGTAAATACCCCCTTTTTGGAGCACCGTGGCTCGAGGAGAACACTAAAACTACAGAGTGAGGGTGTCTCCATGCAATCTCAGCCTAAAGGATTTAAGACAAAGTAAGTAAAGTGAACAAAAGCCTGTTGATGCACCCGCATGTGCAAAACTTCTACGGTTCAGCAAACGTCTGACAAAATCAACAACAATTTTTCACAAACGAACTATTTTTAAAAACCAGGAAATATTTCCCACAAATCATCACGTCTCGCACATAAATTACCAACAATCAAAGAGCATGATGTATGCTGCATGTAACACAATACCCTGAACTAATGCATTAGATGCATACTGTTCCTGCAGGGACATACAGCAGCATGAAGATTTGAGGAGAGCCGGGTACTGGGGGCAGCGAGCTAACGCCATGAGGATACTGTTCTTATTGTAATTTTTTAAAACGCCAAGAGCGAGAGTCCTATTGCGGCTCACACTGATATGGTGGTTGGATGAATGTTTCATCAATAATATAATATGAACATGAGACAGGACTGCCTAAGTACATGTTTTCAGCACATGTAAAGCAACCTTACATAAGCTTCTATTTGTAACAGAAGCGATCTGCGGGGAGTACTGGCTGGTAGAGTCAGGTTTGGGGTTTGAAGGTAATCCCTATAATAAAGAAAATGCCTCATATTAGACAAAAATACCACAAAAATTTCCACCAATAAGCATCACATTATTGAAATATTACAGCAGCTATAGCGCATCTATTAGTAGGAGTCTGTAATTACATCCACATGCAGACACATTTGCAAACTTGAAACAGAAAGCTGCAAACGTCACCACCCGGAGGTCATGAGAGGGAGGAGCTGGCGCTATGACAACAAGACATCAGCCGTCTGCAGCCTGCTGCCGTCAACAAGTCAGCATGAGCACTACCATCTGACTGGGCTTTCCCAACACTGCCCCCATACACTCAGCCAAAACTAGCTATTGCTGCTGCTGTTACTGGCTCCTGCTTTCAATTTCACTAGAGTGGGCCAAGTAATGGCTTCAGCATTTTGTGGTCTGCCGACACATATGGTCTGTGTAGCGATCTGGTCCGGTCCCCCTGTTTGTTGGTTGTAGGACGCGGAGGGGAATGTGGCAGAGGGAGACACACACAGCTCCGGGGGCTGGCCACAGTTATTGGGAGGAGTGTATGGGTCTTGTTAAGGCTGCCATGAGATTTGGGCTCCTTCAGGCTGCTGTGGCGATCAGTGAGGAATGAACCAAAAGGACTTGTTTATTCCTGTAAGCAAGGTTCAAATCTCTGAGAAAGGAAACTTGCGGGGGTTGAGAACTAAAACTCTTTTATTCAGACAGTTTATTTCATATCTGCGCATTAGTTTTATTCTTTTTATTGCCATGCTGAACCATCTTTTATAAAGCTTATCTCTACTGTGAAAACAATTGTATTAATCCTGGTACACAATGTCCATGACTTATATAATTTTTTTCCTAGTTCTGCTTAATTTGGGGCATAGCAAACTTGATTAACAGGCAGGCACACTGCACTCATTGGTGAGGACACCAAAGGCCCACCTCAACACCACATCTTTGCCTCTGAGTTTATGTCTCTTTGCTCGAGACCTAACGCTCCAAAATGAAGGTGAAGTTACCTAATGCTAGCTTTTTTAGCGAGTGAGTTTGCTTGCTACCTATTGCTTAGTGATAAAAGTGGCGGTACATTAAGGAAGAGCAGGAACAGCTGGTGACACAAATTAGAAATCCTCAGTTTAATCTCCAAGATGAAGGTAAAGTTACCTAATGCTAGCTTTTTTAGCTCATGAGTTTGCAAGCTACCTGTTGCTTAGCGATAAAAGCGGCGGTATAAGAGTAAGAACAACCGGTGACACAAACAAGAAACCCTCTGTTAAATCTCCAAAATAAAGGTGAAGTTACCTAATGCTAGCTGTTCTAGCTAGTGAGTTTGCTTGCTACCTGTTGCTTAGCGATAAAAGTGGTGAAATAGGATGTAAGAGCAAGAACAACTGGTGACAAAAACAAGAAATCCTCAGTTAAATCTCCAAATTGAAGGTGTGGTTACCTAATGCTAACTGTTTTAGCTAGTGAGTTTGCTAGCTACCTGGTGCGTAGCGATAAAAGTGGCGGTTTAAGAGCAACAACAGATGGTGACACAAACAAGAAATCTTCCTTTAAATCTCCAAAATGAAGGTGAAGTTACCTGATGCTAGCTATTTTAGCTCATGAGTTTGCTAGCTACCTGTTGCTTGGAGATAAAAGAGTCAGTACAGGAGCAAGAACAGCCGGTGACACAAGCATTGAAATCCTCTGCAGGCCAAATCACTTCATTTCAGTTCCGCTTGAGCGTCTTAGCAGGATATAGAGGTTGGCACTTTTAAAGGATCACACCCCTGAATTAGCACAGAGCCAATAGTGTTTCAGCCAACTTTTGAACCATCAGGATGACTTTTTTAACCTTCTCTTTATTACGTCACCACTAATTCTGCTTTCGTGGCTTCTGCTGCTGCCGGCCGTATCTGGCTGCATGACCTAGATTAGAGGTTATATGCTTGGAGGCTCCCTCGACTCGCCCTTGTTGGGTTTCCTTATCTGGGTTTGTCTGGACAAATCTTAGACACAAAGCTCCCATTTTGTGCTCCTCTCTGGAGATCCTGTTACAGTGTTCCAGACACGACGTGGTCCGCCAGCAGTGCCTCTGGGAGCATGGCGTTGGGTGGAGAGTTGCGATTAGGTGCGTCTTCAACTTCAATGATATGATACATGTGTACTTCTCTTAGTTCTTTCAGACTGCTTTTGTGCCGGGATGGTGTAAAATGATCGTGGGGGGGTTAAAATGATGTCATGTTGGGAGAATTCATATAGAGCAACTCCCCATCCTCATTACCAACCAAAGAAAATACACAAGTGGATCCACCAGTGCTTAAGGATTCTCCAAAGTCAGCACTGTGATTGCTAGAATAACCACATCATAGCACAGACACCTCCTGCCTGTTAATACTCAAGATACACCAGATAATATCCCTTATCCTTCAAAATTATTCAAAACATGCTAAAAATAACATTAAATCTAAAAATAAATATACTTCTTTACAATTAAAGAAGACAAAAAAAGTTCTATAACCCACTTTTTGGACTTCTATTCTTAACTAAGAAGTAAGTTAGCCACTCAACCTATAAGAACATCCACAGTGACTGCATCAACAGTAATGGCTTGAAGTTGATCCAGTGGCCTTATTTCTCCCGCGAGTTCGAAGGACAAAGTACAACTAAGGCAGTCAGCGAGAGGCGGAGAGAAGGAGGGAAAACGAGGGAGAAAAGAGTAGTGTTCGCTGACCTCATTCTGACAACAAGCCCAGGAAGAGTCTTTCCCTGGAACCGTTTCGCAATAGCACTTTTGTTTATACAGGTGGTGGGTGAGCCAAGCAAGATATGCAAGGAGCGTGCATTTTGCAACACCTCATTATGAATACTAGCACATGCAGCATATCATATCACACACATACACATGCATACATGAGTGTTTTATCCCTGGCTCTAAGTGAGTTTTGGTGTAGTTGTGACATTTGCAGAGGAATAGGACACTTTTGTACGCGGTGGATGATTCACCCTCCCCCGTCTGAATTTCAAAGTCAGGGTTCTTCAACGCGATCCAAGTGCTGTCAAACACTACTATCCTCGGGTATCGTCCAGTGAGTACTCGCCTCCTGGAACGGAGGCCTCTGGTTGGCTCGTGTGTTTGGCTGCAGGGCCGTCTTCTGCAACAACATCCACTTGGCCAGAGTTCAACCCACGTGGAAGGCTACAATAGCCCAAAGGTGGCTGCCCAGACTATTGTTTATGCAACAGCACACTACCGCCAGGTTAAAGGGAAAAGAGCAAGACGGCGGTTAAATATGCAGCGCTACTACCTGCATCAACACAGCTAGGCTGTCTGAATCTTCTCGGTGCAAATCAGCTCAGTGACATATTTTATCACACTCGCTCACATGTACAAGGTTTTTGTTTTGATGGTTGTAACATCACAAAAAAGACATTTTTAATTCACTGCTTTATTGCCCATTAAGAAAGTTGTTGCCTCTTAGCTAAACGCTTGTGATTGCACTTTAATTGAACATACTGCTTTGTAAGAGTGATGTACTTTATAAAAATAAAAAATCTATTGGAGGTAATGACCTGTGCTTTTAGATTATTTTCTAAAAGAAGCAGCACACTGTTGCACACTACAAGAAAATGGAAATCTGAAACGCGACCAAAGCTATTAAACTTTAATAAAATTGTGCCCAAACTAAATAGATTTTTACGCTGTAACAGCTGAAGCCTGAATACAAACCCATGCATAAGTTAATGTAGCGCCTATCTTCTTTTCACACTAACCAGCAAGGTGAGCCAAATCCATTACATCCTGAAAAAAGCGATCCACACAACAGCTGTTTGGTAAACATACCAAAGTAATTGTTCCAAATGCCTTACTTTAACAGAGATTAAATGCAATTAGAGTCTGTTTATCTAACCACAACAAGTCTCTCTGCCAAAAGAAAAACCTCTGTCATTGTTTCTCCCTGCTCTGCTTGGAGGGAGTACAGCTGGGAATAGTATGACTTTTCTTTTTTTCCAATAGTAGCTTCCTTATGTACAGGAAAGGACTTTAATATACAAACAAAGCATATGCTTACTGCATAGGAAGACCAAAGGGATGGAAAAAAAACGGTTGGTTGGATAAGGCAAGGGTCTTCTGAGGTGAATATGAAGAATTTAGGTCAGTGCAGCCGAGACATTTAACCAGCTCAAGCCGCTGCAGCCTGGTGGAAATAGCACGGGAGGCCAGGGAGAGGGAAACCAGTGCGTCACAGCTCCCGGCCTGATTCCAGCTTCCCCCCCAACGCAAACAAGAGCCATAACTTCCCTAATGATCCCAGATCATGTACGCCTCGGACACGCTCCGCCAATAGGGAGCACTTCCTCTTCACCTTTGACCTTAAAGTGGGTGTGCCTACCTTTGACTCTGCGTGGCGCTCTGAACATGTACGCAGGGTGCTAATAACAAGAACTGCGAGGTTTGAATGTCCCACTTTAAAACCATTAATCCGAGTGTTTACAGAATCACACTGCAACACTCCAAAACTTCGTGAAAATCCCAATTTAAGACCTGACAAATCTCTTAATATCTTTAATATTTGCCAAATCTCGACGATCTGATTCCCTCCTTTCAGTCGTCTTGTCGCACACAAACGCGCCACGATTCAAAAATCCAACGCCGCACACTCTCACACACGCACACACACATTGTAAACAGCCTTTATTGAGACGTGAGTGCTTGTATAAACATAGCCAAGCCCTATTGAGGGTCCAGGGCTGGGTCGAACAATAAGAGGGGGAAAGTTGCTGGACGTTCCTCACAGACGGTGTGTACAAAATCCAATTATCAGAGCCATGGCATTAACATTCCAGCAGTCTGGCAGGTGACGGCTCCGTCTTTTCAGCCCCCTCTCCTCCTACCCCACCAGCATGGGATGGAGTCGCCAGGCAGCACCTCGACAATACACACACACACACACACAGCCTTCTTCTTCAGTACCCCCCCTTTTCAAGGATCCCCAAAGTATTGAGACATATATAGAGGGAAGAAGGCAAAGAGAGGGGAAGCAGATGAAGAGTGGAGGGGGTCTGGGGTCCACCAGCAAGACTGGTCTTTTCTTCAGGAGATCAGCGCGACCGGCCTAGCAGGCAGTATCAGTCAATGGGGCTTTCTTCTTCCTCTCTGTCTCTGGGTGAGAATATGTTGATCATTGATAACATTGCTTTGATTGCCATAATGGGGAAACCACTTTTTGTTTCATGCATTTGCTTCTAAACAGAGCGCTCTTTGTCAGCGTGGGATGACGTCCATGGCATACAAGATGCCGATTAAAAAAAGGTTTAACGGTAAAACAAAAACAATGTTGTTCTCGGGTACAGGGGCAAATTGATAATGGATTAGAGTTAAGTCTGTATCTGGAGGCCCCTGGGTGACAAGAAACACTACAAATAAAGCCCCGGCGTTTACTTCAATCTCACAATTTTGATAAGCTTATTAAAAAAATAAACTTTTGCAACTTTACCCTGTAACTTTTTGCATCTTTCCTCTGCTTCTTCCATCAGCACTGAAACCCCTCTGCCATAGTGAAGCACAGCACCATGCACGCATCACTGACAGTTGTTCTTTTCTTTGCTTTACATACAGTACATTTAGTCCTTATCACTACGGGATGTGGTGTACGTGATAGGGTGCATGTGATATGCAACGCCTCTGCCTGGTGTCCTGCCTTGTACCCTTGTCAGGTCCTATATATAAACGTACATCTGGCCTCCATTCTGCTCTTTCCATCATGTCATCCCATGGAGAAGGCTGGAAGAGATACGCACAGTACAATACGTGCAGTATGGGGAAAAAAGTACAACTTTTTATCATGGATTCATTACTCAAAAGCCCAAAAACGCAAATATTAACTTCATTAAGATCTTAAAAATCTGTTTTAATTTGTTTTTACCGCTTCTAATCAGTTACCAATCCATAACTGCAGTAAATTTTTGTTGACTAAATAACTGATTTACGAGCTCACAATGTAAAGAAGTGTGTGTGACAATTATAGGAGTGCATATAAGTATCCAAAAAGATGTTTATGAATTTTAGAGAAATGCGCCGCAGCTGCAGTTTGGCTCTGCTTTTTGTTTTGCTTTTTTCAAGGCAAAGAATAACAAACAATTTGACTTCATCCCCAAAATAAAACTCCTTTTCTGTCTCTCCTCTGTATGTTTCACTGTCTCCCTCCGCTGTGTAATGTTGGTCAAGTGTCTTGTGGTTTTCTCCACCCCCACCAGAAGGCTTGCGCACGGTTAATTATTCTTGGAAGGAGGATGAAAAAAGTAAGTTCTTTCTTTCTTTCTGTCTTTTTTTTTTTTTTTTTCATTAGCTCAGCAGCGGTTTCCCATTCATAACAGTTGGCAAAGGTTTTGCGCTGCCTGCCAGAGATCACACCCCGACCATTTTCATTTTCCTTCATCCATTTGTTTCATTCATGTCATAGATTTGGCAGGGACCGGCATCGTTTTCCTGATGGCCGTCGACCCTTCAACACCCCTTTTGAGGCTCAAGCTCCCGTTTGTGGCTTTGTTTTGCATCAGAGGGAAGAAAATGAGGAAACAACAATTCACGCTGGTTTTGATCCGAGTGACTTTTTCTTAAAGTTGCAGTAATTCAATGTTGGAATTATTAAACAGAGCCAGAAATACTTCCACAAAGATCTGCTGCTGTTCTCTTAACGCAGAGAAAGACTTCATGTGTTGAAACTTTTCTGGGGAAGAGGCTGGATGTTATTGGATTTATGTATGTGACTCGTATGTTGGATTAAATCCAAAAAAATCAGTAAGTACAGAGTGTGTGGGCTTACATCCCCCCTGAGTTTTTACTATACTGTTCTTTAAGATTGCAGAGGTTAGTGAATGCACCCTGTAAAGCACTCCCCATCACACTTTAAGTGCATTACACAGTGCATTCAGCTATCTAAGGCCTCAAGAAACAGCAGTTTATCATCATACAAGTACTGGAACGATGCCCACTGACAGTCGAGTTATATCACACATACACACACACGTTCAAACACTCTGCTCCCACCCACCGGATCAGCCACCACTTTGCTAAATCTATCGACTGCAGCTGCTTGCATGTGTTTTAATGCATGCATACAAGCTGAATACACGTGAGTTCATGTGTACGTGTGAGCATCTGAGTTCAAACATGCAAATATACTGTACTTATAGCCTGCAGATGCAGTTTGTTCTTTCAGGGCTGTAACTTAATCCAAGAGAACTCTTAAGTGTCAAATAAAACCAGGGCTCTTAAGCGCCAGGAACCAGGATTCCCAGCATGGAAACAAACAAGATGGCTACCGCGTGATGTGCCCCGACTCCCTCACGGTGCTCCCATCTGAATGAAGTTAGAGGCTGGCTAACAGGAGTGTAGAGGAGAAGAGTCTCCTGGGGCTGTTGGCTCAGCGAGCGGGACCAGAGGATGGCTGCACTGTGGATTAGGGCCCCACAGTGGTCCATTGTTAATTGGGCGCCATGTGTGAAAGCTACAGAGAGATTAGTTTGTACAGCTGCTGCCATTTGTCATAACTGCCCTTAACAAGACACACATGGCAACGCAAGTTACAGCCAGAGGTTTCACAGAAAAAGGGAAGAAGAAAAAGAAAAAAAAAAAAACGTCTGGTGAGCAGCTAATAGTTTGTGAAACAGAAATTCATAAGCAGATGAAGATGTTCAGGAGAAACACCAAACAGACTCAGCTGGGATCCCATATGAGATGATGTGATTGAGCATTACTCATTTAGCCATCTGTAAGTCAACTGGGGTCAATAAATAGCTGCTTTAAAAGCTCCGCAGATATCCCAGACTACAGGTTGGAAACGATTTGTCTGAACAAAGATCAGCTGTAGCGTCACAGAATTAGACGGCCTGTTTTTAATTAGACAGATGACAGGGGAGGGCTCTGTAGAGATAACAAAAAAATTAAGCACTATTACAGCCTAATGCCCTCCTGTAAGCCAAATATCCTCGGTAATGTGGGCTACAACCTTAAACAAGGGCTTGAGTGGAGTAGAGTTATTTTTTGGTAGGAATCCGCAGTGTAATTGTGGGTTGTTGGTCTGCGCACATGTTGGAGGCCTAATTACAATCTTGACTTGGTAAATCCGGAACAAGCCTTTTAAGAGCTCTCACTTTCAATTTTTGCCCGACAGATGCTAGAGCGCTGTTGTTATTGAGAAGTTGCGGCTCATTGAGTCTAAATGCAGTCTACTGAGCTGAAGTGCAGGTGAGCAATGATCTGATTTGAGCATTAAATGAGTTCACGGTATTCTGCACGCACATGTACATGGCTGTATGAGTTTAAGCGTGTGTCCACATGTGTGCATTTTTGTGTTTGCATAAAAATTTTTAGAAGGGGTTTTTTAAGCCTCGTGCAAGCAAAAACAGGCTAATTTGAGAGGAGTTCCATCTATTTGGAAACAAAACATATGGACCTTAAGGGCCATCGTGGTAAAAAGCCACTTATTTTCCTAGTAAAAGTACGATGGTCGCTTTTGGAGGGGGAAAGGTTTTAGCTTTCTCCCTGATTTCAACCGCATTCAACAGAATTCACATGCAGTATCTGTGCAGCGGGATAGCTCTTTGTAGCACCATCTGTTTTCACCATGTGGAGTTTGCAATCCTGCTAGCAAACAGAGCAGTCTGTATGCTTGGACTGGTAACTTTGATAGCTGTAAGGTACCGGATCACCTGGCCGTGACCAATTTATCTTCAGTCACACAACAACCTGCATCAAACCTGCACTTGACAAGATTTATTAACTAAAAACAAACAATTTTTGATTGTCAGGATATGTTCTGTTAATTTAGTTTTTCCCTGGTTTTGTTATTTGAGTGTACCTGTCTTGTAAATTTGTGTTTGACCCTGTTTCCCTCCTATTCTCTGTGTTTTATTCTTTAGATCAGTTTCCTGTTTTATTTTGTAGTAGTTGATACCTTGGCTGTGTCCAAAATGAATCACTCAATCCCTAACCCCTAACCCCCATATGGGGTTTCACTATATAGCTGACTATGTAGTGAGCTCAATTACTGGATGTTTCGGACACTACATGTCCCACTGTTGTGACGTCACTGCTCAGACTGCGGCGTCTGAAGTTGCGTCTGTTGTTAAGTTCATCTCTTGATAAGTTTATGATGTTGTATAGATGTATTTGTTTTTCCAGGATGTTTGTGAAATAAAAAAATAAAATAAAACAACAATGAATTAATAATCTATTTAAAAGGCACTGGAATTGATCACTCAGGTTTCGGACACCCCTCAAAATGGCGCTATCCCCCATATAGTCACCTATATAGGGGTTAGGGATCCATTTCGGACACAGCCCTTGTGTTTCTAGTCTGGTTTTACTTCCCTAGTTTTCCCTCCTTCGTTAATCACCCATGAGTTTCACCTGTGTCTCGTTTGCCTCACCTGTTGCTCGTTATCCAGCGTGTGTATATAGTCCCTGTCTTCCCCTCTGTCCTTGTTGGTTCATTATATGTCTGTATGTCGATGAATATGATTGTTTTTGTGGATTTTACTCTTTTGTGGCTTTTTTTAATTTACTTCTTTTAATTCAATCATTTTTTGTTCTGCATTGGGTCTATTTCTTTGTTTAACCCTGCATGTTGTGACACTAATTGAAGTTGCTGAAGTACAGCCCACCATGTTTAAAAACGAAACCCTTGTCCTAACAGAACCACGTACCTATAGTGCAAAACATAAAGCTCCCTGCAACCCAAAGTTACTGAAACTACTGTATAAGCTTTATGCAGCTTGATGGAAACTTGGATATAAGAATGGTGAAGCAAAAATGCAGAGGTTGTTTCTTTGTGTGACATGCTGAGATAGTATTTTCAGCAAATAAATTTAGATAAAAACCTGCATTATTGTAGCTGATGGTCTTGTTTGCTTTTAGATAACAGGAAAAGGCATTAATACGTAGTTTAGTCTTTCTCACAAACATGGCAATACTTCTTATAGGACCTTTAAAGCCACATATTTATGAAGAAACTTGGAAGGAAGCTATGTATAAAATATGAAGTTTCTCTCTTAATGTACACTGTATTAGTTTGTGGATTGACAGGATACATATACGATAGAAGAGGTGTCCGTGTTGAAAATCTGTAACACCTCCTGTTTGTCGATGCTGAGGCATGAGATTTTAAAGTAGTTCTATCAAAGGTGTCCATATTTCCTCTCCTCCTGTCGTTCCCTCTATAAGGCTTTCTTTAATCATATAACCCTTAAACTGCATGTTTATGTAAGTGCTAAAAGAAATAAACTGCTTTTTCCTACTCTCCTGTCATTTTTTAGCATTCCTATAACTTTCCTTCCAGTATGGGTTCATAAAAATAAACAAGCAAACAGGGGGTTGAATTGGTTACAGCATATGGCATCCACGACTGGACCAGTCAAGATTTCGTTTCTAGATTTTGCAGCTTTTTTTGGAAGAGAGGACCTGACATATGTGAGGGAGGAGTTGAAGCTCTTTGGCTAGCCTTGACAACTCAATGGGGCGCTGATGAATCCGTCCCAAGCAGGCCATTCCCAAGCCCCAGACACCATATCCCCTCTTTGACCTGCTGCACTGACATTAGAAAGAAACCCTCAGGGGATTCGCGCCCCACCCCAAACAGCAACATGCCCACCCAAAAAGGACATTTTGCACTGCGCTGTGATGGTGGAACATTTTTTTTTTCTGTCCTGCTCAGGTCTTGTCGAGCCGTCACAGTGATGGGCCGTACTGTACCGCCAGACAAAAGAAGAGACAACCATCACTCTGGGCCACTGATCGGCCCTGTCTGGACTGAAAAGACTTTGATGGGGTGAGGCAGGAAGGGGGGGGTAAGGGCGCACAGAGAAGTTAGTGTCTCCTGGGCAACCACTCTGATTGTCTGTCCCTGCCTGAAGTTCCCCATCACACCCCACCTACTACCCTTCCCGTTTTTTTTTTCTCCTCCCTTCATTGGTTGTTCAAAAGACTCCTTCCTGGGCAAAGGAGACTGGCTTTTGCATAAAGGTCTGGTGCTTGAGGATTCTTTTCCACTGACTGACTTAAAAAATGTGGCCAGAAGACATTGTCACCTGAATTTCCCATGTGAGGCTTTGGTTTCTCCTCTTTTCCTTCTTCTGATATAGCAGTCTACATGACCAGGCAAGACGGAACAACAAGTTCTTGTAGGATGGCAAAGAAGAGATGGGCATGGGCTGGACGGAGAAGCTCAGGGCACAGGGAGGGTCCGCTTTGTAAGGCAGGACAGTGAGGTACAGTGTAGTGCCTGGGACAGGGGTGAATGTACCCATTTGTCTTCATTTGGGAGGACCGGCAGACAGGGTGGGGGTGGGGAGTCTATCCGGGAGGAGTGGGAGGTGCCGGTCCTCCAGTCAAGTGGCCTCGGGGGGATTTGAAATGTATTTGGGGTCCTCCCCGAAAGCCTGGGAAAGTGTGGGGAAGCTGAGGTCTTAACCATAGTCTAATGACACAAACTATGGTCCTTAACCAAGTGCAGCCACAAATGCTAATCTGAGCCGAAGCATGCGTAAAGAAAAAAAAAAGACTTTAAATTCCCCTTTAGAGCCAAAAAAAGACCTTTCCCATTTTTTGAAGGATGCAACAGCATTAGCTGTGACTCAAGCAAATTAAACACGCTGTAAAAGAGGAAAAGAGGGAGTAGTAAATTTTGTTGAGAAAGAAGGCATCCACATTTCTCAGTGGCCTCTGCTCCGAGTTGCCTTGTTTCCATGGAGATTTATGTACACATGGCACACAAAAGAGGGCTAAGGAGGTAACATGGCCTGTTTAAGCCTTGAGGTATTTGCTCGAGCAAAACCCTGCTGCTAATAACACAAGCTTCATACTGAGCCAGGCAACCTGGCTGCACCGCACACCGGTTAGTGTTTGAGAAAGACCAGGAGGGGAAAGAAGGCAGAGAGGGGAGTCAGGAGATCACAAACATGCAAAGATCCTGGAGAGAGAGAGCGGAGAAATCGAGAGAGAAAGAAAGAAGAAAGAAGGGGTGAAAAGAGGAGAAGAAGGAGAGCGAGAGCGAAGGAAAGAACACAGCAAAACATAAATAGCTCCAGGGTTAAGAGAAAAAGGATCGGGAAGACATTTAGTGGGAAGCGGAAATCAATAAGGCAAGCGGTGAAGCTGGGAGGGAGTTCTAAGTGGATTAGATTGAGAGAATGTGTTCGATAGGTTATGGCTCTGAGAGAGAGGTAGCCAGACACCGCAGGCTCTATTGCATACTAATAAGGAAGCCAGAATGGAAGCTAAGCACAGGGTTGTGCGGTTCAATCTGAAGAGTTTTTCTATATGGCTCTGGAGTCAACGGTTAGGGTTTTTCCCAGGATTTGTATTTTACGATTGTACTGATTCTGTTCACTGTTAAAATTCGCATCTAAAAATAAAAATCCCACTCCGCTACCAAAAGAAACCATTTCTGAGTCTTTTCCGAAACAGTCTCCGCAGAAAAAAAAGGAAGCGGGGGATATCTTTATAAATCTGAATGTGTATCTGATGAAACCAAAAAAGGAAGACAAGCGGTAGTGTCTTTAACGCTGTCTGCTTGCAACAACTTTTGTTTCACACTTCTGGCATGAACCCAGCCACCCCTTCTCTGGCCAAGTGCCTGGGCCTGGGACAGCTGTCATGGTTGGAGTCTCGGGCTTGAGGCAAAGCCAGGGAGCGAGAAAAAGGAAAAAAGAGAGAAGGAGAGAGAGAGAGAGAGGGAGAGAGTCGTTTGGCCGGGCAGCGTGCCGCAGGGGTGATTCCTGATGGCAGAGGAGGATAAGGGGATGAAGAGGAGGGAGGGATGGATGTTGTGCTTAGTCACAGACCTCCACTGTGACCCACAAGGTCAGGCCTCCGCACTGGCCGCCTGACCAAAGCCTCTGAGGCAGCCAGGCGTAAAACAAGATGCAAACAGCTCGCAAACACAGCATGGCTGTGGCCGGACTTGAGGACAGGAACCGGGGATGGAGGTATCAAGAAAGGAAAGGGAAGGGGGGTTTAGAAGTTGAGGGGAGTCAGTGGTACCTACTCCCCTTCACTTAAGCCAGTGAACCAAGGGAGGACCACCAGCCAGACCAGAAGTAGAGCCGGGGGAGTGGAGACAAACAGTTGCCAAGGGACCACCAGTGATCCGCAACCGCCGCAGTTTGACCCCGATAGAAGAGGTCAACAAGGGGGGCTTACGATCAGCTCTCCTGCCTCTCCCCCTGACCACAACCACCCCCCCACCAGGCAGAAAAGCCTTCCTCCTCCACGTGCCTCCAGCCTTCGCAAACGACGTGTTTTCACTGATCTGTTTTGCTCAATTAAACTTCAGAGGACACCCGCCACATCCCGTCGCAAAGGCCGTGACCTCGGGGGCAGAGGTTAAGTCAGGCGCTCGTAAAACAAGGTCTCCATTAGCACGGCGGCGTGCGTTCAGACGTAATCCATCCATTTCCACAAACTATCATGACACTGTGGAAAAAAAATGCATTAGCGAAAGGGGGAAAAAAAAAAAAGTCAAGGTAATCATGTTTTATGGTTGTGTTAACCTCCAGAGTAATAGGAGGGCTGCTTGACCCTGACTTTTTCAGCCAATTGGTCTGCTTCAGAAATCCTCTCTGTCACTTGAGAGGAGGAGAAGGAGGAGGAGGAAATCCACCGTTTTGATTCTGAATTTCATTACTGTTCCTATGTCACTACAATTAAAAAAATCTTTAACCGAAAGCTTCCTTAACTTTTTCAAATATCTCGATGCGTAGCTTCATGGAAAGTATTTTCATCACTATATTTATGATACAAAGTGTGTAATTTATGAACGAGGCATATAAACAAGCAGAGCCGAGAACTCTCCCTGAATACAATAGTAATGAGCAGCTTAACAAAACCCAATACAAACGAGGCCTAGAGTATTCTAACATGTCCTAACATGACTATCATCTGCATGCCTTGTTACAGCTATTCCATCAAGCTGTCAAACTGGATATGCAAAATATGGATTCAGGGGGGGAAAGGCAATGATTTCAAGAAAAAAAAAAACATAGAGATGCACTTTGTGTTTAAAACAGCGCAATGGAGTAAAACAACAACAGCGTGTGAGTGTGAGAAGCCAGGGCCTGTATTGAACGCGGCCTGCCAGTTGGCACAATGGATGCCACAGCCCCCACTCCCAGCCCCCAGCCTACTTCCCAGCGGGCATTCATCTGGGCATGCACATGGGTGCTACAGCCCTGCCTGGCTAAACGCGTCTGTGCCCCAGAACAAGGGGGCTGAGTGCCCTCTCTAAATTCACCCCGCACACTTGCTGCCAACCCCGCCGACCTTTCTCAGGCAGGAACGCACCGCAGTCACAAACAAATACACTCTGACCTTACTGGTTTTCGCCTCCAAAAAGTAGCAGAAAATGCTGTAGGTAGATAATTAAAACAGATTTTTATGTCATCCGGTTACACAACACAGTAGAAGCGAGCCACTGCCAGGTAGCAGGACTCAGAGAACACTTTAAAAACACGGACCGGACTGCTTTTTTTTCAGCAGTTTGCACAAAAATGAGGTTTTGTTCCAGACTGAGCCGTTTGCTACTTTCTTTGTATTTGATTGTATGTTTGTTTGTTTCGTGCAGTTGCAGCAGAACAAAGGCGGCGGCTTCCATTCTGCCACTGTCAAAAAACTTTCCAACGTGCCCACTGCATTGCGGATGCCAACCAACGAATCAAAGGCATGCTGCAAGCAGACAAAGAGGGTTTGATGCCAACCTCCAAACCTCTAACAACCATTACTGGTGATTTGCCTGCCTCCCTGGCACCGAGCAAAACAAAATGGCGGCGCACCACACGCTACCACAATATGGCTGCATTGTCTGGAAGCGGGCACTGCTCGGTAACTTGAAGAAAGGAAAAAGGACACTTAAGCTTGTAGAAAAAACGAAAAAAGGGGGAAAAAGCATGGCTGTCTCTGTGATCCGGGCGAAAGAATGCCATTCTGTATTTGCCAAAGTTTCAACTCACTGAAATTTGAGGACAACGGTAAATAATCGCTCTGATCCACAATGCGAAGTTGCGTCCAAGTGGAATCAAGTCTCCTCGCGAAAAAGGAACATCGTGTTCAAAATTAATTTTAAACCCTCAAATGAAACCTCTTGACAGAAATTGTAGTTTTCCTCTAAAGCGAAATACATTTACCTTTTTAAAGGAGAGCTGAGTCTGTTCTAGACAATACAAGCTTTAACATATCATCTAAATGGAGCGTATCATTGAAAACGGCACTAAAGAGCCATTCTCAAGTTGGTGCTGAACAGTTAAAAAACGCAGCAGATGCAAACTAGAGAAGCGGTGGCATCCTACAAAAGACACAAAAGAGGGTCTGATGCCAACCCCGGTGCCAGTGGCAACCATTATTGTCTGTGTGCAGTGCCTTCTGCTTTCCCTGGCACTTATCAAACACAAAATGGCGCTCAGGGTTTGATGATAATGAGCTAGCTATAGCACCATTTCTCCCTCAGTGGCAAAGAATTGGTGGTTATTCAGTGTTGCTGCAGTAGATTTGATACAAGGGAATTTACAGGGAATACTATAGCGGGGGTTTCCTGCGGTACCAACGGATAACAAGAGGTTTAAAACTGAGGAGGACAGGAATAGTTCTTCTCTGTAACCAGCTACTTTGCTATTGACTCAAAAATACAGACTGACTTTTTTTTATTTTCCAGAATACGACCTTGAATTCTGCAAAAAATAATAAAAAATAAAACAGTATGTGTCTGGAACAGAATACAAATGAAGATTAGATAGCAGATTTACCTCTGATTGAACAATACTCGTGCATTTTTCTGCTTTTTCTCTCTTTTCCTCCTCTATTTAAACCTAATATCAGACATCAGATTTAAACGAGTGATTTTCTCCTAAAGCAGGTGAACTTTCTCAGTTTATCGCTGTCACGTTACAGTAAAGAAAGCCAGTTATGAACCACAAAAACTCATTTCCAACGATATATTTTAGCTGTAATCCCCAACACTTCATTTGAGAGTTGCACTTTAGTTTTAAATAATAGACAAATAAATACTTAAGACTCGTTTTTGAAGTTGAAAAAAAGTGTGTATTAGAACTGCTGCAAGCACTTTGTAACAGGTTTATCCTGTTATTTCACGCTGTCTTAGAAGAATAAATAAAAAAAAACATCAGGACACCAGGTACTGCATCGACTTAGGAACCAGATTTTTTTTTTTTTAGGAAATGAAGGATGAATTTTTTTACTTTGGCACAAATACAATCAAATTTAGAGGACTGTTAATATCACACATAATTCCTCATGTATGTATAGAAATATATATATAAAATGCACTTAAATTTTAAAACACCCTAATTTTGCGACTTTTTTTCGTTCAAACATTTTTAAAGAGGAGGAATCTAATTTGTAAAATAATTTGCTGTGATTTTATTTTGTAAATTACATTATTTCTTTTCTGCATGGTAAGGCCAAGAGTTTTTAACTAATCTATTAATTCACCCCAGATCTGTAAAAAACAACCTTTTGTATAAGAATCCTGTGTCACTGTAGCCTAGAAGAAGTATAAAAAATATAAGCTACTGAAAAAGACGTTTTTAATTTCAGCGAGATGCAGCTTTCCACAAAAGTCTCAACAAAGAATCCTCGAAATAGAACATGTTCACACTGTGTGTTATTTCACAAGCCTGTCTGTTTGAGTGTGTACGAGAGAAAAAAAAACACCCTCTCCAAATAACAGAAAGTGAATAATGGCTGGACAGGAGTAAAAGCTGCTGCTGCTGGAGTGAAGCAGAGCAAAAGAACATATAAAACATGTTCAAGGTTTTATATCGAGCGCTGTTTGTCTTTTTGTTTGGTTATAAACCCCGATCATATAAAATCATATGCAGCTTCTATGCAGCGCTGATGATTGTATTTCTCGTGTTTATTTGTCTGGCGAATGTGGAGAGGTGATTTCAGCCAGTCTTTGTAAGCCATGCCAAAAAGTAACACATGTGACCCTTGACCCTGCCAAGCCATCATTCACACACGTGTGTTCGCTCACACACATACACAGAGTAACAAACACGTACAGTGTGCGCTTAAACCTACCTTGGTCCTGGACATAGTATGCTAGAAACAAGTCCAGCTCCTTGACCGATACTGTAATGTGGTGAGGCTGGACACAAAGTGCTGGGTTGCTGCAAAGTGGAGACTTGACGAGGCGTTCCCCGTCTGTACTTTCCAGAGGGATGCCTTTGAAGAGGATGACCATCACCAGGTCCAGGCGCCAGACTTTGTCGGCCTGCCGCAAACAGTCGATCCGGCGGATCTTGCCCTTCTGGTCCGGGTTGGAGAGCACGCAGCACGGGTGCTTTTTCCCCGTCACGCTGAGGACAAAGTCCTCCCGGTACTCCTGCCGAATGTCCTTACGCAGCTTGGCCAGCAGCCTGGATGCCCATTTCTGCTTCACCTCCGGCTTCTCACTCAGGAGCTCGTCCTTCACGGCGCGCTCCTCGTCCTTGGACATCCTCTTCTCGTGCTTCTTGAAGTACTTGCGTTTTCTGGCCTGGAGGTTGAACCACGTGTAGGCGATGGCACGGACGTGAGGAAGAAGTGCCTCGATGAAGGGATGAAATTCATCCTGGAGCATCCGAGGGACACAGAAGGGAGAGAGAAGGGAGAGAACTGTAAGCAGAAACTCATGTCATAAAGCATGGGAAAGAAATATGGGTTTAGTCAGCTACTAATCTGAGGCAGCAGGGGAGTCAGACCACAAATAAACAACTGCACATAATCAGACACACAACATCTTATTGGAAGTTTCTACAGCTTAAAATGAAGAACTTTCTCTTCACATTACAGCAGTTTTACCATCCTGCGTGTATCTGTGTGTACTGCAGGTATGACAAGGACGTTCCACTGTTTATTTAAACTGCCAGCACAACAATAGCAGCGAGCTCAGTGACTGAAAGCACTCGGGTCTCTGCTCTCGTTTCCCGAGCATGCTCTGAGCGGGACTCCTGTGCTGCTGCTGCTGCAGGGAGCATGCCTCCCTCACTGTTTCATTTCTCTTATAAAACTGTCCAAATTCCACTCTTTAACTCATCCCCTGTTCAAAAAAGGATGGAGGATAAGCAGGAAAATTTCAGGAGAAAACAAAAAAAAAAAAGACAAAAAAAAGTAGGATAAAGGAGATTCACGCTCTCTTGTATTAAACACAAAATGCGTGAAAAACCCAAGCAGAGCAGAAAAGCAGCTTATTAAAATAAGCAACTGATTTGAAAGGAATTTGAAAAGGTTGAGTAAGGACTCGGTTCAAAGTTCGCAGCAAATTATTGTCAAGTGTTGAAGTTTACTCGTCATGCTTCAGTTCGAAAACCCTGAGGTTAATCAGTGGTGATCAAATCTTGACAAACTTGAACATTTTCTGCCAGGTAGGAGGTTTTTGAATAATAAATCATTTTACACTCTAATTTTTAGGAAATGGTATATATTTTTTAACAATACTTATATGTTATATTGAGTTTATATATTGAGTGTTTAACATGAAGTCCCAAAGCATCATCTTAAATTTAAATCTAACACTTTACTTAGTATACGTGTCAAAAAAAGAGTATTTCTCACTCTGAATTTAACTGATTTTTTTATCCTGTGTGTAAAAATCAAAACACTAGAATTTCTACGGTAACTCAGCCGTTTACAGGCCTACAGGCAAATAAAATAAATCTCTAAATGCTTGTTCTCTGTAGGTGAAGGAATGCACAGGACGGTGTGGATGATTTAAGAGACTTTAGGAATTACAGCAGCAGCGAGTGACAAATGGAAACATTAACCTATCTTTTCTTTTTTTTTTTTTAAGCCTTAAAAATGTCAAATTTAATAAGTACAAGCAGACCCCCTTTTTCCAGCGGGGCGTTTGAAGAGTTAAACCACATATTGTGCTTTTCGTAGGCAGCAGGGCAGGCGGGCTGTAGGGAAACCACAGAAATCCACTCCCTATCTGTGTGCCTGCCGCTGAGAAGCCACATTTCTGGTCTGCACTTTCGGGCCAATAAAACTCCGCTCCAGCAAAGTAATGTCAAAATATACTAATTATTAAAAAGTGTGAATTAACTATTTGTACTCCAGGTTTTGTAGTTTTTAAACTAATTATATTTCTAAAGACTTCTTAAAGTAGACATTCAGAGGACCTTTTAAATGTCATCTCCTCGCTTAACTGACAAAAGTAAGCAGTAAATGTAGGTAAATATGAACGGCAGCAACTGTTTCTAAAATCCTTTTCAAATCAAGTTTCAACTTTAAATATACTGTTGATTTTTGAAAGCAGGCTAAAGCCAAATGCTGTAAAGATAAATGACTTGGCCGGGGCCTATGCTGTGCACTTCAGCTGGGGCCATAAAAGCACAATCCTCTTAAGTACAAACTAAACCACATCTCAGTCAATCACTTACTTATGCCAAGTAAAATATAAACAGTAAAACTGAGTCAGCCAAAACAGTCAGCTACTCTGTCCAACCACTGAATCAACCTTATCATGCGTTTGATCTTCCTACAGTGAAAGTTGCTTTATCTTCATCCAACTTTTTCACCGCAAAGTATAGGGGTTTTAACTTTATATAAAAAAATATATACACGTGGGAGAAAAAAATACAAACACAGCGCAAGTAAGGCTGGGAAAGTGTGTGTGTGAGGTTATTGGAGGACGCAAATAACTTAATTAAACCTATGGGAAAATGCGCATACCTGCACCGAATGCGCACAATGATGACAGTCTGGATTGATTGGATGTAATTCAGCTTTACGCACAAAAACGCGTAAAGATTGACATTTTGGTGACTTTTTACGCGTCCTGCACGATTATTCAACGTGTTTGATGGGACTTTGGTCTGAAGAAAAAAAAATCCAAATTGTGCGTATTGGAATTGAAACTGGAATTTGGCACCGTTTTGGATAATTTTCTATCTCGTAAAGCAAAATGTGGTTGTTGTCGTTATTAATTGTGAAAGTATTTCCAAAGTACGCACAGAACTTCAAATTCCCTGAACATGCACAGTTGTAACAAGTTTATGCAAAATATGCAAATCACAACAATCTAATGTAAATATTTAAAAAAAGGACACAAATACCTGAGTAAGACAAATCGGGGAATACATGACGAGACGGCAACGAAGAGAGAGAGAGAGAGAAAGCACTTGGACTGATTCCTCTGATCACTTTATCGCGCCATTCCTGGACCGATGTGCACCATGCAAGACCGGGGGGCAGCTATCCGCGTAAAAAAGCCACTGATTATCCACGAACATCCATGAAATTTTGCGATCCAAAGATTGTCGTCTCCGCAGAGAGAAGAGGGTAATAAGCTGATTTTTTTTTTACTAAGTTGACATGCACAGCGAGCGCTTGGAGATTGGACTCGTGGAGCCGGTGCAAAACGGGTTTGCTGCTTCTGCTGCTGCTGCTGCTGCTGCGTACTCCACTACAACACGGGCTCTTTGCGCGTCTCGGTGCTGTGAAATCTCCTTCATAAAAGCATTGTGGGGATCTTCAGAGGGCGCCGAGTGTGTGATGTTCACCCCTGCTTTCACCAAAGTTGATATGAAATCGACCGGCGCACCTTCGGTCCTGCGCGATTCCAGCAAATCAGACCCAACTTTTTTCTTTTTTTTTTCACCCACGTAATTACACAGTCACACTCCTCCTCCTCCTCTCTCGCACACACACACTCACACTGCCCCTATCAACAATCCAACACCTTCTTCTCCTCTTCGGCTATCTGTAAACGCAGCGTACAGTTCATTTCCCCAATCAATCCAGCTGATTTTTTATTAGCTTTCAAGAGACTTTGAACCAAAGCCTGGAGCGCATTCAGACCCGGAAAAAGGGACACTTTTCCCCCCTCTGCAGATCTGGCACCCTTTACCCCCGCAAGCTCCGTGTCAGCTGCACGCGCAAAGCTCGCTGCTTTTACAGTTTACACAATTTGACGCGCATTAGACGCGAACTTTACGTCTTTGTAACGTTTCATTTACGTTTAAGCAAGAAAGGTCCATGGGAATTTATATTTTTGTAAAGTCCCTTAAAATTGATCTTAGATTAGGATAAGGTTCGTGACATTATTTATTTACTTCAATTCCACTTTGGAAGCCCCCCAACTCAAATGAAATAACAAATTAACTTAAAAATTAGCCTATTAGACTAACTTGAAACTTTATTTCTTGACTTTTTTTATTTAAGGAGGGAATTAATCTTGATTTTCTTTCTTTTTTTGTCATTAGACTGGCTTGATACTTGAAAACCTGGGCCAAAATCTCACAAAGTTAACAACACTCTTAACTAAGCAAGGTGTATGCGTAAAATCAGCGTAAAATCAGCGCAACTGCACCAAAGACTGGAGGTTTGATATTGCTACTTTCTAGATCAGAGTGTGTGCTGTTTGTGTTTGTGTGTCCCACAGTGCTGTCAACAGTCCACATTGAGTTCATATGCCAAATTAAGGGGGAATGGGAAGTTAACATAGGCTGCCGGAGAACATGTGCCAAGTTTAGTACAATTTAGGCCAGACCGTGCCAATGTTGTGGTCCCTGTTAACTTAACCCACTTCTCCACATTTCTTAATCACAGCAAGGACAGGACAGAATATAACATAGGAATGAATCACACATGTACTATTAAAACATTTAAAAGGAAAAATCCACGTTCACGTACCATTGCACTGTACTGCATGGATTAATAGGGAATCCTGGCGCCTGGTTGGAAAAAAAAAAACAAGCCGGTAGCTTCACATTTCTCACGTTCAACTTTGTGCTTTGTAGGGTTTTCTCTTGCAGTGCTCGCAAAAAAAAGTCAAAACCGGAAGACAACTCTTTGCAGATAGCGGTGAGTAGAAGTTTGGAGCACCTCTTGTTTTTTTTCTCTTTTTTTTTTCTTGTCTTCCTTCCTCTTCAAGTCTTACTTTTTTGGATCGGTTTTTTGGGGTTGTTCAGTGAAGTTGAACGTGTTCCAGAAAAGGCTGAGTTTTCGGCACTGGGTTGGTCTCCGCCTCCACTTTCACTGTCTGACTGACTGCCGCCCTCCGGCTTCCAGCACTTACGGTCAAGTCGGATATAATGAGACAAAATCCACTTCCGGTATATATTTTCAAAACAAAACACCTACAGAAACTGTTGATGTTTTTAAGAGGAGACTCAAGACTCACCTTTTTAACCAAGCTTTTCACTAATTTCCCTCTTTATATTTCTCTTATTGTAAATGTCCATTTTAATCAAAGTTCTTTGTGTATATTTTATGTAATTTTATTAATTATCGCTGTTCTTAGTCTTTTTCTTAATTCCCGTCTTAGAGGTTTTGACTTCTTTTCTTACTTACCTGTACCTTTAACAGTATTTTCTTGTTTTAGTCCATCAGGTATTAGTCTTTCTTTTCAACATTTTATTTTTTATCTTTATCTCCAGTTTTTCTTCACGTAATGTCTCAGTGTCAGGCCATGTCTCTTTAACAGTATATATTAAATTCTCACACTGTGTGCGCTTGTGTGTGTGCGTATGTTTGGTTAAGTGAGGGTGGGTGTGTGTCTTTGTGTGTGTGTGTGTGTGTGTGTGTAGGAGGTTCAGGTTTTATTGTTGTTAACTGTTGTTTTTAGCCTCTGTGAAGCACTTTCAACTGCACTTTTTTGTCTTAAAAGTGCCATAAAAATAAAGTTGAATTTGAATTTGAATTTATATTCACGATGAACATCAAAGTATGTATTAACTTAATATACAAGAAATATTCTAACCTGTCATTTATGATCAGTTACAGAGGCATGTCCCTACCTAATGCATCCCAGAAAGGTCAATTTAGTTTCTCTCATATAAAGCTATAAAATTTAGACTCACACATGCAAATATTTGAGTCAACTGAATTGGTTATTTCTTTAACTGAATACAAAGAAGTCCAAACATCCTCTGTTTCTTAAAAATCACTTGATGCTAGGATCATTCTTCACCACTGGAAGAGTCAGACTCGACCAGAATTTACTGACTGGGTTAAGCTGATGATGGATAATGCCTCCTATGAACTAATGACAGCAAGGTTGAATGATAACAAAGAGAAGTTTAACCAGGTCTGGGGCCATTTTCTGAATTATATAAGAGGGAATAGGTGCGTATGACATGTGAGGAGATGATGACTTATGTGTGTATGTGTATGTGCAGGTACATGTGTGTATATATATACACATATTTTGTTTTTTGTATGTGTAATTGTAATCAATATGGTTGTTTTGATTGTGCTGAAGTTTGAAGTATCAGTATCAGGTTTAATATATAAAAGTTGAATAAAAACTTCAATTACAAAAAAAAAATTACTTGATTACAAGCTATAAGAGTGCTAATATTTTTAAGAGTTTAAAGGTAACCCTCTTGGAAATTTAATATTTTTATTTTAACCCCACAACTTTCCTATCTAGATGTTTATTCTTGAAGTAAAACTTCGAATTTCCTGGTTCTCCTCTTGCTGCTTCTTTGTAGCTTGACGGAGCTGAGTTTTGTAATAGAGTATGTATTCTTGCCTCTCATTGGTCAGAAACAGTGGCCCCGGGACTGTCGACCCTAGGCCCCTCACTTCCGCTCCTCTGACGTAGGATTTGGGGCTTGACAGAGCCGCTGCAGGACAGGGGACTATAAAGCGATGTGGTCAGTTGTCTAATGGTGGAAATCACCATACTGCTGCAGCCTACTGCTTTATAATGAGTTAAGGAGCAATAATAATAATAATAATAATAATAATAATAATAATAATAATAATAATAATAATAATTTTGATCTGACTAGTCTGACTTTCAAAAACAGGGATCACTATATATATGATTACATTATTATCAACCATCTTTAGGTTCTAAGACAAGATTTGTAAAACTATTTTCTGCTGTGCCGCTGAGATATGATGTTTATAAACTTAGCAGATTTCCTAATATAGCGTAATATTACTCACTGCTGCTATAGTAGTAGTGAAGGTGCAAAGTAGCTGGTGCGATCACCTAATACGCTGTTTGAAAGTGTAACCTTGTACTGATGAATCATCCACTGGTGTACCTTCATATTCACAGAGTGACTCTTTGACAGTGTGCTTTAATAATATGAATGAGAAGTCTGCAGGAAGGTTTGACTGCTCCTTTGTCACTGTTATCTTTGCATATACCAGGTATTCAGTGTTGTCTTAAAGGCCTAGTTTTTACACAACACACACCCAGTGATCATCTGTGAGTCACCTCCTGAAAACAATTAAGCCAAAAGCATTCACTTGATACAGTTTTTTAATTACTGATCAATGTTATTTTTCATTGATTCATTCAAGTTTAGTACAGTTATTTGCTTAAAAGCTCCTATCCTTCTGTCTATTACACCTTGTTTTATATCCCCTCTTTAAATCTGCTGAATAGAAATGTCCAACACTCACAGTACTTTGGGGAACATTGTCTTAAACCTCACAACATGTTTTCAGAGAGCTCACTTTATTCTCTTTCACTTGCTGTTTTTCAACTAGTAAAATCCTAAATATTTTCTTGCATCGACTTTCCATGCCTTCAGTTATCCTGCTATAAATCCTGCTTTTTTTGCTGGTGCACATGACATGAGCTCGAACAGGTTCACCCCCCTGAATATGGATGTACCGCCCTCATGTGGCCATAAATGCAATGGCTAGTTGCGTGTTAGGGACCCACTGGAGAATTAAAAATGAATTCTTGTCTTACTTTTAGCTTTTATTTAAAAGGTTGGAATGTTTTAGACGTATTTGGGAATTTATTATACAAGTTAACTCAAATTCCAAGAAAATATAGTAAAATAAACATCTCAATTTCTCTATTTTGAAGCAAAGTCACAGCTAAAGTCATGTTTCAACGAGCAATGGAATAAAACAAAAAATTTGGAGCATATTCCAAATATTTCTAAAAACATATCATGAATTTATGAGCGTCAGATTAACAGAACAATAGTTCCTAATGATTCACTGAGAAATATTCAAAGGAACCACAAGTCTGGATAGAAAGCCAGTATGCACAATACCAGTGTCCTTATTACACCAGTAGATGGCAATATACATGGGTTCTTACTCAGCTGTTTCCTGTCATAATCCAGTGTTTTCAATGTGATTAACATTTGACTCTGAGGTCCACTGTAAAGGTTTGTATATTGTTGTATTTGTATCAAGCATCCATAAAAGTTACAGTGAAAGAATAGACCAAAAAGGTAATATTTAAAACTGAAAATGTGTAACTTTGTCATGGGAAGCACTGCTGCTGTTCAACAGTTTAACAGAGCTTGACCAATTCTGTTTCCTTTTGGTTGCAACATTTCCTAAGAGCCTTTCGTAACAGATGTAGAGTGCTCTTCATGACAAGATAACATGTCAGCAGGTCTCTGCTAAATCCTTTACCATCCCAATATTTATGATGACCTGTAACAAAGCTTTTCCTGACATTGTGCACTGAAATTACTCTTAAAATCCTTGTGTTCTTTTAAATTATTAGTATTAATGATCGTGAGAAATTGACCAAAAGGGGGAGAATCAATGAGGTCAGATCAAATCAGGGAGCTCTTTCCAGAGTTTTATTTCATGGACAGCAAATCATACCTCTTTGTTTTGTCCCAGACATACATGAGAAGCACATGAAAGTGGCTCAAACTGGAGCATGTATACTGGCTCATATGAAACCAAGAAGTCAGTTATGTAATGAAGAGTCTGCAAAGTGTGCAGGAAGAGCTACACACCTTTCTAACAGATTAAGTCAATGCAATGTCCCACGATACAGCCAGCAACTAAGATCTCTACAATCTGTAGCGGATTTGTATATTTTTGGTTGAAGCAAGGGAAAAGAATGGTACAAAAGTCAAGGATGAGGAGATGAACGCATGTCAAGTAGTCCCTGTATCTCAAACGACAAAATACATTAATGTTTGACAATATTTCTAGGACCGCAAATACAAAGCTTCACGAATGTAATCGTCTAATCGTGTCTGATATTTGAGTAGATATCAGATCTCTTGCTTGAATCATGGTGGCAAAAAATGATGCAAAAGACTACCAATTGAAGAATTTATTTAAAGAGAGACTCTGCTGAACATGTGCATTTAAATGTTATCTAGTATTATTATTTTCATGCCTGTTCTGTCAAAGTTTTGAATCTAAACATCAAAAAAATGAGCTGCAAGTAATACCAGCAGCATGTCCTGAGCGGAAAAGGTCAGTCCGCTCAGTTCATCAGCATTGACACAGACAAACAAACCTCAGCTTAAACCCTGGTGACAGCACACAATAAAAGCCCGCCTGTAGTCGGACAAGTGTATAAATATATTCAGAAAGAAATGTCAGCCTGCGTTTCTTCTTCTTCATGGGAAAGGCGCGGGCTGGACAAAGGCTCTTTGTCTTACAATATCAAATTAACACTGCACAGAGAGGTGCACTGGAGGAAGGCTCTTACTCTTAAAGGGGGATAGTTTCTAAACTCATGAAAATAACATCTTTTAAAAAGCAAGTAGTGATCATTCCTCACATTAAACCCTTCATTCTTTGCTGTTTTATTGGGTTTCAACAGTGCAGTGATAAGAAGTACAACTTCTGGCCTTGAGGGAGACAATGATTCAATAATGAATGTGAGTGCCAAAGATGCTTTTAGAAATATTTCTGAATTAAAAGCAGAAAAAATAATGTTTTAAAGGCACTTAAGTGGCTAACCAGAACATTTGACAATAACAGTTAAGTGCTGGAGTCAAAAAGATTCCTTCACCACAGACAGATATAAAGATGTAACTCCAAAAGCAGCTCAGAATAAAAGTTTCTTTCCACAGAAGCAGAATAGGATTTATCAGAGGTCTAACAGTGTTGCAAATTAAGACTAAACTTGGAATTTTGAGAGACTCTTTTTCCCCCCAACAATGTCAGAGGTTTGCAGTGTGGTATCAAACATTTGTTGACACATTAGAAGAGGAAATGTTTGTCGTGTCATAGTTGAATTTGCTTTAGAGAAATATTTTTAAATGAAAAAAAAAAAAGTTCTTCTTACCATCCACCACGTCCTGGCCGACACATCATAACAAAGCTGCCATTTAATGTTTCTGTCTGTGAGTTTCCCAGCCATCTCTGAGCTCCCGGAGGAAGATAAGACACCTAATCACAGGGGCATCAGAAGGGGGCATGCTGTGCCACATGTAGGCCAGCGTTGCATCATGGGAAAGGAAGAAAAAAAAATCTGCAACATCTTGACCAGTGACTTGAACCTGACTGTGGTAATTACAAGAGCTGTGACCCTGTAACCCCCTCTCCCCCTCCCGGCACAAACCTCCACCCCCTCCATGATCTCCTCCCCTTTGTAAGTGACACAATGATGCATCACATAAGCTCAATTCCAAAATGCTAATAAAAACATGTAAACCCTGAAAAGTGGTGCAGTGATATGTTAAATATTAAATCTCAGAAGAAAAGATTTTTCTTTTTCTACACCTAGAGGAACTTATCCCGACTATTTTTGAATTTGCAACAGATTAGTAACAAGACCAGGCGAGAAGTCGGTTTTGCAGGCAGGACAGTTTGGCATGCGGACCCTTCTACTACAGAGCCATGCTGTTGTTAAACATGCAACATGTGGTTTGGCACTGTTTTGCTGAAATATGGAAGGTCTCCTTGGAAAAGGCCAGTCTGGATGGAAGCATATTTTACTCCAAAACCTGTCTAGCATTACTGGCACCTTCTCATTTGTTCGTGTCCATGGTTTCCAAAAAGAATGTGAAATTTTAATTCATCAAGTGCTGAGATTTGATTCTGAGCTATTGCATATACACTGTATATACTATGGACAACTTGGTTCCATCTTCCGCCAGTATACGGATTTGAAGCTGAGAAGCTCTCACTATTTCTGCGATTTTTCTCCATTTCCTAAAACCAACATTGCACAGTAGCGTTGTGCGCATTTGGCGGGAGAGTTGCTGTGATGACGCTTGGCTCAAACAGCGTATCCCCCAGGTTAGCTACGCAGTCTTCGTACGCTTATAGGTTGTATCGAGTGTCAGTCATAGAAAACATGAACCCCCTAATAACTTTTAAAAATGGAGCTGTACAGACAAAAAGAGGACTTGAGCACAAAACAGTCTGACAGTAACTAAAAAAAATTATATTCTCTGTAATAAATTTCTAAAGTTTGTCCATAGCTCCATAGGGTTAGCTGTCAGAGGAGGGATTTATGACCTATACTGCAGCCAGTCACTAGAGGGTGCTGTTCTCGTGGTGGCTTCACCCAGTGAGGAGGCAGACGATGTCCATTCTATTTACAGTCTATGGCTATTCGCTCACGCAGTCTCTTACAGAGTAGTTTTACCCTTACATACTTAAAAGCAAACTGATTGTAAGTCAGCCATGACAATTGGATTTGAGTCATTCTCTAGTTTCAACCACATTAAACCTGTTTTGGCGCAAGAAAAACCTGCCAAGCTGGGAATTTTGCATTTCAATACCAAATTAGCTTTATATTACTCCGCTGCTCTGAGTATAAGACTATTTAAAACAATGGTGGGTGTCAAAATCATGACATGGAGGAAAAAAAGGGGTGATTATTTTGGAAGAGTATCATCAAGTGATTGCTTCTGTTAAAAAATAGCCTAACCTGATTCTCTGTTTATTGAAGATTAAAATACACAGTTGTATTAAACTCTTCCTCAGTGTCAGAGCTTCACTTGACCCACAGTGTTTTGATCCATGAATTGAGACGTTTGGCGTGGCCATGTAAATGTTATCCGAATGCCGCTTGAAAGGACCTTTTCTCTCCTGCCACATTCCAATCCTCCTCACTGAGGCCGCTCGGTGGCGGCTGGATTTCCCCGCAGGGACGGTGGGTGGACTTAGCAACAGTTACTTAGCATTAGTTACAACAAATAGTGAGAAAAGTGGAATACAATCAGGGCTGGATGAAGGCACAAATTTCATTATGCTGTCGCTCTGGGCGCTCTACATTACACTATATCCAGAGGTGGATACGCAACAAATATAAGCGCTAAAGTTCACTGTCACAACAAGAAAGAGACTCATAGAAAATAGCCTCAGAAAATTCAGTTCGAGTTAACCTCTCTAATGAGGCAGCGCCGGCACACCAACATGCTGTTTGTGTGTCACAGCTGCTTTAATAAGTACCTGCTCACTGTTGACCTTTGCAGCACACCTGACTCTAATAAAGCTCTAATTAGGAGCCTAATTGGAAGCTGGTCTATTTAATTAGCGCTCATGCACAAAGAACAATAAGACACTCAGATGACATCATGAAAGCAAATGCCAGCCCGTGAAAAAGAAAAGGCGGATGAATCTAACTGCGAGGGATGAAAGACAACAAATACAAGGTCTGATTGAGCACTTTGGCTTTCATCATCAAAATACAACCGGGGGAAATCAGGCAAACAAAGTCATACTGACTGTTTTGTATCTTGTGAGGCTACTGAACAGCTGGTTTTATGCCCTCAAAGCATACTTGATATCAATTTTCTATGATGCTCATACTTTTTTTAATTGTTCTGGAAGATTTGTCAGGAAACTTGACATTTTATAATCATATTTTTAAAAGTTGTATATGGGGTCAAAAAAAAGAAAGTTTAATGCAGTCCTGTTTCTTTGCATTGCATTAAAATCATGGCTCTTTACGGATTGCAAATTTACATCCTTGTTACTCCTCCTCACTTACACAAACTGATTCCACAACAGCGCCGTCATCACGCCTTTGTACTTACACATTAAACCCTGCAACAGTGCAATAATGGGGACGAAGGGTGTAATTATGTTGCATGACAGAGGGGGCTCCACAAACACCCCTTCCCTCAATTTCCACTGCACCTGGAAAAGCTAAGAAAAGGCCGTATCCGCCGATCGGACGCAATCTACTGCTTATATGGTTAGCCTACGTATGTGGCTGTCTTTATAGAGACAACTTGTTATGAAACAATTGCACGTGAATCCACGGGTTCTTGTGAGTTCTGGCAATTCCTGCTGTCCATAATCCACCACGAAATTCGCCTCAAAAACCGATCCAGTAGAAATTGGCGTTCGACAAAAATCGCAGCCGTTCCGGATGTGGTGGAAATCCCGGGTTAGACACACCCAGCTGTTTTGTCCTGTGGCTCTGTATAAAGAAAGCAACATGCACAGACCTGAGAAGAATGGGGAAATGCTACCCTCCTAATTTACAAATAGATTATACCTATCAACTTCTTTGGATAGATACTACATTAAATATACCATGCATTACTTAGGTTAACTTATTACCAAACAAACATATCATGTGTATGTTTGCAGCTCATGTTAATTAACAAAAACATTAAACTTTTGTACGTTAAGTGATTTTATCTTCACTAAAAATTCAAGCCCATGCGGCTTATGGCAAAAGGAAGTCTCTCTAATATAAGCTTGAAAAAAATAAAAAGTACATTAAAACACATTATGGACTCCAAAGTCAGAGTCTTGCCTTTACAAACAGCATAGTGCAGCATACAGCAGTGGAGTCAGTGACGGCCTGGTGGTGGAAGGAGAAACCTTGAGGGCCTGCCTGCGCCGCGTGCACCTTATTGATTTTGAGGGTAAAATCGATACATTTCATCGTCTTGATTGGATTAACTGTTTCAGTTTCAAGTTCAACTTTTAATTGGATTTCTACTTTCTACAACGAGAGCGTATTTGGAAAATCAATAGGCCAATCAATACCTCTATGTTCAGGAAGTTCAGCTGTGGTGCTGAAAATGGAGGAACGTAGCAGACACCTGCCACTGGATACCCACTCAGATGACTCGCTGAGGTCTAAAAAATCTAATTATATCTTTATTAACAATGAAAAAATAAACACTGTGATACTTGCTATGTTGGAGTGGAATCAGAGAACTAGAATGAAAATGTGATTTTGGATGGGAAGTGTTTGAATGAAGGTAATTTACGATCTTACAGATATATAACTTTGAATTGTTCTTTTTTCAAACATGTATGATCATTACTGAATCAAAAAGTAGTAACAAAATTGATCTCATGGACAACCCCATTAACCAGGTCATATATAAAATGGTCCATATGGATGGAAATTAAAAAAATTGCCATTCCACTCATAATTAGTAATTGGATAATAAATTCTATCTTCCACCACTGAGACTTAATCCTTGTCTAGGCTTGGCAAAAAGGCAGCAGAACACGCCAAGCCACTAACTCCAATCCTAGACAGGTAAACAGCCTCATATCTGAGAGATAACTGCTCCAAGCATAGTTTATGTTTATCAAGCATGCGGCTAATTATTTCTTTTGTTCAGCCAGATGTCATAGACTGTAAAAGTAGCAGGTGGCCACTTATGTAATTAGTGCAGTTGACCAACCATTACTGGAGATTAAGAGCACATTTAACCCCGGCTGCTGCAGACTGCTATTATCTAGGCTGGACTCCTTGTATTTTACTCTGCTGATGCTGAAATGGCAGGTTCAATTCACCACAAGCTCATTAAGGCACATTGATTGATATTTGGAGTATAGTTTTGGATATTAATTCTATTCAGTTATTTGAACAATTTTGGTTTACTATGCCTGATCACTCAAATGATCAATTTCTTGATATATGACTATCCTATCAAACAACAAAAATGTGAATAAACAAGGAGGTAGATATTTTAATCTTTCATTTTCATTCATGTAATCACAATAGACAACGTTCATAGTTAACGTTCACGGATCATGCACACATTACACATGCCTCACTGAAGTTAACAACCATCCAGGACGATCACCATTTTGGTGACTGGTTGTGTTTGGCTTCAGGAACCAGTAGGTGACACCAGTAGGCATGATACACCCTGTGGTTTTACTTTGATGTAAAATAGCGGATTTTAACGTACGATCGAATAGGAATTCTGTGGTTTGTACAGCAGCCTGAATCGAAGTGGAAACTGCAGATTTTTGCACTTCTACGTGGGTTTTATTTTCCAGTACTGAGAACTGTTGCTATATCAAATGGCTACTATTCTTCTTTTTCCTTCAGTTTATATTTTTCAGGCTTTTTGATGTTTTTGTAGATCTACAAGAGTGGAAAGCGCAGGAAACAAGGTAGAGAAAGTAGGAAGTGATAGCAGCAAAGGGCTTCAAGCCAACAGCTTCGGGGACTTAAATCTTTACACATGGGGCATGGGATTTAGCCGCTTAGCTTAACTGGTCGTGATGAGTTGAAACAAAGTTAGGTAGACATAAACTGTCAAATGTTCTCAGCTTCAATAGCCAACTTTGTTAGCTGTAGGTCTTCTGTGAAATTTAATGAGCTGGTGTCTAACAGAAAAACATCTTCTATCTGTAGCTTTTAGTTTAGCCAAGCTAGCTAGTGAAAATGCCCAACCTCGGTGTGATCAGCCAACAGAATTTCTGGTTTGTTACACTTACTAACCATGCAGTCATGTGACGTGCAATAATAACACTAAAGATATTACTATACATTTCCTTTTGCACTCAGTTTTAATTACTTACCCATCATTTTAACTTTAAAATCTGATCATATTCTGTCTTCATCAAGTGCTATGTTGACTCTTTCCCCTTATTCCCTTGGTAGATAAATTAGTAGTTGTGAACACAGAGATACAACAGAAGGAAAAAAACAAGTTAAACAGATCCAGAATCTAATTTATTAGAGCATGAATACCTATATGATATATAATTTTTCTATAATCACCATAAATACAGTTTTCCAAAACAGTTGATTGGCTTTCCTGAACATAAAGAAATGAATAAGATATCATAGTATATTCATTTCAGTCACAAGACTTCACTGGTCCAGTGTTTTTAGCTCATCGAACAAAATAAAGCTTGAAAACATATTACAAAACCAGCAAACGATATGAACAAAACTGCACAGGTCCAAACTTGGAGCCTTGGGGAACACCAGATGATTACCTCGAGGCGAAGTGAGTGATCACAAGTCTCAGAAATGCTCACAGCTTGAGTCTTTTGCAGGTCTTGATTGAACCCAGAGTCCCGCCTTTAGTAGTATTCTGTTCCCAGTAAACATAGTTTCTATCACGATATTGTAAAAAATATACACAGCAGCTGCAGAGGTGGTAACTCACACTTCCCTTCAAAGTCATATATTTCACTTTCAGTTTACAGTTACTGCTGAAATAATAAGGATGGCTTTACCAACACACACTGGTTATTGCTTTCAAAACGTATAAAAAAAGTAATCAATCAGTACCACCATCTTGAATATCAATCACACAAATTTGCCCATCCAATTAGTATTATAATTTAATCAAACAATCCATGAACCTGAATCTGACATATAAAAAACCACAGAGCAAAGTGACCAACACACACTCATGCAAATACAAACAATCTGATTTAAGATGTGGTTAAAACAAAGGAGCCACATAAAACCAATGAGGGTTAACAAGTTCTCTCAATAGTACACCGATGCAGAAAGACAGACAGACAGTGTTGTGAAAATCAGTGCATAATATTGTACCGCTACCTTTAAAAATTCTGTGACACATGCATTTTTCTGAACGCTTGCAGACTATTGCAACATTTCCCCCAGGTCTTTGGCTTCATGGAGACCAACATAATGATAATATACCATAACAGTAAAATAAAGACCTAGAAAAGGCACTTAAAACTACTTGGATATTGTAATACTTCCACATATAGCAAGCTTCCTTAACATACAAGTGTAGCTATGGGATTGCCAAGTATTATAGACAATGACCAACGTCGTTCTATGCCAGTGTTATATGCGTTGAAACGTCTCCTCTAGTCACAGTTAAAAAAAATTCAAGAACTGACAGGTTATAGTCAAAACCACCATGAATAACTGATCCGTATTGTGACACAGATAATTCTACGTTTTGGGTACAGATAAACATTTATAAAGCCACTTTTTTAAACACATTTTAGATCTAATTAAAACAGTTACAGCACTGAAATTATGAGGATAAACTGTCAAATTTAGTCAACTTTAACCAAACAGGCTAGTCTAAGAGAAAATTTGATATTTTTGGAAGTAAACCATCACTTATTTACCATCTTGCCGAGGATTACAAGATTAATAACACTTCCATATCTTTGTAGTACCTAAGAGCCAAAGGCAGTGGACAGTTTAGATAGCTAATCATATTAACCGGTAACAGCAGTATGTTATCTTAACAAGCGTATCTTGGAAAGTCAAACATTACATTTAATCTCCCTAAGAAGCTGAGGTGTATTGTTCAAAGCTTGACATAATCACTAGAACTAGGGAAAAGTCTATCAAAACCAGAGGATGTTTGTCTCTTAAACTATTTCTTAAGATTATCTTTTGAAGTCCAAGTGAGACAGTAGGGGAAACAAACACTAATGCATGTCAGGAGTGGAAATCAGAGGGAGAGGCCTGCTGTACCAACTAAGCCAAATTGGTGCCTCACATCTTTGATTCTACGATGTGTTGACCACCTGCTAGGTTCAAGTTTAAATACAGCTATGAGAGCTGGCTATTCAGCAGATAGTTGGTTAAGATTAAAAGATAATCTGCTGCGTTCCAGTTGTATTCAGAAGTCACAATTTTCTGAGCTCGGAAAGTCGGACGATCCTTGCCAACTTTGTTAGTACTTCTGTTTTGTTTTTGTAAAATTTAAAAAAGTGGTATATGTTGTGCTACCAGCCGTCTAACTGTGAACGCCGTGCTATGGTGTTTGTAGAGTAAAATACTGTGTTATGCATTGTTTACAACTGATATCGCTAACAACAACTGAAAACGGCTGACAACGGCTGACAATTGTTAACAACAGCTAACAACGGGTAACTGTAGGTGTCCATCTTGGTTTTCTGACTTGTTAACTGGAACGCTGTCAACTCGGGTGTTGCGTCATTCCACGCTCCTACATCTGACTTCTGAGGTAACTGGAACGCAGCATTAATTTTAATTTGTTTGTTAAAATTCAGTTTTTATACAAATATAAGAGGAAATAACTTTAATTTGTATAAAAACTGAATTTTCAAGCAAACTGTCTGCTGGCTAGCTGGCTTCATGTTGACCTCATTGAACTAAGAGCTTAAAATCAGGAGTGTATACCCTAAAACTTCAAACTACTCTTTTACAGAAACATCATCTTATCTGTTAAGGACAGTGTGTGTGACCTCAGGACCCCTTCAACAGGGATTCAACTAAACAGAAACAGTGCGTCTATACAGCAGACTCTGCCATGACATATATATACAGTCTTACTTTCAAATTACAAATTTGCCTTCATTCTCATATTCTGATTTTCAAACTTTCTGCTAGCTTAATCTGGCAAAAAAGTAAACCCAATAGACATAAGTCAAGTTATGGACTTTGTTCTGTGGCCATGCTTCATAAAACACCGCTAAAGAGATAAACCAATCATATAGTGCAGGGAAACATTCATAAATCATCAATAGATTACCAATTAAAGGATTGCAATTGATGCCGGATCCCCTCACGTATCATATGGAATATTTAATCTGACATCTGCAAATCATAAAGTAAGAACTTGACACTTGTGCATGAAAATAAAAGACTGTTAAAAGAAACAAGGCACACACTTAAAAAGAAGCCTTTCATAAAGACACACTGGAGTTACTATAGTTCTGTCTGTAGTTGATTAAAGGTAAGTAGTAAAGGCTTTTTATTGAAGTAACCTGAGAGGGGATCCCTTTAGCCAGCTTCTTTTAGGTGGAGATGTCCATCCTCTGAGGCAAACAAGCCATTAAAAGTGGTTTCCATACGCTGAAAGTGGCAGTCACAGTGAGTACAAAAGCAACATTTTCCCACCGCATCCTTGAGTGTTTCTTTACCCTGTTTACTGCCATTCTGCGTCTTGTAGAGAAAGGCGTAAAAAAAAAAAAAAAATTAAGAGTATCCACTGACAAATCAAACCTGCTGCCAACAAGCTCCCAGGGCAAAAAAAGAGGACAGTGAAGGCGAGCAGATGGATTCATTAGTGTGTATCGAGTGTTTCATCATGGCAGCTCCTACCATCTGTGCAGGTAGGAGGTACTATAGTGGTAAAGACCTACACGTGGGTGCGGAAGTGGTGGCTAGCTTGGAGCGGTTGCCTGCTTCGGAGTGGTATGAGCCACAGGATTTTCCAACGAGTGCCGCAGACTTCAGCTAATGCCCACTGCCAGGATCTCTTTGAGCCAAATCTGGAAATAAGAATCGAAGGCAATCCTGTTACACTCGCATTGAGAGACCATTTTGAGGTGTGACTTCTCTACTGAGAACACACTTCTTTCAAGTTCTAAGCTAAGCAAAGTAATAGCTTGCTACAGCTATACATCAAAATCTTAATCAGTGCTAAAGAAGGAATACTATTAACTTTAAAGTATCAAACTGGTCCTTTAAAGCTCCAGTAAGGAACTTTGTGTTGGTGTTGATCATGTGGACCAAATGGCCCCTTTTATCTCTAAGCCAATTTTTTACATACATGGAAAATATGTTTCAACATGTACCGCCACATTTCAAACACACTACCTTAAAATTCATTGAAGGAGCTTTAAAGTGGAGCTTTCAACCATAATGTCCATAATCAAACCAAAATATCACCCAGGCGTGAGTTTAAGCTACCTCCTAAAAGTTAAGCATACAAGGACAACTAATCAAACCAAGACTAGAAGGAAACAACAGCAGAGCATCGATTTGGAGTGTGTGAATTACCACAGACCTGTGCATGAAACTAAAATGAAGAAGAGAACTGAAAGCCAGTTAAAATAAATAAATAATAAAAAAAAAAGACACAAGGAAACCTCCCTGTTCATCAATACACTGTGGCATGGGGATAAATACTATTAACAATTATTACAATCAATAATTATTTACTCCCAATACAGGGACACTGTTTCCAATTATCCCGAAAAAGCGCTCTACATGCATGTGTGCATTGTTCTACTACAGTGTCTTAAAAAGATACACTGTTGTAGCCTAAGACACAGGTCATCAGAATTGTTAATATGGACTTAAAACTGTTTTGCAAGATAATAAAAATTTAAACCCACTATTAAAATTTCATTTATCATGAATAGCGATTGAGATTCTGCGGTTAGTCTCTGTTTAAAAATTCAGCAGGCCTTACGTCAAAATAAGATTAACTCGCAGTCCAGTTGAATAAGCACGTTTCCCATTATGTCAACATGTTTTAAAAGCCGCTGCAATCAACAAGAGGCATTAAAACTGACAGAGGTGAACAGACTTACATTTCATTGGAGAACTGCGCCATTTTCTCAATGGTGGTAGTATCCTGTAGAAGAGATTTAAAAAAAAAACATTAATGCAAATTTGGTTCATCATTTTCACTCAACAAGCTGACATGATTCCTCTGTCATATTAACAGCTCATATGCACAAGGATTGCTCTTTTTTTCTGTTGTGTTAGTTCTCATTTCTCTTGCAGAGAGCTCCATCTGCACACATATTTCTTCCCAGAATGACAGCTTCCAGTTTCCAACCTCAACACGCAGGCTAAGTATAGACCTTTCAAACGTTTCAGCTTCATCACATCTTTGATAAAGGCATGAAAACTGCTCAGGCTCAGAAACACACACACAGAGTCTGACCCAAGTCTTTCTCTCTTGTTTCTCGTCTATTGATCTCTCCATTACTGGCATTGATGTTTTATTTTTGTGTGCGATGAGGTATTGTTTTGTCTGAAGCTTTGTGTGCAGCTGCGAGACAGCACTTGGAGGACAGACCTTACATTTAATGCTACCGATGAAGTACATGATACAGTAAATCGTTCGCATCACACTTATTTTGCAGAGTCACACTCACTGGTTAAATCATCAGGTCACAATCACATTAAAACTGATACAGAAATCCCAGCAGGCATGTCATTTGAAATAAGGTTATTGATCATCACGATTGATTGATTGATTGTGTAGTACTCACAGAGAGGATTCCCGTCAGCTGAGTGTAAAACAAGCTTGTCATGCCACCAAACATGACCAAACCCATGAGCGCTGAGACACGCAGCAGAGCCAGTTCATGGCGGGTTGTAAACATCTCCTGGCAAAGGGATACAAAAATGTTAAATAAATGTATGAAACCAACACCATCAATCCTTGAGAGTCCAAGCACCTCTGTCTATTGTAGTATATAATCTAATCTTGACCATTTCTTCTACCAGCTGAGGATATCATTTATTCATATTTCCTGTAAAACGTACCTGATCTAGTCCTGTCAGTGGCTGGAAGTAATAGTACTGGCAGAAGTCCAGCACCAGGGTGAACAAACTGAGGACCTGAGCGTAGAAACAGAGCTGCAGGAAGAGCCAGTGGTTGTCTTCTCCCACACAGTTATTGATCCTGGAAGAAGTAAAAAGGGTTTCAGGTAATATCTTAGATCATTTTTATACTGAACTTTTGAACTAATGTGATCTGAACTGAAGCGGTGTGGACCAAGTGTGAATGTGGGTTTTTTCATTGTCAGTTTTTGTGAACAGAGTTGTTCCCAAAATGGTACGCACAAGAAAAAGCCTTCTTTATAGTTATATATATCTATTAATTCTATTATATTTCTCTTTTATAAAACTAATATACAGTGAACAAATCAAATCTATTAATCTCATTTTTCTTGAATAATAGCAAAAATGTGTAGCTCTGGTAAATGTTACTTCAGGTTGTGACAGGGGCAGATCCAAGCAGTGAGCAGGGGTGGCCTCGGCCCCTCTTACACTTTGATTGGCCACCCAAATGGCACTATCTTAAAATCCTGAACTGCAACTGGCTGTTTGCCTTGTCAAGGGCAGGGCTTTTGTAGCTTTGTTGCATTGGGCTGCGTTTTTAAATTTCATTAAATTCAATGCGGTACAGATACTTAAATATTAGCAGCTAGCGTAGATATAATTTTAATGTTAGTTATCCGTGTGTGTGTGTATACAAACTTGATGCTACCTTCACATAAGTCTGTGCCCTGGTTGAGCTACTTGAATTAAAAAACGTCTTGGTTTGCAGGGATGATAAATAGTAAGCTATAGATACTGCACCACATTCATTGAACTAGCCGTGTACAATCAAATGTTGGTTTTGTAGGTCTGAATTTTTCATTTCTTCATTTTCATATCCCTTATTATTTTCAGTAGGGCCCGGCCAATTGTAGCCCGTTTGAGACTAATCGGTAGTTGGCCAAAACACACCGATTTTTGCCGATATTTTCAGAAACAAGATGTGGAGAATACGGATTCACTTCGAAAATGTTCCACCATTTGAAAAGTTCTCCGACTTATCCTGTAGATGGCGAAACGACCTCATGACAATCTTCATCCGCTAACTACCACACAGCACAGCAGAGTGTCGGAGGAGAGTGGTCCGCCAGAACGGTATATAAACCAGTTTGTGAAACACAATAAGTCAACAAGTTTCAGTTCAACCCCCTTACGATGTTCCCCGCTGTGCTGGTCTCGGTCACACCAAGTTAATGGTGAAGCTCCATGTAATATGCAAGCTAAAGTTAGAGTTAGCCATCTGCTATTAGCCTTGCTACAGCCGTTAGCCGTGCCAAAAATGGTAGAATAAACAACAGTACACATTACGTGATCGAGCTACTTCTCTAACTGATGAGACCGGACCGGAAATGAGTAACGTGAGTTAAGACGCAGAGGCCACCGATCGACGGGGGTGGGATGGGGTAGTTGAAGACGCTTTTCTGGTCTGAGTTTGATCAGTCTGTCTTCCTGTTGACATGAAGCGCAGTAGCCTACAGTATACAGTATATAAGATACTGTAGATACCTATAGTATATATATTTTTCATAACTTTGTTAAAAAATTAAAAAATCGTCCGATTAATCAGTAATCTGATTTTTTTTTCCCCCCTAAGAATCGGTATCGGCATCGGCCCCAAAAAATCCATATCAGTCAGGCCCTTTTTTTCAGTGCTGTGTCTGAATTTTTGAGTGAAGTTTGCATGAATATGTGTTTATCCCTACCAAGGACAATGATGGTCCATTCTGCGCACACAATGACCACACCGACTGCAGTGGTGGGACCTTTTCGGTCGCATTAAGTTGCACTTATTGCACAACTCCCAGTGTTCCCGCTCTGTGACAGAAAAAGAAACCAAGCAATGAGAAGTTCCTTAATGGGGTAAGAGTCAAATGTGTACAATCTGACAATACAGGTTATTAATGTTTGCTTAAGATATGGCAAATAGTTGAATTAAAATGTGAGGTATGTTTGTCTTGATTCATACCTGAGTGAGGTATTTTGGGGTCCACGGGAAGACGGCCAGGATCTGCTGTGGAAGCTCTAAATAGGGCGGCTATACAGAGCGCTGATGCTATGTAATAACCTGAAAGAAACCAGACGCCATAGATGCTTTAAAACATTAGAGTTAGATTATAGAGTGATGACAAATCTGTTCCCAGAGTCTGAACAAGTACACTTACACACAACTATAGCCCAAGGGATGTGTCCCTCATTGTAGTGTGGAAGTAGAACCAGTTTAGGAATGAAGAAGGTGTTGTAGAGCCAGATCCCAAACACCACACTGATACACAGCCAGCCCATGGGATCCACCACAAAGTGCAGTCGAAGCTTCATGGCTGCTGGGACTCGGGGGAAACCTACAGAAGAGCAAACAAACACATATGAAGACAGACTTCTGTACTTAATGTTCAGATCTACAGATAAAAGCATGGCAGAGGATGACTAAGTCCAGCATGTGCTTGATCCTCTGATATAACACAATGCTTAATGCACTTCACATAAATCCAATGCTGTGATTGTCAAGTAATTGACACAAGCAGTATTATTGAGATTTGATATATACCGAGCAGCGCATGTTTTGTCATTCATGTGAACAGGCCTATTCCTGTGTTATAAAGCAGGTGTCTGTAAACATGCCTAACCTGGACATCCTCAACCTGCTTTTTTTAGCATTCATAATGCTAATCTCACACGATGTGAATCCTCTTAAAGATCACTTTTAACCCCGATTCTCTCCATTTAAAGCCATTTTATTGCTTTACCCCACATGCTCCATCATTCATAGCACAGACCACACTGACAGCCGCGATGGGCTTGGTCCACAGCCTGTATGTGAGAGCTAACATCACCGGGCTAACGCTGTTTAATTCACTCTCACTCTTATTCAGTTTGCACAATCCGAGGTGTTTACTCTCAGTCATGATGTCCTATGTTTAAATAAAAAGATACATACTCTTTTAAAGGCTGTCCTATTCCGCGAGCGTATCAGTGGAGATACTTCCTCATCCGAGCCTCTGAGGGCTGGACAGGAGCTTTACCACCTGCTATTAAAATGACGTTTCCGGTTGTTTAATACTAAAAAATAAAAGACTTCTCACTTCGACTAAAATGAACCAGAAAACACAGATTTGACAATAAATGTTGACAAAATTGATTCAATATTTATTTTAATAACCTAAGAAATACTACATAACATATTTATTTATTTATCTGTTTATTATGAAAGATGTGAAAATCATAACTGAAACAAGAATTATGATGCCATTACATTTCCAATTACAATAGACACCAATAAAGGCCAAGATAAATGTACTATTAATCAAAATCTCATTGGCACGTATTGTATGTTGGAGTCCTGTTTCATATTTCAGTGAGTCTGGTTCGTTAGATATCGGTATACCTTCTTTTTAAACACGTTTACTGGTTAACCTTCCAATGACAGATGGAAGATTGTCTGTCTATAAAGACAGAAAGAGGGAAAAGATACAGAATTTACACTCATTACGAAAAAATAAATTACAAAACACTAAACACTAACATATTCAGCTCTCCTATGTCTGAAGATAACTTGAAAGAACTTAAACTTAACTTAAAGCCCTCTTCCCCACAAGTTACCTATTAGTATTTATACAGTCAGATTCTTTTAATTTTATTTAAACTTAAGTATGTTATATCTATTACCAGTTATCCCTTTTAATGAAACAGAAAACTTTTGTACATGCAATTTCATAATATGCCACACCAGCCCTCCTTGGTAATACAGAAAAGTGTCTAAATATTCAATCCTGAATAAAAGTATTAAATTATTACCTGTTTTCTCTGTCTTTTAAATAAGATATTTGGTTATTTAGGTTAAATATATACAATATAATTATCAGTAAATGCTATTTTAATCAATCAGTCAGTAGTATACATACACACACACACACACACACACACATATATATAGACTTCTCATTTTAGTCTTGTATTGCATCCTGCTGTATACAGGACAGCATTATATATATACAGTACAGGCCAAAAGTTTAGACACACCTTAGACACGCCTGTACTGTATGTATGATTTTGTATGCATGTATATGTTCCCTTTAATTTTGTCATCAGTAAGTAAGTAAGTAAGTAAAATGTAGTTAATATAGCACCTTTCATAGAAAAGATTCACAAAGTGCTTCACAGTAAAGAAAATTCAAAATACAATCATAAGCATCAAGTAAAATCAAAAAACAATAATAAAAAATAATGGCATAATAGAGCATTAGTAAAAACCAGGGAAGGTAAAGGCCTGTTTAAATATGTGAGTCTTAAAAAGCTTTTTAAAAGTGACAAAGGTAACAGCTGAACGAATATCAGCATGTGATTATTGGGGACGTTGCAAAATGTCCAAGAAAATGAAAATCTTGAACGCGGATGTTTTGTCTTGATAGATCCGAAAGCGTATAAAGAGAATGTTGGCTTTTGATTTGTGGTTAAAATGACAGTTTCCTTTTTTTTCTCTGCGGTCATTAATGTGAACTTTATGCGGTTGTTTTGAACAGGTAGATGGCGGATTCGGCTGCAGCGGAAGGCAGAATACCCTGCTGCCACCTGCTGGTGTGACATGACTAATACAAACTTGGATCTTTAAATGTACATCGTTTTCACTTTTATATCACAAATATTTGTAATACAATTGCCTTAATGGGGAATTATAATCTCACTACGTTTCATATTTTTAATCATTTGAATCAGATTACTTTTCGACATGACGGGTGACGTCATTTCCGCTAACATTAGCCGCCGGTGTTTGTTGACAGCAACGCCGCACAAAGCTTGAAACACTATAGCTGTACTTTATTGTGTAGGCTGGACAAAATGGCATTATCCAACTCATACAAACTCAGGTGCTCTATCCCGGGCCATGAAATGGATGTCCGGGGCCTCGCAACAGCAGAATTTCCAGAGGGAGCTTTCGTGTCAGTATCCAGAGACCGCACCGGGAGAGTCTGGGTACCAAACTCAAGGTATGCTAGTGTTAGCATGCTACAGAGTTTCTGTTTGGTTGCTGCGGTTTAATACAGCACATTTGTAACTCTGTTGACAAGACATATGTCACGTAAACAGCAGCACACCAGCCCACACACCCCAGTGAAGTTAAAAAGCAGTTATGTCTCATGCTAACTTTGATAGTGAAGTTAATTAGCAAGCACATTGCTAACGTGTACTCAATTTAGCTTTGTCATTCATTCAACTCCAGCAGCTCTTAAAACAGAAAGGAAGATCAAATACTTATCTGTTCATCCTTTTGAGGCTGCTGTTGTGTATTTCAATTGTCTGGGACTCTAACTTATCATATTTATGACTATATGACTGATATCTCCCTATTTCCTGAGTTGTAGTCTGTGTTTCTTATCCATGTCTTGTCTCTCTGTCTCCTCCTCAGCCCTGACAAAGGCTTCACAGAGATGCACTGTATGACCGGTCACACAAATTTTGTATCCTGTGTATGCATAATAGCACCAAGTGAGACATATCCTCGAGGACTCGTTGCCACAGGTGGAAATGATAATAACATTTGTGTTTTTACACTGGACCAACCTCAACCCCTTTTCATGCTCCAGGGTCATAAAAATACTGGTGAGTTCACATTTGTTCACATTTACCTCAACATCCTGTAAGATCTACAGGTGTTTGCCATCATGAAACATTACTTAATCCCAACTTTATAACATTTTATCTCCTTAGTATGCACGCTGTCTTCTGGGAAGTTTGGGACGCTTTTGAGTGGCTCCTGGGACACGACAGCCAAAGTCTGGCTCAATGAGAAGTGTATGATGACTTTACAGGTATGGTAAATCAGGGCTTGACTAACCTTTTACACATTGAGCACATGCGCTTCAAGTTGAAAAAGTAAGGAGCACATAAAGAACTTAAAGGGCACAGTAAAAATTGATCAAATAATGTGTGTCTTATTGGTTGACATAAGTACTATAATTTGAAATCAATATTAGGTCTTTTGGGCACATGACATGGAAGCTATTGAAGAAAATGTTAAAAATCTGCCTTTGAAATTTAACACAAAAAATTTTCAAGGAAAAATTGGGAAATAAAAAGGTGTGTCTTATGGTCGACATACGTACTGTTATTTGAAATCAATTTTGGGTCTTTTGGTCGCATGTAATGGAAGCTATTGAAGAAAATGTTGAAATTTTGCCTTTAAATTTAACACAGAAATTTTTAGAGGACAAATTAGGTCAATTGGTCACATGACATAGAAGCTATTGAAGGAAAACAGCCTTTTTTTTTGAGGACATCAACAGGTAATTTATTGATGGTCCCTTATTCAACACCCGATGTATACAGCGATGGTATAGAGAGTAGATTTAACCGCGCTGCTGTTGCCACTCCCGGCTATGGAGAGTGAGAAGATACCTGTCGATCTGCGGTGAATGTCCATCGAATATCCAACCTAAAACTAACTTCACAGCAGTATTTATATGGAAAACAATTCGTTGCCTCGGCTGATTTTTCTCTCCCCCCGTGCCCCTAAATACATTTTACAATTCTCACACCTCTATTGTGAGTCAAATTCAAGTGAAACAGTCACACTGTAGAGCCCTGTGAATAGTTTTTCTTATGTCTCCACTTTTCCCTTTCTAACACAGACTGGGGGCAACATTTGAACTTTTACCATATGCTTTGAGGTTTATCCCAAATTTTATCTTTATGTTGTAACAAAGCAACATCTCTGCTTGTTTCTTTGCTCCAGGGTCACTCTGCAGCAGTGTGGGCAGTAGTCATCTTACCTGAACAAGGCCTTATGCTTTCTGGATCAGCAGATAAGACTATCAAACTTTGGAAAGCTGGCCGATGTGAGAAGACGTATACAGGTGAGAGATTGATTGATGATACTTTCTTTTGTCTTTTGAATCAGTTGTTTTGACTCACCTGCACTTTGAGCTATTAACCAGACCATGAGAGGATGGATTGTTATGGGAAACACTTGTGGTATTTTCTTGAATCTTAGGTCATGAAGACTGTGTCAGAGGACTAGCAGTGATCAGCAGTGCTGAGTTCTTCTCCTGCAGCAACGACGCCAGTATCAGACGGTGGCTCGTGACAGGCGAATGTGTACAGGTCTATTACAGCCACACCAACTACATCTACAGCCTGGCCGTCTTCCCCAATAGCCAAGGTTTGTCCATATATATGAATATTTAAAGTGAATGGGAGAATTGAAGCAGACAGCTGCAGCTTGATTTATTTATTAAGCCTGCATCCATTTATTCAGTGGTAAGATGTCTCTGTCTGACTCAGACTGGTGCTTTTCCTGTTAGATTTTGTAAGCACAGGAGAGGACAGGACCTTGAGGATATGGAGGAAAGGAGAGTGCTCTCAGACCATTCGCCTGCCTGCCCAGTCTGTGTGGTGCTGCTGTATTCTTCCCAACGGTGATATAGCAGTTGGGGCCAGGTAAAAGAACGACGTTTCCCATCTTAAGATGTGGTATTTCTATAAGCAGATCCATAATCTCTTGGTTATAATGCTGCGTTCGAGTTACCTCGAAAGTCAGATGTCAGAGCTGAAAACGACGTCACACCGAGTTCCCAGCGTTTCAGTTACCGAGTTGGAAAAAAGCAAAATCAGAGGCCTAAAACAAGATGGCTATATCTACGAAAGTTATTTTACCGTTGCCTTTATATTTGGACAAGGCAAGTGCTAAAATAACTTTGGTAGAATTAGCCATCTTGTTTCTGCCTCCGATTTTACTTTTATCCGACTACGCTGGTAACTTGGGTGTGACGTCATTTTCAGCTCGGACTTCTGACTTCTGAGGTAACTCGAACACAGGATAAGTATATAAGTGAAACATTAAAGCTACTTTGTTCAAGACTCCACAGCTTTTACTCATGAAAACATTTCTTGTACCCACCAACAGCATTTCACGTCTAACCCAGATGTTGCTCTTGTACTTACAGTGACGGCATTATCCGAGTGTTTACAGAAGTCGAGGACCGCATGGCCAGCGCAGAGGATCTGCAGGCCTTTGAGGACGAGCTCTCCAAAGCCACCATCGATCCAAAGACAGGCGACCTCGGAGACATCAAGATGGAGGACCTTCCTGGAAGAGAACACCTCGATGAACCTGGTTAGAAAATAGCCTGACATCGATTTCAAACAAATGAATATCATCATCACACTGCTTGAAGGAATTCAGCATGGTTTTGTCGGCATGTTTCCTCCAGGGAATCGTGACGGACAGACACGGCTGATTAAAGATGGACAGAAGGTCGAGGCGTACCAGTGGAGTGTCAGCGACGGACGCTGGATGAAAATCGGAGATGTGGTTGGAGGTTCAAACCAGCAGACCTCCAAAAGTGTGATGTATGAGGGAAAGGTAAGAATGAAAGCTTATGAACAAATCAAAACATTTACTCACTCATTCCATTGCTCATTATTGATTAAAAATGACTCCTTATCTCCTCAGGAATATGATTATGTCTTCACCATTGATGTGAATGAGGGCGGGCCATCCATGAAGCTGCCTTACAATGTGTCAGAGGACCCCTGGCTGACAGCACACAACTTCTTGCAGAAGAATGACCTCAGCCCCATGTTCCTTGACCAGGTTGCCAATTTTATAATCACTAACACCAAAGGCCACGTGGTGGGACCAGCTCCGCCTGCAGGTGGTGACCCATTCACTGGTGAGTCTTCAACATAGATACTCTCATTTTTCTTTTTTTGTCTTTTACTCACATACTGTTCAGTTTGTCAGTTTGTTTTTCTCAAACTAGGTGTGTGTATTTTCATTGACAGGAGGAGCCAGGTATATCCCTGGGTCCTCAGATGACAGACCAGGCTTTGGAGCAGATCCCTTCACAGGTACGGTATGCTTACTTACAGATTTGCACTTAGTTACAACCACTAGATAGACTTATTTCACAGCCGAGTTTCATCAACAGGCTCTGGTCGCTACATCCCCGGGTCTGATCCCACCCCGAGTGCTCCAGGAGGTGTGGCAGATCCATTTACAGGTGAGTTTGGCACATTCAAAGTGCACATCTTAAAAATTGTACTGTAGTATTATAAAAATTAAGTTAGCTGCATTCGGAAATTTGGAAAGATAAGCTAAAGCAGCTTCCACGTAATGAACCCATGGATGCATTTCTCTTCTCTTCAATAAAATGATACAAGAAAGTTGGACTTTTATTTTTTGTCTCTCTGTTTTAAGTTGATTGGGTAATTCTCATTCCAACTCTGCAGGTGGAGGTGCTTACTCTTCGGCAGCCCTCAGTCAGAAGGCGACCAACATCTACTTCCCCAAGACTGATGGTGTGACCTTTGAACAAGCCAATGCCCAGCAGATCATTGGTAGGCATTTCAGGTTTAATCACCTCATGCTGTCACCAGCTCCTCTTGTCCAGGAATAATCCAAGAGATGAAATCACCTGATGTATCAACCTTTTTTTTTGCGAGTTACTCCTTTAAGGGCCTTATAAACTATTGTTTTAGACTTTTGAGTATTTTCCTAATTTAGCTTAATTGTTTTTTCCTCATAAAGCCAAGTTAAAGGAGCTGAATGGAGGCGCCCCCCCGGATCAAAAGCTCTCTGAAGAAATCCTGGAAAGTCTTGACAGCCTGCTGATGTCGGTGTGTGATCCCAGTTCTTCCAGATCTCCTCCAACCATCCAACAAATCAGCCTGCTCTGGAAGGCGTCTCACTGGCCTGAAGGTACGAGCGAACCCGGTTTATAAATGTTTTGTCTTGTCTGTGTCTGTGATTGAAGGTTCTTGAGTTTGTAACCGTCGACTCACCACTTTCCCTTTTCCTCCCTCCTGGATTCTAGACATCGTGTTTCCTGTCCTGGACATTATGAGACTGGCTGTGAGACACCCGCAGGTTAATGAGAGCCTCTGTGGCGAGGCAGAGGGAGTCCAGCTGTGCAACCACCTGCTGAGCCTGATGAGGCCTGAGGGGCGCCCTGCTAACCAGATGCTAGCCCTGCGGACTCTGTGTAACTGCTTTAGCGGCAGGCACGGCCGGGCCCTCCTCATGGCCCAGCGTGAAACGGTGCTGTCACGTGCCGCCGACTTGGCCTCCGTCTGCAATAAGAACATCCACATCGCCTTGGCCACCCTGGTGCTTAACTACTCAGGCTGCCTGCACAGCCAACCTGATCTGGAAGCCAAGGCTCAGTGCCTGTCTGTGGCCAGCAGAGCTCTGGAGACCGTTCAAGACAAGGAGGCTGTTTTTAGGCTCTTGGTGGCCTTGGGAACCACTGTGGCTTCAGACCAGACAGCCAAGGACCTGGCGCGCTCCCTGGGGGTCAACTCTCAAATTTCCAAGTACACGTCAGTGACAGATCCGGCGAAGGTTGGCGAGTGCTGCCAGATGATTTTAAAAGAACTTCAATGATGTGAATGATTAGAAAAAAAAGAGCACTTGTTTCTTACTATTACTCTGTTCTGCCTGATTGGTTGTGGTGGAGACTTCGATAATTGTATGTTCTGCAATAAAAAAGGACAAATGAAATCTTTGCGAATGCCAAGGCTGTGTTTTTATTGTTACTTTTATACCCTTATAGGACAAATCTCTGGACTTGAGAACATATCATGATTACAGAATATTGTAACTGTTCAGATGGTGAGAGGAGTAAACCTTTTGAAACAATGAAACAATTAGGATCTCTCTCTGCTTGGGGATTGTCTTCCAGTGGTCTATTAACCATAAAGACAGGCCTGTACTGTGTGTTATCATCAAGCTCTTTTATGGAGTGCTATAGAGTTACATGAGCTTACTCATATCGCTCAGCCTTGTGAAGGTATTACTATACAAGGCTGAGTGGCTTTAATCCAGTATATTCAATCCAGCTATTGTGACAAACAATAGAATAGTCATGAACATAGATCCTGAGTTTTCAAATTTAACTGTTTTTTTTCTGTGACCTATAAGTTATATTCCTGGGATTTAGCACACTAATTCACCTCTGTTTTTTTCCAGGTTTTTTATTCTTCCAACTTTTTTCTAAATCAAAATGTCTTGTTTATATGGTTGTTATTAATGTTGAACATAAAATTTTACAGTTTTCTTTGTTTTTGGTACATTCTCTAAAAGATGTTTGTATATCTTTAAACATTAAAAAAAAAGACACACAAAAACTAGATTTGAATTTACCTCTTAAAGTTTGAGAGGGAAAATTAACAAAAATAATCTTATGCATTCAGTTAAATATACTCCTCAATTAAAACCTTTTGTTTTTCTTTTTGTGTTTATTATGTGTTAAATTTTTCTCTGTCCGGACCCCTGTCAATAAAATCAGATCCGTCAGTTGTCAACAAAGCTGATAAAATAATAATAAGCCTAATAAAAAGCGGAGACCGGCTGGAATTCTTGGATCAGAAGGAGATAAAGGAAAGAGCCAGGATGTAAGAGAAAAACTGCTCAGCTTTCTGTACAGTAGGTGGCGGTATGCAGCTGAACGTTAATTGTGATACGAAAGAGCAAGAAAAAAAAGCAGCTTGATAGAAAAAAAGCCAACCGGAACTACTTGTTAACAACATCCGGGTGCTGTTTGGAAATTTGGCGGTTGGCGTTGTTGTCGATGACTCTTAAAGCTCCTCATCAAAGTTGGCAAAAAACTAGTAACAAATGGGAATTCTCGACCAAAAACTAGGGTTTTTGCGTTTTTAACTATTAATGTTTCCTACGCATTAGTCAGAAACAGTCCATTAAATGTCCGTGGACAAACTCAAAACAAGTCCAAAGGCGAAGTGAGCCAGCTAACGGGAAACTTTGTGGCTAACAGGCTAGCGGAGGGTAGCCTGGCTTTTATATACTAGACATACCCGAGCCGCTTTTTCACCTCTGCATAATGGCAAACCCGGTTTTATTACAGAAAAGAAATGGCAAATATCTATGGTTTTCTCTCCTCGGACTGGGATTTGAACCAGACACTGAGATGTCGTCTGTCGCCGGCAAGACCAACATAAATGTGAAACACATCAACCTGGGACCGTGAGTTCTTTTACACCCTCTAAATAGTCTGTGCTTTGTAATTATTCATGTGTAATATATCAAATCTAATATGGCTTATTTACACTAACATTTCTTATAACCTTTCGAAAATAGTACTTACACTTTAAGTGATACAGTGCTTGTCATTAGAGTAATGGTGATGTTACTTTTAAGTATGAATTGGTAAAATGTGATTCATTCATTTCTTTATTTTCTGCCCACAGGAATATGTTCGACAAACCAAACAAAGATGCCTTTTACATAGTCACACATTTCCTGTTGTTGAAGCTCAACCCAACACGATTCAATGAGGCATACAGGTTAGTACACTTTACTCAATAAAAACTGTGTATTTCTGTCAAAGATTTGAGTACTTAAAGGTTTTTTACTTATAAGAAATACATTTGCTCGGTTTGAATTTTATAAAAGTGGGTCGCGACTTAAGGACCATGGGAAAATATGGGTGAGAACCACTGGTTTAAAGGAATGATCAGTTGCATGCCTGTGTGATTAATGTTCCCTGGATTTACTGCAAGTAAAAAGTTTATATTTTTGTCTCTCATCAGGCACTGCTGGCCAGTTTTGAACCACAAAGCTGATGCTGAATTCCGTAAAGTCACTTGCGCTTGGCTGCGTGAAATCATGGTGAGAAAACCCAGTATGTTCTCACTTTGGGAGGTTGTATAAAACTTTCTCTCCCTTTTACATACAATCAAATGAAACAATTGTACCATAAATTCTACTATGACAAAGTGTCCATTTATTTGGTTGTTGGTGACATGGTCGAGCAGGTGATTATTGTTCTTAAAATTAATTGTTACATTTGTTGTGTTTGTTGTTGATGTATTGGAGTGTATTGTATTAAAGGTATTCCAGTCTAAAATATAAGGAACAGCTTTCAGTATAACACACTTTACATCACTGCCATTACTTACTACATCCTGGGTATAAATAAATACCCCAGCTGCCCATGTCTAGGGGCATGTCCAGGGGAAAATTTCTGAGGTTGAACTTGGCGTCATTCTGTCTTTACTCCCAAAATTTCCCATCTCGAATCCTGTTAAGTCCACAGTTTCTACTTCACCAGTTAAGTGTGACATGTTTTACTCGTAAGAAGACCATCTATTTGTTTTTTTTCCAACTACATGTAGGATGAAACTGCAAATGCAGGATCCAAAGTTGTTGCATCCTTGTTCCTCTCACCTGGAGGACCTAAGTTTGTCAGCTTGATGCTACATTTGGCCAATCACGTCATGCTGCAAGAAATGAAGACATTCACCACAGGTAGGCCCACTTTTTTCAAATACCAATCGCTCTTGTAAACAGTCAAACTTGAAACCAATAGAGTAAGTATAAACAAATCATCTGTGATTCAATGTGGCTTGAAAATGGCATCAAATGGACTTGAATTTTGTCTCTGCCAGATAGCAGCTGGGTCCCTGAGGCTGCAGCTGTGCCTGCGTCTTCCCTTGACATGGCGATGAAACGACTCAACTCCATCCATTCAAGGTTCTTGAAAGCTGCTGTGGACCAAGATCGCTTTCTTCATGAATACGAGAAACGTGCCCAGTAAGTCCTGCGTAGTTACAGGAGCAATGTTCTGTTATTGTTAAATGCAACAAACAGGCTGTTGAAACCAGCTCTCTTTTATTAACACACTGCTCATCACTATGGCTCTGAAATCCAGGTTTTCTGACTTTTAGTTGGGGAATTTTATACCAACAAAACTATCACGTCAGCTGCAAATAAAGCACAAAGTAATAAATCCCTCACCTTGGGCTTTTTAGCATGTAAGAGAATAATCTGTGACCACAATAAATGTGTATGGTCTTCCTCTGAGCTTGAAGGAGGTTTTTTTTTGAGAGCTACTTTAAGACCATGGCACAACAGTAAGTCAAGTTCTGTGTGAGAGTAACCGCTCCAGACATAATTACAGATGGGTTTTTTTTCTAACTTGGGAGGACCACAGTGACTCCTACGTTAGAAAATTATACACCCCAAGTCGATTTAGATGACTTAACATGTTGAAAATGTCAGCTGTACACTGAGTCTAGTGCACTTTTTTGACCCATTGTTAATGTGACATATTAATTTTAGAATAAAGTCAGTGATTTCTTTTGTAGGCCTATTCCTCATTAAAGGGATATTCCGGCTAAAATTAATTTAGGGTCAAACACACCATAATACTGAGTTAGACGCCCCTCGAGAGATGAATGTTGCTGACCGCTTGCTTCTCTAGTTATACCAACTTTAGTAACGACCCCGGATAGCAAAACAGAGCGGTCTACATCTCCACTAAACACAACTCACCTACTCTCTTCCAGCAGCCGTTTATTTGTAGCCAGACCTTAAACCAGTCCATTACGTACTGCTGCGGGGTGATGCAGCTCAAGGAAGAACGTTTATGATCATTTATCCATGGAAATGCAATCAGACTGAGACGCTAAGGCAGAAGAACTACCACATCTGCAGAGCAAAATGATTAATATGGTGATTATTACTTCAAGGAAATGATAAAGACATGATCTTAAATGTTCTTCCTTGAGCTGCGTCACCCCGCTGTAGTCCGTAATGGACTGGCCTGAGGTCTCGCTAGAAACAAGCGGCTGCTGTAAGAGAGTAGGTGAGTGACAAAGTGGACTGAATGAATAAAAAGTAAATAGAAAAAATGAACATTTTGGAGTATGTGTTAAATTATTACTTTGCTTGATATAATACAAAATATTAAAAGGCAGTCTGTTAAAGTGGTATTTTTATCTCGGGCTGAAGTTGTGTTTCATTAGCTGGCAGCGTTTACACCCACCTGTGTAGTAAGAACTGATTGAACTGCTCAAGGTGTTGTTAATTAGGGTCGGTTGGTTGCAGCCGAGCTCCATTCAAGTGTCCTGAAATGCAGTGCTCAGGTTGTAGTTTCTAAATACTGTCATTGTGGAAAACTGTTTTATTGCATGTTGAAATCAAATTTTCAAAGTAGTTTGGTCGATATTTAAAGCTCTTATGTTGTCTCCACTCTTTTTATAGAGCTCTAGTGAAATCAAAAAGGGACGCCAGAGAAGAGGGAGCTAAATATGATGAGCTACTCAAGTATGTATGAACTGTTTTCTTTGTTTTGAAGTTCTTTTGATTTGATATAACTAGACAGATTAATCAACAAGACACTCCTTTCAGACGTTTCAGCAGTGATCCCCCACAAGAAGGAGCGTCTTCAGCTGAGAAGACCAAGAAGGTGAGTAACGTCTCCTCCGTTAAACGTGATTCAAAACAATAGGCATGATTCACATTCCCAGTCAGTTTAGACAGTGGTTCTAAAGTCCAGTCCTCGAGGCCCACACACCTGATTCAAATGATCAGCTCGTTATCAAGCCATTACAGAGCTTGATAACGAGCTGATCATTTGAATCAGGTGTGTCGGAGCAGGGAAACATCCAAAACATGCAGGACAGTGGGCCTCGAGGACTGGACTTGAGAACCGCTTAGTTAAGACACAAGATTTGAATCTCTAAAGCTGAGCTGACTCGGAAAAAGATCTACCATAGAGTAACTTGCCTAAATATGTTTATCCTAAGGTGCGTTTCCTGTGGTCGACCATCGATGAAATGCTGTCAACCACCAGGGACGAGCAGCAGGCAGTGGAGAGTGTATTGAAGGGGGAAGGAGACCAATACATCTTAGATGGTACGAACAGAGTCCTCAAAATACCCAAGACTCTACTGGAGAGAGTTGAACAGCTCCCGCAGCAGGTAAGTGAAATGAGTCAGCTGCTTCTTTCATCCCCCTGTTGCCCTGAGCTATCTGGCGTGTTGATTCACATACTTTTCCCCCATCTGATAAATGTTCAATTCCATGGTTGTGACTGTTCATGTTCTCCAGTTGAGTTCAGGGAACGTGTATGAATCTGGCCAGCTGAACCTCCTGAGCGTGTTGGAGCTGACCAACCACTCGCTTCAGCTCCTGAGAGAAGAGCGTCGTCGGGTCTCGCAGGACCCCGAACCACACTTCAGTCCCGAGCACCTGCAGGAGAAGTGTCAGCAGATGGCGCGTGTGCTGCAGGACCTCCACCTCATCAGGTATACAACAGACCCACTATACCTTTTCAATTTTTCGCCGGAGTATCCCTTTTAAGATCAGGACATCAGCTATAACCTCTCACTATTTATAGTGTTCCAGATTGGTAAAAGAAGATTTCCATACATACTATCTAACAAAGTCACTCAACTTAAGTAGTACTGACATTAAGGTTTTTTTTTTTCCTCTCTTTTTAGGCAGAAGATTTCCAAGGAAGGGATTCCTGAGGTCAGGAGTACCATTAAAGAGTTGGAGGTGGAGTGGGACAGGAAGTGGATTGGAACTCTGAAAGACACACCCCTGGTCTCTTTTCTGAATGAGGATCCAGTGAGTCACCCAGGGCTATTGAACTTATTTAACCTCTTTTTCTTTTATAGCAACAGTAAAGTCTTTTATCAGTGCTTCCACAAATAAAAAGACACGTGAGAAAGAGTTGTCATATTGACTATCCTGTGTAAACAAAATCAGAATACTTAATTAACATCTCACCATTGATGCATATCCTCTTTTAATAAACTGTTTTTTCAGGCTCTGGGCTTCCTCTCACCAATGGCTCCACTGTCTTTTGAACCAGCCGCCAATACTTCTTATCGAAGTAGTGTCTTCTCTCAGTTCCCTGCATCGCTTCTTGGTGAGGGAAAAATAAAGTTTCATGCACATTTTATGTCCAATGAAATGAAATGAATGTTATTTTTCTTACGATAATGTTGACAATTCACAGAGGAGAATGCTGCAGAGAGTAAACCACAGAAAGACCTCCAACCTAGTTCTCCCGCTCTCATGAGGTAATTGAATAAAAATGCATTCTGACTCTTTTTCTGATGGGAGGCAGATACTTGGACAGTCCTGAGCCGTGCTCTGTCCGTCACTAGCCCTCCCTATAGCATCCATGCTCTCTGATGACCGCGGCGAATTGAGAGAAATCGCCACGGACAGATACGGAGCAGACACTCAAGTTACCTCACAATCTGATTATCTTGACTGCTATCATAAATAAACTTTAACGACTTCAAAAAAAAATGAAGAGTTTGACACAATAAACTTGTAGACAGGTTGAGATTTTAGAGGAGCATGTAAATTAGCTTTGTACTTTCAGTGTAGTGCCTTATTTCATAAAGTAATACTGCCCTCATCCATTGAAGGATTGAGTTAAGTGAAGATGTAGGGCAGTGTGTCATCTTGACTCAAGCTCCCAGTCACAAACTGACTGTTAACAGCTGATTTTAGATGCTCTGTATCTTGAACTTTGTGAAACAAGATCTGTTTCTGTCTTTGAATCAGCTCTTGCCTCCAAGCAACTGACAGAGTTGAAAGTCCTGTCGTCACCACTGTACCCTCGCCAAAGGTCAATACCTCTCTGGACTGGCTGTTTGACACTCCTCCGGCCCCTCCAGAGATGGCTCCACCAACACCAGCACCACCACCACCTCAGGCAAGTCCCGCATTTGAGCATCATCTGGTCAGATTGACTTGCGCCTGTTAAGTTTCCACGCACAAGTTCTTTCACAAACTAGTATTTTGAATGTGTGCTTGTTTTTTTAGGCCAGCGTGAGGAAAACGGCGCATGCTCATCCGAAGGTCGCTCCCCCAAGATCCAAGAGTCAAATACTCAATATGGAGTGTGATAATCTTGCTGATCAGGTATGAAAGTGATGATTCAAACAGCTCATGATGCTCTGTTCATGTAGCTCAGAAAAGAACCGAACTAAAGGTCCTGTCACACCCGGACCGTTTTTGTCGTGCGATTATTTCGGACGTCAGTATTTTTTTTCGAACCCGTATCCTGTCAATACAAGCATTCACATCAGCGACGTTTTCCCATTCTGCGATATTGCAACATTTACTTTTTCGGATCATGGTCGATTTTTTTTAAAGTTTCGCATACTGCGTGTCCACTTCTGACCAATCAGATTCCGTGTTGTTGCAACGTCAGATTCACCGGGATATCCAACATGGCCGACTGGCTGATTGTTGACGTGTCGGAGAATGGAGTACTTTTTGATAAAAGACACAAATATTACAAAGACGACGACCTGAAGGATAGTTTGTGTGCTTTAACAGTTTTGCTACATGTCTTTGTTTGAACTTTCATCTGTGCTAACGGTTGTTACCATAGTTTCATGTGCTTATGTTATCGCCTCTGATTGGCTATAAGTGCTGACCGTTTGGCTTGAGCGTGTGATGATGTTTCCAGCTTTTCTAGCCAATCAGAGGCGGGACTTTCCCCGGGAAAAGTCTTCCAAGGAAAGTCGCAAAATTGCATCGAGCTTGATGTGTATAGTAGAAGTTGATAGTGCATAGTCAGGCGCGTCAAAATTCACCTCAGAATATTTCTTACTTCTGTGTTCTTTTTTCGTGTCGGCCTTGGTGTGTACCTTTAATCGCACTGTAGTTCGTCATTTTTCAAAACATTTATGTAGCAAAAGACCAAAAAAAGGCACAAGAAACGCTTTGTTCAAGGATTGAACTCCGTCTTGAGTAACGTTTGTATTAGTTTGCAGATGCTGTTACTACAACCAGTCCCTCTGACAGCAGTCTCAAAGGTTTTGACTTGGAGGGTCTTCTGAACACTCTTCATGGAGATCCTTTCTCTACAAGAAAGCAGCTCCCCCGAACACCTGAGAGCCTCAGTAAGTCTTGTTTAATCACAGCCTTACATTTAACACCGTCATGTTTTGATCAGTGAGTAAAACACTGTTTTTATTCTCTAGTCATGGATGTGAAGAGCTCCTGGCGTAAGGCACTTGAAGAAGATGAAGCTGAGAAAAGGAGACGAGCAGCGAAATTTGAGGACAGCGTTATGGGACGACTGACTCCCCTCAGTGAGCCTGTTGCGCCGAGTGAAGATTCCCCCTCCAAGAGCGAGTCCTGCTGTATCGAACCGAAGGCGACAACCCACAGTAGCCCTCCTGTCAATCAGCCGGAGGTCAAATCCACTCTGTTGTGGGACACCTTCTACACAGAGGCTCTCGACACCCCGAGCGGCACAGGCAGCAGCGCGGTCCAGTTCAGCCTTGAGCACGAGACTCTCCCTGAGATGCCGAGCTGCGACAGTCTGCTGAGTCTTGATGATGAGGACGATGAAGAGCTCTTAATCCCTTCATTGAAAACAGAGGTGGAGTGTTCCTCACTTTACACACTGCCTCACCTTTCTCAGTCGCAGCAAGAGGGTTATGACGGTTCCTTTATGGAGAGCAGGAGGAGGACCCCTGAGTGTCTCTTGACAGGTCACACTCTCCCCAGTTTGGACAAAGACTGGCAAGTGAAGCCTGCGAAGGCAAAGGAAGCCTCAGACAAGGTTTTCTCACTGGACTTAGACGCACTTGGACCACCGTCACCTCCCAAAAAGCAGGAGTACAGCCTCCCAAAGCTGATCACGTTCTCTCCGATAGATGATATGAAGTGTTGAATAGATTCATATTGAAACTCGTCTTAAACTTTAGTTTCTAAATCCTTTTTTAAGTCATGTAACAAATATTTGCACAATACTACAGAATAATCCTCCCATGTCACGCGTCATATGTAAATAAATTTTCTGGGCTTAAAAATTGCTTTTTAATTCTAAAGTCATGAACTGCTAAATAAAATTGTAAAAAGGGCAATTTTATTTCACTTTTGTACATAGTGCATGTGCTAAACAAAATGATTTGCCTGTGTAAAAATGTAAAAATGGACCTCTGAAAGTTCTAGGAGTTAGTACTAAATTAAAATGTTGAAGGTTGGAGTTACTTGAGCAGGTGTGTCGCTCCACTCTAACATTTACATTTGCACTATTATCATGCTTTCTTGTCTTTGGAAATAACACAAATGTGAGACGAACCAGTCAGGTTTATAAAAAGTAGATTTTACTGTTAACTGTTAATGAAAAATTTAAGAATAAAAAAAACTGCTAATACTAAAGTGCTGTGATAAGATTTGTCTTGTCCCTTCCAACCAATGTGGAGCTGAACCATGTAGGATGTTAAATAACTGACCTAATTATGGCAGTGTTTTTCTGCAAATCCCCCTTATTGACATAGAGGGAGTATGTTTGTAAACTACTCTAGATATTGAATTATTACATTTATTTCTCCAAGTTAATATAATGGGGCTTCTTCTGACAAAAACACTAAATGTTTAAATACATAGGTTTACATATGCACCTGTTGCTCTTTTCGTTCAGTGTAATTAAGTGGAAATGCTGATTAAGGATTTGTGACATATTTAAAGGTATGAAAACTTGGTTTGGAAAATTTGCTTCAGAGGAAATTATAATGAAACACAAAGTTTCCAGTTTTTGTTACCTATGAGACATAGGCCTGCTAAGCTATCGTGTTAAAATAAAGGGGTAGTTTTGTAAGGAAATAACGAAGGTTTATGATTTAAAATGCTTTTTAAACTCTTAAACTAGGTGACGAAAAAAAAACTCCACTTTATTTCAAGAGATATTAATATCCCATTGAGATTAAAGTAAATTAAAGTTAATATTAAACTTTTAGATATGTAAGTGCTACACTTATGCTACTTCTCACTTACCTGTCTTTTAAGGTAATTTACTTCTTCATTCAAACTTTGTGCAATTTAAGTCATTTTTCTGGCCTCTTTCAGCATGAATAAAATTTAAATTTATGGAGCATATTCATATTATTTGTCCTTAAACCATTTTCACAATTATTCAACTTCTATTTGTTCACCCCTTAAACAGCTTTTACATTTATATACCTTCCTCCATTTTTATTAGCAGTTTTGCATTGCTTTTTCAGCTTTCAGCAATCGGCATTTCCACGCATTTTCTGCAAGGAAACGCAATTTTTCTAGTTTCTCTTAGTAGTAGATAGGGGGTGTCAGGAACTGCGGAAAACAAAGAGCAACAGAATAAAGTCAGTCAAGGACGCTTTAAATACCGGGGTGAGCAGGAAGTCAATTACACCTTCACAATAAAAGAAACGGTTCGCCATGCTACTTCTCGACTGTAAAATATCAACAGTCACTTTTTCACATTCATGTGTATTTTTTATCTATTATACGCTATTCAACTGGTACAATCATTCTTTTTATTATTATTATTATTATTATTATTACTATTATTATTATTACATACTACTTTTAAAAAGCTCTTCTGTAAAAAGCTATTTTAACATGAGAATGTCTTTAAGTGATTCAGAACATTCACAGCTGTATTTTTGAAAAGAAAACTCTGATTCTCTTATCAGACTCCTTTACTTTCTCAGTTGAGTTACTGGCTCAACTTACCCCAGAACTACAATTATGGCTTTATTAGTCCTCTAACCTAAAATGGTGGACTTTTATGCCAGGTTTTTGACCTGTTGTTGTGTTGTAGCTCATAGATACCACAATCGATGTATAAAACAAATTTAAAATGATCATTTTTGGTCTGAACACAATTCTAATAAAACTTATGACAGACTAAATTCACTTTCAAGAGTTTAAAAATGTTTTTTGGAAGTGAAACTCTAACCCCTTCACACTTGTTCTTCTAACCTTCACAGACTCCATGAATTAATGCCCATCTCCTAAATATTTGGTCACATGATCAATTTCTTTTACCATTTCCAAGCAACAGCGGGTGGCTCAACTTACCCTCTGGCTCAACTTACCCCACCCTACCCTACTTGACCATTGATAAAACTGCTCGTAAGATATCAAAGCTAAGCTTAATATATTTTTTGTTGTTAAATTACATTTAGTAGGATGTACAGATGATTAGAATTACGAAATATTTAATTTAAAAAAGACTAAAGAAAAGCATAAACTATAATTCTAATGTAGAAGGTTAGAAATAGACATATTTTTCAATTTATTGCATTTTAATTTAATTTGGCAAGTAAGTGAAAATAAATGTCTTATCAACATTTGTAACTCTAATAAACCCTGATAATAACAAAAGAAAAAGTGAAAATTTATTCTACAAACTGCGACTCTGTTACAGCTTTTATTTTGAAGGATTTACCGGAAGCTCTATATTTTGTAGCTTGACAGCGCCCTGAGGCCGGCCTCTGTCAGTTAGAGCAGGGGCCGTCCGTCGCCTCTCCTCTTCTCTGGGCGGTTCCAGTCTGAAAGAGACCTTTGCGAAGAAAGCTCGCCAACAAAACTATCAGCACAGACACAAACATGGCGCCTGCCTCCGCCGACAACTTCAGATGAAAGTGTGGCGAAGAAGTGGACTGTAAAGTTTTGAAGGAGTACTTCTCTGAGGCTTTTTTTTCGCGCGCCTTCCTGGTTTAACCTGACTGTGTTTGCACGAAGAGGCACTCGGAATATCTCAAATAAGGAAAAACAGCAAGTTGCCTTCATGTCAACATTGTCTCGCGCTGCAGTGTAAACAGCTGGTAAGTGGAGCATATTTGTGTGTATGAAAATAGCTTGAGCAAAGTGGTGTAACTTTTTAGAATTAGAAACTGTATTAAAGCAGTTTTAAGTTGAATTTAGCTGTGTTGGAGGAGGCTCCCCGCTTAAAACACAGTCTCTTGGTGTTGAGGCGCTGCGGTCTGTTTCTACACTTCCACCGTGTGTGTTATTCAACCACGGAAAGACAGACAGGCAGCCACGTATCAGCACACTGGCTAATCACAGGAGGAAATTTCTTTTGTTATATCCGCGCTGATGTGAATTTCCTGCACGGAGGCTGACCTAGATATGGGTCGGATGCAACAGTTGGGAATATAACACCCCCCCTCCTCTTCCTCCTCTCCTCCTTCTCCTTCTCTTGTGCCCTCTTGGCCCTCCTTGACGCCTGATAATCAGACTCTGCTCCCCTGGAGATTACCTAACCATACAGGTGTCTGCTCCAGAACTCACATACACAGGACTTACCTGCCTGAAATTAAAGATATGGTTAAAATAACTGGCCTCTGCAAACTCTGGAAACACAAGATTATTCACAAGACAAGGAAGTAATGATCTGACTTTCCTTTAGGCATGTTGTTGTTGTTCTCACTCAGGGACTCTTTCTCTGAAAATGCCATCTCTGCATTTGTATGACCCAAACCTCAGGACACAGAATTGTGTAACACACCTCTGCTGTCTTGCTTTATGGCGGTGAGTAGATGGGGCACTAATGCCATTGATTTCAATGCCAAGGTGCTCACATATCTACACCTCAGCACTTGACTGTTTGCCAGCGAGCAAGCTGCAAGTCTAGCCCTCTAGGGCAATGGAGTACTCCCTGCTTTCCAACAATGTTTGGTGATTCATGGCATGCATGTGATGTTCCTGTTATGGCAGCCGTGGTGCAAGTCTCAGCAGAGCTGTGGATGGCACTTCCTCTTGTACTGTACCCATTACTATTGGATTGAGGTGTGAGATGTGAGTAGGAATGTCAGACAAAAAAAAAAATACAAGTGTAAATAAGACAAACATAAAGGAAAGCCAAATGCTAAATGAGCTAAACAGTTGGAAAAAAATATATAAATCACAATATATTGTATTGCAATACTCACTGTATTGCAAAATGTTAAAAATCGCAATAATATCGTATCGTGGCCCAAGTATCCTGATAATATCGCATTGTGGCCCAAGTATCCTGATAATATCGTATCATGGCCCAAGTTTTGTAATAATATCGTATCATGGCTCAAGTATCGTGATAATATTGTACCGTAGCCCAAGTATCGGGATAATACTGCATCATGGCCCAAGAATCATGATGATATCGTATCGTGATAATATTATATCGTGGCCCAAGTATCGTGATATCATTGCATTATGGCTCAAGTATCGTGATAATATCGTATTGTGGCCAGAATATCGGGATCATATTGTATCGTTGCCCAAGTTTCGTGATAACATTGCATTGTGGCTTGAGTATCGTGATAATATCGTATAGTCGCCCAAGTATCGTGATAATATCATATCGTGGCCCAAGTATCATGATAATATCATATCATAGCCCAAGTATCTTGACAATATCGTATCATAGCCCAAGTATTGTGATAATATCGTATCATGAGGCCACTGGTGATTCCCACCCCAACTGAAATACAGTTTCAGAGTAGGAATGTCAGACTACTCGGAACAACACACCCCGAACAATCACAGCTTGAGGAGGGAGTACACGCATGGAATAGTTTTTGCAGAGCTGCAGCCATGAACCGTTGACACGTGGAAAAAAAAAGAAAAAGAAGAAAAACCTCTTTCTTGACCTTGGCTTGGCCTGACAGCGGCTGGAAAAGGGGAGTGGAGGGATGTTGCCTCCTAACTGCCACAGGCGGGCAGGTAGAAAGTAGGTCATGGTTGCACTGTGGCTTTGTGTACATTGAACTCGCACTTTGTTACCATCACTGGCTGTCCAGAGGCTCCGTCAGGTGACCAAGGAAAGGAAAAAGACTGGCTGAGGGAGTGGCAGCAGGCTGTGGGAGGACTCTGTGGTTGCCTCGGCAAAGTCAAATTGGATTTTGATGAGTGTGAGAAAAAACGGTTGTTTACTCTGCTGGACAGTATTTCCAGAGAGCTGTAGATTTGTCTCCTGCTAACTTTTTCAACATTTTCAGATCAAAGTTCTTCACTTCTAAAATGCTCTGCTCTTTGTACATCCACTTCTCTTCTCTGTGATCACACATCCTCTGAAACTTTTATATCATCTGTCACTTTATACTTGTTGACCAGCACTTTCAATTTAAGTGAGGCCAAGTGATTACCAACACTTTGACTCACATTTTTAACCCCTCTTTGTTTGAAGTTAACTGCACTTCCACTACACTTTAAGAAATTCAAGATCAGCTAGAGCTTAACTACCTTTTTTTTTTACAAGCTATTTTACTCAGTGATCATCATCAACTGCATACATTTGTGACTAGAGGTAGACCGGTTAATAAGTAAGCCAGTTAAATGGGTTGATTTAGATCAATTTGAAATAGTGAACATTGGCTGATAATAAGTGTGTTTATGAGACAGATAAAAAGAATAAACACTTAATGCCTGCAGACACTGCAGGCAGCCTCATCAGTGTAGTGAACAGCAGCACACTCTCTTCATTATAACACATTTTTCTCATTTTAAATAACAGCTTATCAAATCAAAAGCATTTATTAGCTACTGTTTAGTACAAAGTCTGTTATGATGTATGGAATAGTAAAATAAGTATATACATAATGATAGAATTTGATTCAGGTTCAGCAATTTTGTTTATCATTTGTTATCTTATTGGTGCATCTTGTCAACTGGCCAGCCTGCACTCTTATTATCGTCATCGGTAGTTGAAGACAAGACATGACAACAATGTCGTGCCTCAAAGTTAGTGTTAGTATGAAAAGATGGTGTCACTGATATCGTAGAGTCGTGGCAAATAAATGACAAAGCAGTGTCATTGCAAATATCGCGTTGAATATGGAGGTTGTAACGGTGAAAAAACAGCGTCAGGGTCACTGTTAATGTTAGGCTAGCATCAGACTTAAGACCAGAAGCATAAAAGAAGTGAAACAACATCATTCTGAATGTTGAGTCTACCTCAGAATTGAAAACAGAAGCGAAAAAAGTAGTGAGAAAGCCTCTCTAAAAACTAGGGGTGGTAGAAAAAAATCAATGCAGCATAGTATTGCGATATTTTGTCTGGCGATATATCGTATCGTCTTGTTGAACAAGTATTGATTTTTCGTTTTTTATACAAAGTTTGCAAGATGTGCTACATGAAAATAAAATACAGTGTAAATAAGACAAACATAAAGTAAAACCAAATGCTAAATGAGCTAAACAGTTGAAAAAATTATATAAATCACAATGTATTGTATCGCAATTCTGACTGTATTGCAAAATGTAAAAAATCGCAATAATATCGTATCGTGGCCCAGGTATCATGATAATATTGTATCGTCATAATATTGTATCGTGCCCCAAGTATCGTGATAATATTGTATCGTGGCCCAAGTATCATGATAATATCGTATCATGAGGCCACCAGTGATTCCCACCTCGATTGAAAACGCCAACATTAACACTGGCACTTTCAGGACAGAGCAGCGCTGTGCGAGGATGTAAGGCATGTGCTGTTCACACGTTGCACCTCTCAGGCTTTAGAAATGCACTGTGTAGAATCTCTCAACATGTCAGGCTGGAGGACACTTCAGCAACACTTTAGCACCATCGTTCCAGCTCTCATCAGTTTTCTGCCTTCTTCTTATTTGAAAGCCAGCAAAAAAAACCCACTGTATGGATATTATACAGTGAAAACTAACTATTATAATCTCTTTGGCTGAAACTCTACAATGCATATGCATCTCCTGTTTGCATGACTGAAAACACATTAACTTAACAAAGTCAATATGAGCCAAAAAAACTATGACACTCTTGCAACCCAGCCAAAATCCCTCTCTCAGGTTACCTATTTCCTCTGACCTTCGTACTTTTATGTGTTTGAGACGTCTTTTTTTCCAGTAAGCCTGAGTCTGCACTGGTTAAGGCCCGGCTGGTTAGTCAGGGCAATGAGTTTGCCCTCGCTCCCTTCTCCTTGGAGTGGAAAGAATGCTCTGTGTCCGCCGGGTTGTCACGCTCCGGGAGGGAGGCAGTCTTGTGACGTTTTCTGCTGAGCCGAGCCACGCTGGCCTGAGCTGCTTCTCATCCTCCAGCCAACCAACAAAAAAGAGTAACGTCTTGTTGCAAACCTTTACTGTATTTGCCCTACTTTCTTGTCAGGCTTTGGGACCCACCTGTTGCCGTTGGCTGTGCAGGATATGGTTGCTTTTGACATGTAGTTGAGCAAACACGGAAAGTGTGTCACTTTCTCTTGAAAGCACACCTGCCTCTTCGATCACATGCTCAGGTCTTTGTAAAGAGTAACTTTTGAGCCTTAGAGAGGCAGGAAGGAAGAACGGGTCACTCATCAGGGCTTGTGCCGCCTCTCTACTGATTGCTTTGATGTTATATGAACAAAACATTAACAATGGATGTCTGGAAAAAGTATGGTCCTGAAAACTGGAAAAATCTTGTTTGAACATTGTAATTTTTTTAGGCAGGACAGGCTTTGCCTTAAAGGGATATTCCACATAAAATTAAGTTAGGGTCAAACACACCGAGTTAGACACCCCGTCGAGAGATGAATGTTGCTGACCACTTGCTTCTCTAGTTATACCAACTTTAGTAATGACTGCAAGATAGCAATATACAGCGAGCCAAGCACAAACCTCAACCAAAACGCCACTCTATAGCCACAAATAATGCTCAGAACAGCACCTAACTTCATCAACAGTACATATAGGGTCCCAGCCACAGCCCTAGCCACCAAACATCTTTTTAACTTTGCCTAATTTCTTTAGCAAAGAGACTAAACACAACTCACCTACTCTCTTCCAGCAGCCGCTTGTTTGTAGCGAGACCTCGGGCCAGTCCATTACGGACAACAGAGGGGTGACGCAGCTCAAGGAAGAACATTTGTAATAATTTTTTCATGGAAATGCGATCAGACCGAGACGCTAAGGCAGAAGAACTACCACGTCTGCAGTGCAAAATGATTAATATGATGTTTATTACTTCAAGGAAATGATAAAGAAATGATCATAAATGTTCTTCCTTGAGCTGCGTCACCCCTCTGCAGTCTGTAATGTCCCATATTGAACATGTAACCTGTGGCTACAGAAATGAGTCTGTCAGTGTTCAATAAACAGGATTCAGGATTAGAGATCTTTGTTAGGCTTAGGAGAGTGAAAGAGCTGTCATTGGCGTATGGATATGATATTACCAGGCTATCACACATATCACGCAGGTTTATCTGGAGCCAAAACGCAGATGGACAGTCAATGCTCCACCTCTAACAAACTTTGAAGAGCAAATATTGAGCAGTGAAATATTTCTGCACTTGAACGTCTTCTTTCCATCTCAATGATAAAAAAGGAGTAGCTGGTTTCTTCACAACACAGTTCAGATTAATTAACAGGCAGAGGTACACACAAACTAGTCCCCTCGGTATGAAACACACTTCAGTTTGATCTTATCTCCTCCTCAATCCTATCTCTAATCCAGAGGGGGCCCAGCTTCTTCTGTGGTCTTTGCTTTGTAAAACAGAGGTTTTGTCACCTCATTGGCACCTTCCTCTCAGTCTGGCCTTGGCCGCTGACAGCACGCCGTGATGACAGGTGGTAGAGAGGGCCACTTTGCTCTGTAGATCCTCCAAAGCCTGCAGATACAGAGAGGTACTTGAGGTAGACACACGGCGGCTGCACAAGCTGACGCAGTCACAGAAGCTCATATCCAAACAGGCTAAAGACAAGGGGTTTTATGTAAGATCAGACTGGTCTATTTTTAGCCAAAGGTCAGCCTGTTTTCGAGTATTATCCCTGTGTTATTCGGTCACTTTCTTATTCTGTTTGTAATGTCCAAGACACAATACATGACGTTAGTGTGTGTCACTCTCAGCAGCTGTTTTAGACGAGCTGTGAGTGGACGTGCATGGCAGGGCTCCTCCTGAAATAATTGAGCACTGTCTGTTGTCCAGCATTACACACACAAACGGGCAGACTTGTGCATGCTCATGCACACACACTCACACACACGCAGGCAGTCTCTTTATACCTCTGGGGAACCAGCCTCCAGGCTCTTTTGTGTGAATGGGATGAGATCATTGTGGGGCAGAACATGGGGGGATGGAGGAAAGGGTTCCACTGTGTGTACTTAAAAAGAGAAACCCTCTCTTGTCCTCTCTCCTCAACTTTCAGCTGTTGATTAGCTTTGAGTTTAGAAAAAATCAAACCAGTATCAGGTTTGCTGTGAAGGCGTATGAACAGAAGGACCTCCCTGGTTTTATTCATGTCAGCTGAAGCTTTCCTCCTCCCTCAGGGGTTGTTAGGCTGCAACCTTTTGGCGCATTTGCAACCAAATTCAGACCAGTACACAGAGGCGCTTTTAGAACGACCCACCAAGGATTTTTGAGGCACAAGTGATCACACTTAAGGTTAAGTCCTGCTCATAACAAAGGTTTAAAGCCCAAATATAACAAACTCTAAACACATTTTTTGTGATAATACATTTTAATTGTGCTTGTCTGGATACAGCTTTTAATAATTATCATCCTGCTTGTGAAGCCACTTGTGAATTGTGAACTTAAATTCAGTTGTCTCTGAAGGTTTGGAGCTCACTTCCTTTATTGACAGGTTTCAGGCGTCATCACCTTGTCATGCTGTTTGTTGTCATTATGATCCTTAAACACGCTGTGATAGTGAAAGACGGTTTCGCACAACTCCAAATGATGATTGCTTTGACTGGCAGGACATTTTCATTTTGACACCAGGAGTGTGTAAAAATTTCTCTCTATTTCTGTCTGACTTTGAGTTCTGAAAACTAAAATTTCAAGAGTCATTAGAGTTTTGAGGATGAAGTTTTCAGCTCATATTGTATGTAGATAAAACCTTTTTAACCTCTCTGGCCTCACATAGGCAGAAATAAACGTGCCAAAGCAACTAATTTCCTGAATGTAAAGAAATTAAAAGTAAATTGAATTGTAACTCACTTGGTGAAAGGTAAACATACTTGGGGTGGGAATCACCAGTGGCCCCACGATTCAATATTATCACAATACTTGAGCCACAACACGATATTATCACAATACTTGGGCCTTGATTCGATATTATCACGATACGTGGGCCTTGATACGATATTATCACGATACTTGAGCCACGATTCAATATTATTACAATACTTGAGCCACAATACGATATTTTCACGATACTTGGGCCACAATACGATATTATCACAATACTTGAGCCACGATACTTGGGCCACGATACAATATTATCACAGTACTTGGGCCAAGATACAATATCATAATGAGCCGTGATATTATATTATCACGATACTTGGGCTAGGATACGATATTATCATGATACTTGGGCCACGATTCAACATTATCAGGATATTTGAGCCATGATATGATATTATCACGATACTTAAGCTATGATACAATATTATCATGAGACTTGAGACACAATATGATACTATCACGATACTTTGGCCACGATACAATATTATTGTGATTTTTTTTACATTTTGCAATACAGTGAGTATTGCAATACAATACAATATATTGCGATTTACACAACTTTTTCAACTGTTTTGCTAATTTAGCATTTGGCTTTCCTTTATGTTTGTCTTATTTACGCTGTATTTTATTTTCATGTTGCACATCTTGCAAACCTTAAATAAATTTGTTGTGCTAACTTTCTCCTGCTCTCTGATGTCACCTCTGCCAACCTCAATGGACAAACATTTGATTTCATTTTTTCATTATCATAGATTTAACTCCACTTGACAATCAGTTTGAAAAATTGATACTTGGTAGGTGAGACGATATGATCTATCACCAGACAAAATATTAAGATACTATGCTGTATCAATTTTTTCTCCCACCACACACAGAGAACAGTATAGATTAAGTTCAAATGCTAAACTTAAACTCAGAGTCTGCAGGTCAGTGATGTCAAATTGGTTCCTGAGCGCAGCTACCGAGTGCAAGTTAGAGCTATTTCTTGGTATGAACACTATCTGCTGTGTGTAACCTATATTAAGAGTGAAAGAGTAGACTTAGAGATTGTCCACATCAAGGCCAGGGTTATTTATCACTCCAGGGGAGCCAGAAACTACTTTCAGAGTAACCGGTCAGTTTACGTGTCCCCTGCAGCCTCAGTGTATTTTGGTCATGACTCGTAGTGACCTAAGTCCCATAGTGCAGCCCAGACAAAGAGCATGACACTCGATCATCGGGGCTTTGGAGTAACAGAGGAACAGGTTTTTTGACGCAAGGAGGGAGGGGCAGAGCTCAACCTTCGGAGGCAGTTTGAAGCTCAAATTACAACACTCACCTTAATACAGTGGGAATTGAATGGACCGGTTTTGCCTGCCAGTTTGACTCAGTCATTTTACCATTTGACCCGAGAGGCTGCACAATTTTGCCTCCAGGTTCAGAAATTCTTGCATATTTTTTCTCCACGGTGCGTGCTGTCACAAGTGCAGAACAAGAAAGACTGAAAATCCTAAATGTGCTGTTCCCTTCTGTTTACAATAGCTTGAAAGCCTTTAGCCTGTTCAGCTGTCAACACCAGCGCACTTTATGGCTGCTGCCATGTTTTATTTGCACAGCAGACATAAAAGCAGACTATAAAAAACTGTTCCTTCCATTTTACATCTGAAACCCAGACACTGGACTTTGTTTGGATGTGGCAGACTACAGAGAGCACGTCAGCTATACTAAATGTACCCTTGAATGACTCGGAGATCAATTTCTCTCAGCAAGAGTAACACTAGTCGCAGCTCAGGGTCGCCCCGCTTGGCATTGTTGGGGCTGCGTTGCCATGGCAGCGGCGATGTTTGTCTATCATTGGGTGTCACAAAGAGATATTTGTATAGTTCTGGTGGCACAGAGGGACTGTTACAGGCTGTCCTCACTTCTGATATGTGTGCAGGGGAACTATTTTGACTCATCGCAGTATCAGTGTCGTGTGGCATTTTGTTACCTGAGCATTGAAACAACATATGGAGGTGTTAAAGAGACAGTTCTCCTTTTTTACTGTACAGAAGCAACAAGATTTAACTGATCGAGTCAACAAAGACAAGCTTTGCAAAGCAGTTGTTGCGAGTGTCAATTAGAAATGGAAAGTCCCTGATTTATCCACATTTGTCACATTTCGTGGAAAAGCCCCAAAGAGGAATAGATCTGCCGAATCAGACCGCATGCTGACAGAGAGACAGGTTGTATTTAAGCTGTATTAATGATCTGATTGAGTTAGAGGTCAACTCCAAATAAGGGGGAAATTACGGTAACTCTCAAATTCTGCTTGTAAACGTTGTGTTTACTGTCCTCTGTGACACAAGTATTGATTCTCCCGCCTTGGTGAACATCCAGATTTCATTCAAGGCCAATAAGGACTTCACAGATCCTCTTGTAACATTTGCTTTTCTTTTTTTTCTCTTGTTTGTGTTGATCTGCGTCCAAGTTGTCGGGAAGCCATCTGACTCACAGCCTTGATGCTTTAATAACCAAAGTTTCTATTTTGGAGCACATTAGTGGAGCCTGTTTGTGGCTCTACTCAAAACAGCTGTTCAGAAGAGAAAATACCAAAAAGACCACAATACTTTCCTGATGACCTGCTCTTAGAAACTGGTTCAGAATCAGCCTCATTATCCTGAAGCGTGATGAATATTGAGATCTGGTGAAATGATTTCTATGCAGTACTAATGTTTAGCTGCTCATGAGGAATTTTTGAGTAATTTGATGTCAAAATAAATTTGATTTAAACTCTTTTAGAGGTCAATAACTCATGAATAAAGTAAAAAAAGTGAGAAATATTTGCAACCGTCGAATCCATCGCCGTAATGTTGGCCTTTGCCCTCTTCTCCTCTCTCTCCGAAATGTGCTAATGTGCTTCTAATCAGCTGTAACTAATATTTTTATGCTAATAATGGATGAAATGACTGTGTAATGTGAAAGGGATTACACGGAGAATGATCAGATGACTTAGCTTTTCCTCATAGCTGCCCAGTGCCTGTTTTTGGTTCCTTATTTTTGCTTTGCTGTTTCATTTCATTTCATTCCCATCGTTTTTTTTATTTTTTTGAGAGACTCACTTTATTCTGCATGTCAAACAGCAAATGGCTGAAAAAGTTAGCAGCTAGGTGAAAGAGGAGAAGTAGACTCTGGCATGTAAAAAGGTAGGATATGTTCGTAAAGGGGGGGGAGAAAAAAGTCTCTTCATGAACACAGATGTTGTCCAACATGTCTGCTGAGTGTGAAGCGAGCAACTGTTTGCTTTCTCAAAAGCAGTATGTTTACATGCATAGTTAATTAGTTTTGGTTACAGCTCAGTGTGGTGATTTAATAGGCGATTAGACTGAATCAGAGTTTGAAACCTGAAATCCTGATGAGGAATGTGTCGGCAGTAGGTGTTGAAGCCAAATGCAAGACACAAAGAGACGGGTAGTTAACTTTTTTAGATCATCTGCCAATGCTAAGATCTTGCAGGTGATATTGTTCATCTCTAAATAACTTCCAAGTCAGAAAATGCACGTCAACATCAGAAACGAGGGGTGTCTCGAAACAACTTTTTTACATCCGATACGATACCAATATTGTAGCCTTCAGTAACAGCCGATACCAATATATCTCAATATTGGCACAAACCTTTGCATGAAAAGTTTTGCACTCAGCTGGGATGTCTTTTTCGGACTTTGACGAAAAATACTGCCACACAGCTGACATCACTCATATTCCTTGCTACTTTGTTAGTACCTTAGTACACACTGTTGTGAAAACATGGGCTCTACATGCTGGATCAGGGCGCTGCCAGATAGAAGTGCCGAAGTGGAGTCTGGAATGGACTGCTTGTATCGTCGTCCTGATATCGGAGAGTTTAGATGCAGGCCGATATAATCCGATGTTTGTTTTTTGGCTAATATCGGACAGATATCCCTAGGGTCTCCCATACATGCAGTTGATCTTGGTGCACCGCCACGACTAAATTTTACATTTTACATTTGAAATTTTACATGATCATTAATATCAATGCGCCACTAATGAATTGTACTTGCACTGTGTGAGGACAACAACACACAACATCATGTCCGACTTGTTTTGAGTCATCAGGGAGTGCATCAAATCCTGTCGGACCCTGTCTATCAACGTGAAAAGTAACGTTCAAGCTTAAACACAGTCTTTATAGCGAGTAGCATTAATAGCATTAGTAGCATTATTGTTAATGTGGCACTAATGAATTCTACGTTTTAGCTTATACCACGGTCTGTAGCGCGTGTAACGTAACGTGAATGTAACAGCGTACATTCACGATCAGTGTTTCTAGGGGAAACACTGATCCCATATCAATATCGTATCAAGACAGCCCTATCAAAAAATTAGACAAAATTTGGTGGCCGACTTGCAGACTTTCGGCCATCATGGCGAATCACAACAGATAGATGTAGAACCTGTAGGGTATGGCGAATAGTAGACATGTCCCATCCTCTCAAAAACAGCCATTCATGTGCTTCTCTCAGATTCAGCAAACACAGAAGGCCGATCCCGACTCTGGTTTTACCATTAGACCACATTTACAGGCCAGCCACTGGTACAAAAACACATTTAATAAACAGTTTTAACTGTTAAAATGTCACTATGGACACAAACAAAGCAGTATATTTCTAAAGAGCTACATCCTTTATGACTCTAGTTTGGTAAAATAGGAGCTGTTTTTCTTTTAAAGGACCAGGATAGAAATTAGTCATTGTGTTGTGATGAGCCACATCTGGTATCATTTGAGTTCTTGAATGAGGACAAAAGTTTCAGTGACGTTTCCAGGAATGAGTAAATATCCCACTTCAAAGGAACATAATGAAATAGAGAGGATTCAGAAAGAGAGCAGTGGGAGGGAGATCAAGCACATACCTGTCTCAGCTCCTTCATCCTGAGTGTCTTGAGAGTTTAAAGACTGACCTGCTAATCCCCCTTTTCTTCATTGATGCCCTTTTTTTTATTTTTGCCATTTTTGTCAGTGGAAATTTCAACTCATTTGCTCCCAGCTCAGATAACATGACGTATAACTGTGATGTTTTTGCCGCTCGGGGCCTGTGTTGACACAGTGACACGCTCTGCCCTTTTGGTTTGAGTGTTTTCCCGACATTGTTTTAATAAAGAGGAATGAAAAAAACAGGGCCTGTATTCTGGGCGCATATCCAACTACATTCTTCAAAAGTACCTGTGAAGACTAAAGGCCTGTTAGTATACTTCAAATAATCAACTCTGGCTTATTCACAGAGTTAGAGTGCCAGGTTTAAAACTAGAGGGCAATGCTATTGTAATGAGATTTGGATGACCATGTGGATGTCGTCCAAGACTTGATGCGATAAAGACGTTTCTTTTTTTTAAAAATGTATCTGCCTTTACTTTCATTTTGACTAATTTTTCTACCTTTGATTGGTTTTGAAGTCCTGAACAAAACTGAAACAATCACTAAAACACTGTCCTGAAGTCCAGGGCTGTCTGTGCTTTTCCCCCTCTTGCCTCAGCTGACTCACTTCTGGAAAAATTGAACTTCCTGTATAAAAAACTGCTCTTTGAAGGGCGATGTGGATGCATCTCTGTCTCCATAGAAAACTAGTTGCTCTCTGTCGTTTTTGGCCGGGGCTTGAACAGTCAGGTGCTTTTCTTGGGTACAAGAACACTGAGTCTTTATGCCATGATGAATGGACTGTAAATGAGGCAGCAGTTATGGTCGTATATTTTGTTTATTATGCAGACAAAAGTCCTGTGGATGTTTTAGTGACTTGGCTTTTTTGTCATATTTAAGAACTCATTATTCTAAATTAGGGCTGGCCGATATGGCCTCAAATCAATATCATGATAAATTGAGCAGTTCACCTCGATCACGATAAATGGACGATAACTACTCCACAAGCTGCTCACTTCCTTCCACATTAACTTTGTCTACTTCAGCCGTCGCTCCAGCCACTATAACTTTTGAACCGTCCTCCATCTCCTCACCTGTCTTTCCCTCTTCGTTACGGCCTGGATGGGGGTGGAGTCACATCTCTAACGTAGGACAGCATCTTAAAGGGAGACCATAGCCTATCTACACACATCCAACACCAACTTTTATTTATTTATTTATTTTTGACACCGAATATATTGACATGGGCAAAATGACATCTGTTATTATCATAAATGTCGGTATCTGTAAATTTTCGGTTTATGGCCCAGCCCTATTCTAAAGCATATTTCAAAAAAAGGTCGGTGTATATATACTGCAAATACAACATATCAGATGTTTAAATTATAAAAAGTCAGTGCATCTCTAATGAAAGGGAGTATGTTCACTCTCTCATTTAAGACATTCATGATGCTGCTGTTTTAGTGAAGAGAATGGAAATAATTTACAATCAGAAAAAATGAAAAACAAATGCCATGTCAACCACGTCAATGCACATAAAAGAAGGCACCATCAGTGCTGAAGCAAGGTATTCTTCCATCTAGACAATGCCTTTTTCAGGGAATGCCTTGCACACGGCTCCTTGTTGTTCACCTTGTTGTTTATTGTCGGTGTGTTCAATGTGTGTATGTGCAGTGTGCGTGGGTTGTGAGACTATATCTTTGTTAGGTCTAGTACTTTGTGTCATCAGTTGGCAGCTTTATCTGTGCAGCTCTTGGAGTCTAAGACATATTTCCCTAAGAGGACAATGAGGTGTATTGTATCGTATCTTATATATCAGGAGTAACATTCAAAACTGCATTCTGTACATATTACAACACCATGACTCTGTAGTAGAGGAGTCCTACTGCTAAACTGGCCTGCCTGCAGTCTTGACTTGTCACCCAACATTTGGCACATGGTGAAATGAAAAATGCACCGCGCACCATAGAAGCTGAGAATTAAGAACGAATGAGATAACATGCCACTTTCAAAGCTGCAGGATCTATCCTGCTGGGCTCCCAAATGTTAACAGAGAGTTGTTAGACAGAAAAGAAAGAAGAGGTGATGCAACACAGTGGTAAACAAGTCTCTGTCTCAACTCTTCAGGAACATGTCACCAGTATCAAATTCAACATGAGCACATGATTTCTCAAAATACAATAAAAAGTCTAGTTTTAAGATGTGATAGGTTGTCTTTGCACTATTTTTAAGACGTAGGGTTTAGACGATTTGCAAAACCATCATTTTCAGCTTATATCAACATTTACACATCCTCCCATGTGTTATGCAATTTGGTTTGTATGTGTGCAACGATTTTAAAGTGCCTACAACAAACAGACTTCTTTCAAAACATCCTTAAGCTGCTTTGAGTTACCGGTTGCAAAGTTGAGTATCATCCTGAATTCCTGCAAAAACCCAATAAGAATAACCAAAACTAGGAACTGCAACTCCAAGTTACGTCTCACATGTTTCAAGTTTAATTTTGTGACCAGATATCAAGTGTTTTAAAGACTTCAGAGTCGGTCTGATTTATGCTCTCAGTGGCATTTCTGAGCATTCCTCCAGGCCCCGGCTGCTCTCCCTTGACTCTCTGTAGTCGCCAGAGCTTTAACTCACTCCACATTTCTGGAGCAGCGCAGTGATATACAATGACAAGAGTGTTTGTGCGTGACAACAAATCCAGTCCCTTCATTACCCCTTATGTTTCCCTCAGTTTGTGGTGCTGCTCTCTTAAAAGATCCCTTCATTGCCTGTGCTGCAGGATTACTTAGCATTCTGTGTCTGCTTGCATGTGTAATCCATCCCACTGTCCTGGGTTGATATGTACGAGCTGTGCTTTCACTAACATGCAGTGCTCGTCGTGGTTATAGCCTAAAGGAAGTATCTGTTGCATGTTTTAAGAATAGACACGTCTTTAAAGTTTAAACCAAGGCGGCTGATCATCAGAGTCACGCCATCCAACAACAGCAACACACCTTTCCAAATTCATCTTCATTTCTTCTTTCTAGGTACTTCCAGCCATGATCGAGGACAAGGGTCACCGCGTGACCGACTACTTTGTGGTAGCCGGGCTGACGGACAAGTCCAAGCCCTTGGAGCAGGATCTGTCAGAGACCAAGTCCAGCGGGCCCAAAGCACCCATCACCGACTTGGCCGTCATTAACAGATCAGCAGGAGAGACCGTACCCGAGGGCTTCACCTGCATCGACAGCACCTACAGCGGCCAGCCAGCTAACCTCAATCATGGCAGTCTTAAGAGCCCAGAGCTATTTCTGTGTTACAAGAGGAATCGAGGGAAGCCTCCTCTCATTGATATCGGGTGAGTCAGCAGTTTGTTTATGCCACAGATTGTTATCTGGACTCTTTGTAGGCCTCCAGCATCAAGGGACTCATTACAAGTTTCCACTGTTAGGAATTCAAGATACCAAACTTTTTCAGTGGGGTAAACAAAAACAAAAGATATCATTGGGTCAGAGGGATTACAGCGAGGCATACTTCTGAATCTTGTCTCTGTTCTCCAACTTTATGTTTTATAAGAAAAAAAAACACATGAAAAAGAATCTCTCTGAAACTATTTCCAAGAAGTGAAAGGAAGTAGGTGTGCTTTGTGCTTCATTCATTCTCATCTGCTGCGTCACGGACTCCTCAGCCACACCTCTTGGCTCTCATCCACGGATCCGATTTCCTTGCTTCCTACTATTATCATGTAAGAGGTGATTCATTTAATGATGTCCTGTAGCTGCCTGAGAGCCAACCGAAGTTGGATGCAGCACATAACTCTTTCATCAGTGCGATATCACGGAGACAATGATGCAACAGCCTGAGGTATTTCCTCCTTCCACACCTTAGTCTTCATCTGAAACCTCTTTGTGTCCCCCCTCGAACAAACTGGACTTTCCAGTTCCAACAGACAACGTTAATGCTCACTCTTCTTTCAGTCATTGTAAAGTCTTTTTAAATATTGACTGCGGTTCACTTCAGCAATAAATTTCACATTACCACCATGATCCTTTCCTGCTAAGCGTAGCTCCACACTTGCAGAACCAAATGAACACCCTCATGAAGCCCGCTGGCGTCATCGCACCAAGCATAAACAGAATATCGTATGTCAAGTCATGTTTCCCTGAAGAGATTGAGCAATCCCTGCTTAGCATGCTAGCAGACATGTGAGGTGGGGGAGGGAGCTGCAAGCTTATATTTTCAGAATTCTGTCATTGAAAGATGATTTGTGTCCAAATGGGACAAATTAGGGCTTGGTGATAAAGCAAAAGTTTATCGATATTGAAATTTATGACAATAACAGACGTTGTTTTCCCCATGTCGGTGTATTCGGTGTCAAAAAAAATACATAAATAAAAGTTGGTTTTGGATGTGTGTAGGTAGGCTATGGTCTCATGTCTTTTTAAGACGCCGTCCTATGCCAGAGTCGTGACTCTTCCCCATCCTGTCCGTAACAAAGAGGGAAAGACAGATGAGGAGATGGAGGATGGTTCAAAAGTTGTAGCGACTGGAGCAGCGGCTGAAGTAGACGAAGTTAATGTGGGAGGGAGTAGCAGTTTGAGCTGCTCAGTATATGGTGGTATTGATTTGAGGCCATATCGCCCAGCCCTAGTATGAACGTACCAATGTCTGTGTCCTGGTTGAGTCACCACAAACAAGGTCAGACACTATCTTTTGCCAAGCGGTAGCCCTGTTGTCCCCTCCTTTGGATCAGGTCCATTTTCTACTATTGATTCATTACGCAACTAAATGAAATCTAGCGATATGTAAATGATTCATTCATGCTTCCGCCACCTCCACTGTCATCAGAGCCAGCATTCCCAGCCGGCAGCTCCACAGCGTCTCGACTCACTGTGCCCATTAGGACTCAGTCTTTGTTGCCTAAATGAGAATTTGCTGGCAGCTGTCCTCCTGGCCTCTTTAGATTCGTCCTGCACTCTTTTCAGAATAAAGTGTTTCAGGACTGTTGTATCTGCAGTGGCTGCCCTGTTGCTTGCACAAGATTAAAAAAATGCATGTAGGGTTAGTCTTAGCAATTACATCTTTTCACCCCCCACGTGGCACTGTTCATAAAGCATACTGCAGTCATACAAAAAAAATTCGGCACAGTGAGAAAGTGATCGCTCTCCTGTTACTTCTAACTGGAGTTGGATATGAGTTTTCTAAGTGTGCGAGTTTGCTTTACTGTCTGGGGTTTGAATGAGTCAGCTGGTAATTATGTCTGAATCACACCTCCCATTGATGACAGACTTCTCATAGAGGCTTCAAAGGCAAACCAGGGCTTAAAGAAGAAGGTCGGCCGTGTTGACCACGCACTTTTTGTAAAGCTGAGATTACCCTTCCCATCAAGCTGCAGCTCAATGTATCTTTCTCACCGTCTATCAAGAAAGCAATTTTCTCCAAAATCAGTCTGGATGTTGAGTGATAGGAGCTTTGGGAAACATGTCTGTCCTCAGCTTGTTGCTTCTGTTTTTTTCCCATGTATTCAAAACTGGATATCTTAATTTGTAGTGTGGGGAAAATGACTCTTTAACTATTGAAGGAGACAAACTGAGAAGTAATATAATACAATACAAAAACTTAATTTATTCCCAAATGGAATTAATTTGTCTGGAATCTCAGATAAACTCCAGATAAACAAAGTTATGATCTGACCTACTTAGTGGTGGTAAGGCAGTAGCTCTGTTAGCTTCTCTGACGTTAGCATACAGCAGATCCAGGGTTTTGTTTTCTCTAGAAGGACAGTTAAAAAACTATGAGGAGAGGGTGACATGATTGAATTCTCCTAGTATTATTGCAAGTGCCTCAGGATGTCGAGTCTGTATCCTAGCAACAGTATCATGGAGAATATCACACGGAACTTCAGCCGTTGCCTTGAGTGGAATGTATAGGAGTATTGTTATGATGTGACTGAACTCCCTTTCAACATAGAGTCATACTTTTTTTAAAGAAGAGAACAGTTTTCCAACATTTCATTGGCCCCAGTTGACTTGAGTGTAGTTGATAGAGAGCTTTAGCTAAAAATCTTATATTAACCTTCAGGCCTTTATCCAGTTAGTATAATGTACCCATAGTGAGCGATAAACCATTGCTTATTTACCTTGTGTAAGCTTTCTTTGTAATAGAGTTGGAGTTTGGCTGTGTGATTGGTGCAGTCATGATTTCATTGTGCAGCCCACCTCTTTACTCTGCCGGGTTGGACACTCAACGCTTAAGTGGAGAGTCAGTCAGTCAACAGCAAACACTCGTAACGCGCCACATAGTTTTCTCTGTCAAGCTCCTCATTTGATGTCCAACGTGAACGTCTTGTCTTTTTTTTACAGTTTGAGCTGTTGCTTCATCAGACTGAGAGTTATTTGTTTTTCTACAGTGATGAACGTTTTAGAAATGAAAGCCATGTCTGAGTCAAACTGAAACCAGGACAGCTCAGTCTGAGACACTTCAGAACCCATGAGTGATTTTTAGTTTGTTTGTCCCATCTTGGTTCCTCATGAACAACAACATACACCATGGTTTGATGCTCAAGTGCCCAGCTAACACTTCCATGTTTTCTCTGTTGTGCTTTAGGGTGCTGTATGAGGGGAAGGAGCGTCTGATCCAGGGCTGCGAGGTCATCCAGGCCACGCCGTACGGCCGCTGCGCCAACGTCAACAACAGCTCCGCCACCTCGCAGCGCATCTTCATCACTTTTCGCAGAGCGCCGCCCGTGCAGCCTCAGAACTCCCTGGCAGTGACGGACATCTGCGTCATTGTCACCAGCAAGGGCGAGACGCCTCCACATACCTTTTGTAAAGTGGACAAAAACCTCAACTGCGGCATGGCGAGTCTGATTGTGTTTCTTCTCTAACGGTCTCTCATTGTGAGTCTGCAGAACTCACGTTTGTAACATCAGTGTTTTAATCTTTTTAGTGGGGCTCCAATGTGTTCCTGTGTTACAAGAAATCAGTGTCTGCATCCAATTCTATCAGCTACAAAGCCGGTGAGTAAAAGTCTGAGTTTTATTATTATTATTTTTTTACAGTGAAAACAAAACAATTTTAATTTGGGATTTTACAATTGTGGGAAAAAAATGAAAATTAAATAAAAAGTGGAAAAAAAAACTCCCAACTGGAAAGAATGTAGAGTTATTGACCTTAAAATGTATTTGGTTTTGCTAAACTACCAAAAGGATGGAAAAAAAAGTCATGATAAAAAGAAAAGTCACAGTAATTTTAAAAAAACAATTGTAAATTTCCTTTTTATTTTTCCTCAATTTGCTAAAAAACTTTCTTTTTGTCTTACATAATAGCTTTTCTTGGGGGTAGTAAGAGGTTCCAGTTATTGCAACAGTGTCACTCTCGCCAAAACATAGATTATGTAATGCTGCCATTGGCGGTTTACTCATGTTTTTTTTTTTTTATGCACACGAGGGAGATTTACTTCCTCAACACCAATGCAGCCACTTTGTGGGTTGAAATAGTAGTTAGGCGGAGTAATCTGTGACTAGCAGAGACATTGATTTAACCCTGGTCTTCCACCTGTTCTGCTCTGGCACTTCCGAGCCGAACCGCTCAAGTCGAAGGGGACTGGATCCTTGTGTCAAAGAGGTTGTCATTTTTTCAGATCTTAAAGTGAATCGATCATGGCAGGTAACATTGCCTAGTTGTTGCCTCATTCAATCTCAGTAAATCTTATGAAAACACCTTTGAATTGTGACAAACTCTCCACAATAAAAGTCCCCTGTTGAAATATTTTTATTCTTCAATCGCCTGTCAGTAAATGTCTTGCTTCAGGAGACAAAGAGGACTGTAATGTTCATCAAATCTTGCATTTTAGAGTCTCAACCAGTTATCTGGCCTTTTAAAATGTCGCAGTCCTAACATAAAACATGCCGTGTGGTTTTAAAGGCTGCGTTCACAGTCTCTGTTCTGTGTTTATCTGAGAGCTCAGGCCAGCAGCACCCTCGGTATATCTAAGATCTTTGTAGGAGATAGTTATTTCATACTGCAGCCGACATTTTTGAACCGACGTGTGACATTTTCACTGCTTCCTTTACAGCTTGGCCTTTGGAGCTGTTCATTGTGCAACATGTATAATCCATGTTGATATGAATATGTGCACACACACACACACACCCTTTTCGACTCACATGCTGGCTTTATCTCTTTGTTCAGCCTTTTTCCCGAGAGACGGCTCTTTTTTCATCTCAGACAACTACACTTCCTGCCACGCCCATTACTTCTGCGTTTGCAGGCTGGTGTTTGTGCGTATAAGAATGTGTGTATTTTGTCTGAAAGGTACCTGCCAAACAACAGGTTACAGTGAGGAGCATAACAGTCATTTCCTGACTGATCATTTCTGAAAAACCTGATCTCTTTTCTTGGAGGCTCTTTGAAAAGTTTGTAGCTTCTCAGAAATCTGCGTTGGCATGCCTCGTCCAGCACATATATTTTGCTTGACACTTCTGCATTGCAACTTCAAGACATTTTTATCTGCATGACTTATTTCTCCTTTTGTTCCCCAGGTCTTATCTTTCGTTACCCAGAAGAGGATTACGAGTCTTTCCCCCTGTCAGAATCTGTGCCTCTGTTTTGTTTGCCCATGGGTGCCAAGATCGAGTGCTGGGCACCAAACACGCGCGATCCTCTGCCTGTGTTCTCCACGTTCGTCTTGACCATCTCTTCTGGTGAAAAGGCGAGATTAAATTTATGCTCATTTGAATTCTGCCACCTGCAACAGGTTTTAAAAACTGTCCATTTTTGGAAAACAACACAAGCATCTAGAGCAGTGGTTCTCAAGTCCAGGCCTCGAGGTCCACTGTCCAACACACCTGATTCAAATGATCAGCTCGTTATCAAGCTCTGTAATGGCTAACGAGCTGATCATTTGAATCAGGTGTGTTGGAGCAGGGAAACATCCAAAACATGCAGGACAGTGGGCCTTGAGGACAGGACTTGAGAACCACTGATCTAGAGGACAAGATAAGCAAAGACTGCTTTGTCCACAGGGGGCGCCAAAATCAGTACATTCTAAATTTACTCACAGGAGTTTTAAGTTTGTGAGGACATTTCTCCAGAGAAGAAAAATGACATCAACTTTTACTTGAACATATACTTCTTATTTCTTTTGCAATCTCTTGCCAGTATGGATGGATTAAATAACAGTCCCCAAATATACATATTAGAGTGATCTTGCATCAATTTAAAACATTTCCCCTTGTATCCATCATGTCCCACTGAACCCTGCTGTGAAATAAATGACCCTAAAAGCCAAACCAAAAATGAGTAAACAAAATCACACGTCTCAGAGTAAGTAATAAATGAGTCCCAGCTAGGACTTCCTTTTTCATGTGCTGCTTTATTCAATTAGAAACCATAATTTCAGATTAAAAGGGAAGTGAAAGCCACTTCTTTTGACATGTCAGTAGAGATATACAGATACTAAGATAAACAGGGTCATTACTTAGTTCATCACAATCTGTAATTACAGATTACAAAACCACCAAAGTAATCCGTCCATCTCTGGTGTAGGTGTATGGATCAGCCATCCAGTTCTACGAGCCGTATCAGGTGGATCTGCTGAGTGAGAAGCAGAAGATCCAGCTGGGTCTTCTCACCACAGTGGAGAAGAAAATGATCCCAAACCGAGCCGTGAACACCAACAAGTGCATCTGCCTGCTCTCCCGCTGGCCCTTCTTTGAGTCCTTCCGCAAGTTCCTCATGTTTTTATACAAGCTGTCTGTCTCAGGCCCACACCCTCTGCCCATTGAAAAGTAAGAATCAGTTTATTTAATATTTACAAAGCTCACATTTTAAATAGGTTGAATAAAATTTTTTAATTCATACTTTTCTCTCAACAGGCACATCTCACACTTCATGCACAATGTGTCCTTTCCTTCCCCTCAGAGGCCAAGAATATTAGTCCAGGTGACATATTTTATATCTTCTGTAACTGTTTGGACGCATCTACCTTCATTTTTAAATCATCTCTGTATTTGATTGTTTTTTAAATTTTTCTCTTTGTAGCTCTCAGCACATGACACCTTAAACCTCTCCCAGCCTGTGTGTACACCCCTACCCCTCAGGTACAACTTTACAATACTTTTAAATTGTGAAATGTTTAAGGTGGGGAAAAAGTATAAACTGGATAAAGCTGTATGACACTGCTTCTGAATAATAGCTAAGCACTTAAACTCCAAAATCTCTAAAATAGTTACATGCCTCATAATTTTGGCTTTTTCCACTGATTCATCGCTTCAGTCTGCAGCGTTTGCTCTGGTTTAAGCAGTTCAAGCATCAGCTTGTTGTCCTCTTTGTTACTGCTGACAGCTGCTTTGTGTTTACTTGAAAACACACGAAAACAGTGACATCGGGCCTTTGTTTAAACTGAAACAAAACTGCTTGTCCGTATTCAGTTTGCGCTCAGTTGACTTTGTGAATTAAAAAGCTTTGACAAAATTTTAAAACACCACATTAGGACAAAAGGATTTTAATTTGAGTCAGTTTAAAAAAATCCCTCGAAACGATCCTTTTGTATTCTGTCAATGTCACAGACGGTTTCCAAAGTAAGCTCAAGAGAGAGCATTTAGATTTTATGATGATTCATGTTTGGATATTTTTGGACATGTCTAAGTTTGTATTAAAAATGTAGTTTATAAAAATAAACATAGTTTATTTCTATTATTTATCACCATTTTCCCTCCCAGGCTCTTCATTATCTGTCATTGTTAGGAATACTCCTCATCCCCTTGTTCCTCCTTACATAACTCTTTTTGTTTATCTCATTAGTTCTGTTTTTTTCCACGCTGCTAATGCCTCCTCTCCTTTGATTCTTTCTCTGCCTGAACTCATCAACATCTCTCTCTCTCTTTCTCTCTCCCTCTCCCTGCCAGCGGGGCGGACTACGGCACTCTGCTGATGAATCTGGGCTCTGAGAACTGTGCCACACTGCTGCACTTTGTCCTGCTGGAGAGCAAGATCCTGCTGCACTCGCTCCGGCCTGCTGTGCTCACAGGAGTGGCCGAGGCTGTTGTGGCCGTGAGTATCTTGACTAGCTTTAATGCTGCAGTGTGGCGCATAATCAAAAGACACCAAACTCAGCTGATATCCTGAACTAGGGCTGGGCGATAAATTGAAAATTTACCGATACTGAAATTTACGACAATAACAGATGTCATTTTGCCCATATGGGTATATTCGGTGTCCAATAAATAGACAAAAGTTGGTTTTGGATGTGTGTAGGTAGGCTATCGTTTCATGTCCCTTTAAGACGCTGTGAGGGGAGGAGATGGAGGATGGTTCAGAAGTTGGAGCGGCTGAAGTAGACAAAGTTAATGTGGGAGGGGGTGAGCAGCTTGTGGAGTAGTTAGCATCCATTTATCATTATTGAAGTAAACTGCTCTATATATTGTGATATTGATTGAAGGCTGTATTGTCCAGCCCTATCTTGAGCTTCTTTAAAGTGGGTCCAACAAAATCAAAGTTTTATGTATTCATCGTTACATCATTCTTGTTGGAATTACCTAGTTTTGTGTGTGTTGGGGGATATATCTCATTCACACACTCATACAATAAAGGCCAAATTATGAGATGTCCAGAAACAGCCTCTCTTATAGTCAGTGCCAAGGCAAGTCATCCATATCCAATTTAGTTAATAGTGTAGACAATACACCACCCCGCCTCCCTCCAGCACTGACTTTGAAGCAATCCAACGCTGCATTACCTCAGCAAGCATGCATAATATAATAGGCACACTTAATATGATATATTTGTTGTTCCTTTAAATGAACAGTTTTGATTTATTTGAATAGATGTCCTTGAAGCTTCCAGAAAGCATATAAACATGGGAGGAAAATCTGCTGTGCTTCAATCGTAACCTTTTCTTTTTGCGTAACTTTCATAAAGTTTGTAACAAACATGTTTCAGATGTTCGGCAGTAATGCGATCAGTCCAACATGCATTTCGTTTAGTGAAATTTTCACACAGTATGTTCAGAAATCGCTCGATAAACTCATAAGTTAAAAGTAAAAGTGCTGAATATGGTTATTTCACCTTTACATTGATCCTCAAACTGCATGACCATGAATACCAGTAATGTCCTGTTCCTCAGTAATCTACAAAATGCATGAGAAGAAGTGTCAGAATAAATCAGTTATGATTGCATCTTAAGTAAGAACATGTCAGTCTAGGGTCTGGTTCTGATCCTCACCAGATGTTGTGTGAAACAGATTCGTCTCAGCGTTCTTGAATCGATTCTCCCGTCTCTCCTCTCCTTTAGATGATCTTCCCCTTCCAGTGGCAGTGTCCCTACATCCCTCTGTGCCCGCTGTCTTTAGCACAAGTCCTCAACGCTCCTTGTCCCTTCATAGTGGGTGTGGACTCCCGCTACTTCGACCTTTACGACCCCCCAGCAGATGTAGTCTGTGTGGATCTGGACACCAACACTATCTACCTGTATGCTCCATTGCTATGATATCAGACAAATCTCTGTTGCAACACTTTTGTGTAGCTCTCTTGTCATCTTAAGCTAACGGCTCTTGTGTTATTGTGTGTTTCAGGTCTGATGAAAAGAGGCACAGCAACTGGAAGAATCTCCCAAAGAAGCCCTGCAAGAGTCTCGTTAACTCACTGAGCAACTTGCACCACCAGCTGGCCACCGGTACTAATAACATCTTAGTTCAGATTCTTGTTGCGTCCTCAAGAGATGGAAGGACTTTACAAAAAAAATGGAGAAAGTATAAAAAGGAATAAGTTCAATTCACTTTATTTTAAACACAAACTTAGAAGTTAAAAAGAATCACATATCTCAAACTCTGTGAACTTTGAAAGCTTTGCAGAGTTTTGTCGTGAATTAGATCGTACTGTAAGAAACCTAAACTCACAAAAGATACTCAAAGTTAACCTATCAGTCAAAAGTGATACTCAATAAAACATCAATATGTTTTCAAAACAAATATATTAAATTAAAGGTTGAGGGACATGATAATTAAAAATAATGTCAGTGTTTTTTTGGGGAAAAAAAACAAAAACAAAGTGCTGAATAAAAACACAAAGCGGAAGATAAGAGTCTGGTAACTTCACCTTCATGCCAAAGCCCTGCAGATAAAGCAACAGTAAGGGATTTTAAGCTTTGGTGAAACACTAAATTAATATCGATGTTTCTTTATGACTTCCAAAAGCAAACCAGATCAAGAATAAGAGATAATAAGAGAAGAGTTACAGTGTGAATTTTCTTTCTTATAACCCTGTAATTGGGCAGGAGTCAAATCACGAGATGCTTTTGGAACAACATTTTTTTTCCAACCTTTTTTTATTTAGTTTTGCAGATGAGTATAATTGTATTAAAACATTTAAAAAGAGTAAATTAGTCATTTTTTTGTAGAAGAAACAAACAACAGAAAACAAAAGTGGTCATTGAAGTGTATCACTGCGTACCCAAACAACTCACAAAACTAGAACAGCCATAAAATAAATTGATAATTTAACAAAAAGGTAGGATCAGGACAGAAACAGACATTTCAAAAAGAAAATAGACCAGGAAAAAGAAAAAAAGACACACAAGTACATCAGTCAGGTAGCAGTAAACTGCAATTGAGACATCCTAAATTAGAGCAGCGGCATGTTACGCTCAACGGGACATTAAAATAACATATCTGCCTCTCAAGGTTGCTTTCGTCACGAGGAATAACCTTTTTATTTTTTTTTTTACATTCCTACAGCTGAGTCTCCCTGTATATGATACATAATAAAGTTACAGAAAAAAAAAGGTTCTGCTTGTATTAGGAAATAAAAAAAGGACATGCATGCGACATTATTGGCGAGAAAAATGATGCACACCCCTTCAAAAGAGGTTGCCAAAACTGTCAATGACTAGAGTTCCTTTAAAAGCAAAGCACATTTTAAGTCAAGTCATATTGCCAAAAAAATGTTAATAAAAGCTTTATAATTTTGCTCAGACTGCAGTAAGAAGGTAAAAAATTTTAGCAGATGCAAGAAATGAAGAGAACAGTGTAGCTTGTATTAGCTAGCTCAGATTTAGCTAGTGAGCTGCCTAATTGAAACTTTTGCCATTAAATTAAACCAACAAGATCTTGGTCTTAAATGTCACTGCATGTTTTTGTTTTTAGTTTCAGTTCGCCAAACCGCTCAAGAAAGCTCAGCGGTGGACATGACGCCCATTGAGGCCGACTTCACGTGGCACAAGAAGAAGACGGCCTTAGAGATGGAAATCCAGGAGTCTTTCCTGCGGTTTATGGCCTCCATCTTGAAGGGCTACCGCTCCTACCTCAAACCCATCACACAGGCGCCCTCTGAGAAGGCCACAGCTGCAGACTCCCTTTACGATTTACAAGGTAAATAAGCGATTGGCAGGCCACTTTTACGATGTGCATTATTTACAGCCTTACTCTCGATAACAATGCTGAGTGTTTGATTTTATTGGCATTCCTATTTCAAGAAACACCGCAGCTATCACTCAGCCTGAGTGGTTTTAGAAATCAATTATCTTTCTCATCAGCTAAAACAAGACCTCTCTCATTTCTGTTGCTAGGAAATGAGCTCTCATCTCCATTGAGCGTTAGTCTCTAACAGCCAACATGGATTAAGACAAAAAAATAAATATTGATTGATACCTCATAGGCCTGGACGATATAGAAAAAAAGCATATCGATAAAAAATAAATCATATTGATCGATATCGATAATTATCGATATAATTATTATAATTATTTAACATATATTTTAATTGCAGCCCTGGATGTTTTATGCTATTGCTTAATGACCTACTTTTAATAAAGAACACACAAGCACTGAATTCAAATTCAAACCTTTATTCAACCACCTTTTTTATTTTACCACAACTGAAAGTTTTTTAAAAAAGAACTAAAAAAAAAAAGAAATCAACTTAAGTGGCCTGAGTGACGTCAGTAAATACTGACAAACATAAAGACTAAAGTGACCAGAAAATCTGATAAATAAATATTTAAATAGTCTTTTGATGAAAATAAACAAAACAAACAAATATATAAATAAACAGAATAGCTTTAGGTGGGAATAGCATACTACCAGTTTTAACTGTGTGGGAAACTGCCCACAGCCTGGTGTCTGAACACTGAAATATTTCTCCCGGGGTCGGGAGATTTATTTTTTTTTTAATTATCATTTGATTGACTTAATACACAAACTAAGCACGAGAAGCAGGACTTATCCACGCCGGTGTGTCGTAGAATGCACCCCTGCCGAATGCACCCCCTGCTAGTAGCCATGATCCAAATACTCGCGTCTTTGTAAAATATGAGCTCATTTGAACGTATTTCCTCCGCACCCTTCTCACCTTTTCAACCCCTGACCCATTTTCATGCCTGAAGCGCTGTGTTTGAGAAATACTTGCGGCCGGGCACTTCATATCGCGGGTCGAGAGTGGCTAGAAGCTGTTTGAAGCCAGGCTTTTCAGCGGTAGTTATTGGCAGTATGTCCCTCGCTATGGAGCATGTTACTGCATGGGTGATGTCCTTATGCTGCTTGGACGCTTTGTCGTATTTTTGGCAAGAAACGAAGTCCAGTTTGGTCTGCTTCACATGCTTTGTGCTGGTGCTGGCAGCGGTTCCAGAGGATTCCTCCTCCGACGACGACGTGGAGCCGCGGCGCGGCCGGCACAGCTCGTACTCCTGCAGGTGCGACCGGTTTAGATGGTAAAACAAGTTGGTTGTGTTACCAGACTTGGTTTTTACTAATTCTCTGCAAATTTTGCAAACGACCGCTGTTCGCTTTTTGTCAGACTTGTAAAAACCAAAACATTGCCATGCTGGTGAACTACTGAAACCTTTTTTCGGGATAATGTCCTCCGCTTCTCCTTGCTGTATCATTTTTTCTAACACACGTGCTGTCTGTTGTGGTTTGATAGGGGCTGGGCTTGGTGCCGTAGCCTACCTGGGTCTGCGTTTGTGATTGGTTTGGAGGAAGTAATGACTGTAGTAAAAGCTACATGATAGGCTATGATGAAAAAGAAAGGGAAACTGTGTTTTTCTATCGAACTTTTTATCGACCCGTTTTTTTTCTATCGCACCACACGTCTATCGATCGATATATATTGTTATCGAATTATCGTCCAGCACTAATACCTCATTTAATTCTCCACGAAACCAGCTCGAAATCACTAGAAATGTGAATTGTCTCTTTGATTTTAGAGTATTTTCCTCCTTTTTCTCGCAGGGTTTCTCAAAAGCAGAGACCGTGCACACCAGAAGTTCTACTCCCAGCTCACCAAGACTCAGATATTCATCCGCTTCATTGAGGAGTGCACCTTCGTCAGCGACAAGGACACCGGCCTGGCCTTTTTCGACGACTGCGTGGAGAAGGTGATTACACACTTGGCGTCAGGCTGGTCTCAAATGCGTACACGCCACACACTGGTGTCGCGGTTTTTCCACTTCCACCTGAGGATTCCTTCCATGAACGGGCCTTTGTTTAATGTTGTTTCATTGGCAAAATAACGCTTGCCTGCTGGGGAAGTAAGGAAGCTGACATTTCCTCTGATTCATTCTCTTCCCTTTGCTCTATTTCCTCCTCTCGCAGCTTTTTCCCTCTGATAAAATCACGGACAAGGGCACCAAGGTAATCACTTACACTGAAATCTGATTTCCCCGCACCTTGTTTTTCATGTTCGTCACTAACATTAAACGAGAATAAACTAACTTTTCCCCTTTTTTTGTGATGAATGATTTCATTGATTTCCATTTCCTGCTTTTCTTCCACCTGCGATCAAATGTGTATGTTTACTTATTGCTGTATGTGTGTAGTTGTTTGTGCAGAGAGAGCTTTTAATAAAACCCGGATTACTGTAACCAGTATCACTAAAACCTGAATGAAATCCTCACTGTAGGTTGAAGGGGAGTCATCTGAGGACACGAGGCTTTTAGAGCTGGACGAGTCCCAGAAGAGCGAGCACACTGTCTTTGTTATGCCCCCTGAACCTCCAGCTGACGATGGGTCTGAGCCTGCCCCCAAATACACGTAAGTCCTCTCAGCTCTAAATGATTAAAACTTGTGGAATAGGTGTGGGAAAGCAGACAACACTAATCCGTTTTCCCATCCTTCAGATATAAAAGTTTCCCAAGGCTGCACATGGGGCTGTTTGACCGTCCCAAAGAGCTACGACCGGCCATTAGCAGCAGAACAGCAGGGGCAAGTCTGTCCAGCAGCCCCGCACTGCTAGCAAAGAGGACAAAGCAGGTGTGTACATGCTCACACACACTGTCACTCTCGCACCAGGGTTCTAACACAAGTATGGGAAGTCTGGAAATAAATTTGATCAATTTCCAGGTCTTAAAAAGAAAAAGAAAAGACGGAAAATAAAAAATAAAGTATGGGAAAATATTTATTTTTCCACACTATTACCACAGTTCTAAAATGCTGTTTTCTAAAATAGAAAAGTAGGTATTTCCAAAAATGATTCAAAAAAGTAGCGTATGGAAAATTGTGGAAATTCCACCTGTGTAGGAACCCTTACATGCTAAAATCGGATCTTACCCTCTCTGTTGTTCTTACAGGAGATAAAGCTAGCATACAAGATGGCGAAGCGGTTCTACTCCAACCCTCCCCTTTGGGCCCGGTGTTTGTTCAGCCACTGCTACAGCCTGTGGTTCATCTGCCTGCCTGCAGCCGTGCGGCTGTCAAAGTCGAAAAGCCGCGCCATGCAGCAGGCGTACAACATCCTGCTGAGGATGAGAACCAATGAGGTGGAGGTGCTGGATGAGGTATGTGCACAAGATCAATCCATGTATCATTTGTTCATTTAATTTTCAAAATAGAACCAAAATTGAAAAACGAGAAAATCAATTTGTCTTCTGAATATTTATCACAAAAATGAAAATGAAAAAACTGAGCTCTGAGTTATTCACGATCTCGCCATAACGCCAAAGCCCGTTTCTTGTTCTCTCTATATCTGAGTAAGGGTCACTTCAGGGTGACGAAACTTTCTACAGACGAAAAAGTTTAATCATATAAATCTGTAGTTATCCATTTATCCCATTTTCATTTGAGCTGAAGAAAGGGAATTGGGAAAATGAGCGTTTTTTTTTTTTTTTTTCCAATTTCATTTTAGAGACGAATATTTGAATTTTTTTCCCTTTTTTCTCATTTTGGGTTTTATTTTGAAAGTCAAATGAACGAATGATACACAGATTAAGACCCTTGTCATGATTTGACTACTTCTCCACCTCCTGATTTTATATAGCAGCGATTCATAGTTTCATCTCTGTGGCTTTCAGGTGTGTTACAGAGTGGTGATGCAGCTCTGTGGGGTGTGGGGTCTTCCTGTCATGGCTGTGAGAGTCCTGGTTGAGATGAAGAAAGCTGGAGTGCACCCTAATGCCATCACATACGGATACTACAACAAGGTCTGTACAGATTTTTCCGTCCCTAGCGCATATCTGTAGACGTTTATGGTCCATAAACATCTCCAGCTATAATTCAAAGACTGAAGTCTTTACACATCTTTAGCATGTCCTCATCCTGAAGTCTGTTTCCTCTGCAGGCTGTCTTGGAAAGCCCGTGGCCGAGCAGAAACAGAAGCGGCCTCTTCATGTGGACCAAGCTTCGTAATGTGCTCCGTGGAGTGGCCCAGTTCAAGCAAGCTGTCGACCGAACACCTTCTGAGACGGGAGCCACACTAACCACCACAGGTGGGTAGAGAATAAACAACATGGTTTATATTTGCTCTTGTTCTGTTTCCCTGGTTTTAAAGAATATGTTTCTTGACTTCAGCTGCAGCAAAAGAAGAGTCAGCAGTCACTGACGTCGACCGTTTGAGTCATGGAAGTGCTGACAGCTCAAGTGAGGTTAATGGGGAGGAGCACAACCTGTTTGTCCACAGCCACAGCCTGGAAGACACGACAGACAACCACTGTAGCACAGGTACTCTTCCTCTAAAGTACCCTTTTTTTTTCACAATTTAAAAGAATACAACATAAAATATGATAGGTAATAATGCAGGGAGAGGCAAAAAGCCATGATGAACTTATTTAAAGCCTCCACCTTATAATAGCCTAATATTAATGTTATAATTAAATGTACAAAAGCACAAGATAACACGAAAAAAATGAATAAAAATAAAAGTAACTGACAACAATAATATAGAAAGAAAAAAAAACTTCATGTGCAGGGTGAAACTTCTACATACAAACACTTAGACACACTAAACTTTCCTCCTCATTCCTTCAAGGATGGAGGAAAGGAGGGAAGGGTGACCTCACTGTCATCCTTGTCTCCTTCATCATCTCTGTGGCACTGTCCAAGGTGCATAAATGTGTCCACAATTGTGCCATTGCAGATGGCACATTAAGTTGTTTGAAACCAACAGAATCTTGGTGTAAAATTTGTCCATCTGTCTTGTCTGAATATTTTCCCACCAACATATGCTTGAGCATTGAGTGTAATTGGATTATGAATAAAAGAAAGCTTGAAGAAAACCCTGCTTATTAAAGGAAAACTATACAAATTGTGTCCACTTATAATCATCATCAAAATTTAGAAGTAATGGTTTGTTTGTTTTTTCTTTTTGGCTTCACAGGGAGGCAGTCTGATCAAGGCTACGGCTCTAAAGATGAGCTCCACCAGGAGCTGGCAGAACCTTCAAATTCTGCTCTTCTCTCTGCTGAGGAGAGGAACAATCCCAAAGCACAACATAACGGTAAGAAAAGCAAACTATTCACTGTGCTGCTTCTGGTCCTGCTTTCCAAGGTTGACTGTCCGTCTTGTATGTCAATGTTTGATCTGGACACTTTGTACTTTTATGACCAGGGGGGGACATTGCCGGTTCTGTGGACAGTGCTGTAGCTGTGGCAGAGCCCTCCAGTCCTGTTGAGGTGTCTTCACCTGTTCCCAGTATTGTAAAGCTGTCCACAGGGAGTTTCGACAGCGGCAGAGAAACAGGTAAGGAGGACGACCAGACAGACATCTAGACTAAAAACTAGGGCTGGGTGATATGGCCTCAAATCAATATCATGATATATTGAGCAGTTCACCTCGAAAACGATAAATTGATGATAACTACTCCACATCCAACCTACCTACACACATCCAAAAACAACTTTTATTTATTTAATTTTTTTGACATCAAATATAACGATATGGGCAAAATGACGTTGGTTATTGTCGTACATTTCGGTATCAGTAAATTTTCGGTTTATCGCCCAGCCCTATTTAAAACAAAAATAGCTCTTGATATTTTTTCCTACGTTCTGTAGGTGCAGGGAAGCTGTTCAGGAGGAAAAGCAAAACTGATAGTGTGTCTCTCACCGATGATGACGCCCCGCTAGCATCAGGGGATGCAGCGAACCAGCCTCAGCAGCAGAGGCAGAAGTCTTTCGCCGAGCGCAGCTGTAGCTTCAGCGCTGAGAGCCGCGCTGGGATGCTCCTAGAGAAAGGCGTGGATCACATGGCCAGTCAGATGGGCGCTGATGCCCGTATCCTGGCTGCTGTGCTAAGTGGCAGCCAAAGTCCACCTCCTAATAGTGTGTCCAAGGCTCTGTTCAAAGATCTGGAAGAAGAGCCTGAAGAGGATCAAGGTTTGATACTTGGGAAGCTTAATGAGGAGGATCAGGGGACTGAAACCAGTGAGGAATCAAAAGGAGGTGATCCAGAGGCAGAGCGGACTGAGGTGAAAGAGGAGAAGCGACAGAGGAAACCCACTGAGACGAATGAGGATGACTCTGTTCTGCGAGGAGCGGCTCTAGAGAGAGAGGATGTGGAGGCTGGTGCTGACCCGCTTTCCCTGCTCGTAACTGAAAGCGAAGAGTCCGCCTCGGTCACCAGCCAGGACCCTCAGCGCTCCGTGCCCGCTGTGGTGTCTCGCAACCTGGCGGAGGAGATCGAAATGTACATGAGCCTGAGGAGCCCTCTCGGTGTGAAGTCCTCCAGCATGGAGCTCCAGCAGGCTCAAGGTGACACGAGTGACGCCCTACAGCCTAAACCACCTCTAGAGCGCAGATCCAGCCTCCCAGTGCCTCCTGTCAAAACCCCTTCTGGCTCCCCGGGGGATACACCCAAACGCAGCCCCAACACTGTGACTCGCTCCAAGACTTTTGCAGTAAAGACGAGAAACCCCTCAAGCGCTGCAGGAAGCCCAAGATCAGCCTCTCTGACAGCTCTGGTGAAATCCTCTCAGGGAGGGTCTTTGGGTTCTGTCATCAACTCTATTTCAGGCATCAAGATGGACACCCTGTTGTCAGGACCTAAGATTGATGTGCTTAAATCCAGCATGAAACAGGCAGCAAACGTAGCCAGCAAAATGTGGGGAGCTGTCGCTTCAGCTTATTCCTACTCAGACGAAGAGGTCAGTGTTAATAAAACACAACTCCTCCTCTTCTGTATTCTGTAACGATTTCTTTGCTTGAATTTTATGTTTTTCTATGTTTGACAGGATGAGAATAATCAGGGGGGAGGCGGCTTCCCAGCTCGCCTGGATGAAAACATGCTGGCTGAACATGAAGTCGATGACAGTCCTGAGAGAGGAGCTATCCCAGGGCTGGTGGCGAACGGCCTGAACCAGAGCTGCACCAGCTTGGGGAGCAGCAGTGGCAGCAGCGACACAGGCAGAGGGACCCACCAGACACGTAAGCAGTCACTCTTTCTTTTTTTTATTCTATGCAAAGGGTCTATTTAGGCGTATTTTTAACTTTGTTTTTGTCTCTCTCTCCTGGCAGATCCAACTCCAGGACGGGCAGGCAGAGGTCCAGACTCTGAGCAGGGCTCCTCACATCATGCCTCCTCTTCTAGTATTTTCCAGAACTGTGCACTCGAGGTCAGATGTACCACATACACATCTTGGCTGCTGCTTTGCGTGTACCGCCAAAGTGGGCATGTTTTGACCGTGGGTGTATTTTTCTTGCCGCCAGGTTCTGATGTCCAGTTGCTCTCAGTGCCGCTCTTGTGAAGCTCTGGTGTACGATGAGGAGATCATGGCTGGCTGGACCGCTGATGACTCCAACCTGAATACCAACTGTCCTTTCTGCCGCACAGCTTTTCTGCCCTTACTGCATGTGGAGTTTCATGACTTGCGCTCAGTGACAGGGTAGGACTCTTTTGATGGTATCCAAACTACCAAAGTATACTAGTGAAGTGAATTATATAAATGAAAGAGATTTTCCTCTTGAAGGTTCTACATGAATCCCAGTGCTTCAGGAGACAGTATTCACAGCACCAGTGCCCAGCCCACAGCCAGCAGTTCAGCTGACATCAAGACACCAGACCTGATCAGTTTCCCTGAAGAGGAACCAAAGGAGACTGAGGATAGTCGACCAGGAGCACATAAGAGGTACTGACCTTAGAAACTTCTCCTTCGTCTTCTTATTCTTCTTTGTCGTCTTCCTCTTCATCTACCTCTTTGTCTTCTCTCCCTCCTCCTCCTCCTCTTCTTCCTTTTCTTCCTTCTCTTCTACTTCTTCCTCTTCCTCCTATTTTTCTTCATCTTTTTCTTCCTCTTCCTTCTCTTCTTCTTTATCCTCCTTCTCGTCCTCTTTTTTTCCTCTTCATCTTTTTCTTCTTCTCATTCTTCTTTTTCTTCTTCTTGTCTTCTTTTTCTACGTCTTCCTCTTCCTCCTCCTCCTCCTCCTCCTCCTCCTCTCTTTCTTTCTCTTCTTCTTTATCCTTCTTCTCTTCCTCTTCTTCTTCTTGTTCTTCTTCTTCCTCCTCCTCTCCTTCTTCCTCTTCTCTCATCTTCCTCTTCTTCTTCCTCCTCCTCCTTCTCATCTTTTTCCTCTTCTTCCTCCTCCTTATTTTCTTCCTCTTCCTCTTCCTCCTCTATCTCTTCTTCCTTTTCTTCTTCATACTCTTCCCCTCCTCTTCTTTTTGTCTTCCTCCTCTTCTTAATTTTCCTTATCCGCCTTTTTCTTCCTCCTCTTCTTCTTTTTCTTTGTTTTCTCTCCCTCCTCCTCCTTCCTCTTCTTTTTCTTCTTTGTCTTCCTCCACCTCCTCCTCTTCCTCTTCTTCCTCCTCCTTCTTGGTTTTCTCTTTCTTTGCATTTTCTTCTTCATCTTCTTCATCTCTTTTTTCCTCTTCCTCTTCTTCTTCTATCTCTTCTTCTTCTTTTTCTTCTTCTTGTTCTTCTTCTTCCTCCTCCCTTTTCGTTTTCCCTTTTTTTTTGCTTCTTATTATTTGTCTCTTGCTTCTTTGATTATCTTGTGTTCTTCTTCTTGAGCACACATAGTTTCAGTTGAAGCTGTAAAGTCTGAGTTCAAGATTTTTAAGTCTCTTCTTCTTCGTCTGTTGTGTTTCTAGTTTGATTCCAGAGCCGGTGCAGTCCGACCCTCTGGGTCTCCTGGAGCATCAGGCTGCAGGGAAGCAGCAGAAATGCAGCGGGACATCACTGACTCGCAGCAACAGTGTTGGTGGACCTCTACAGGGTCTGGACTATTCCCAGAGACCTGGACACGGTGTGTCAACCACCAGTCTGCCCTGCAGTCTGCAAGAGGTGTCGGTTAGTGCCCTTTACAGTCCAACACTTAACACCAAAACAAAACAAAGTGAAAATTCCACACAGGAGCTTTGATATAATAAATGTTTGTGTTGTTTTCTCAGGATGGCATGGGGACTAAAAGGCCAAACCCTAAGCCTGTATCTGTACCATACCTCAGCCCTTTGGTGCTGCGCAAAGAGCTGGAGACCCTGTTGGAGAATGAGGGAGATCAGGTGAAGTATTCTCATACACGCACAATGTCTTTCACTCAGCTCTTATATATTTAACAACATCCTGAAGGGGTTTTCTACCTCTGAAGTCCAGCATTTTCTTCCTCTCTTCCACCAGGTGATCTACACTCACAAGTTCCTCAGTCAGCACCCCATCATCTTCTGGAACCTGGTGTGGTATTTCCGTCGCCTGGACCTGCCCAGTCACCTGCCTGGTCTTATCCTCACATCCGAACACTGCAACAAAGGAGTACAGGTAAGCTACTTAAAATGCCATTTATTGCCACTTCCGCTGTCACTTTGTGTTCATTACCATCACCACTCCCTGTTTGTCTTTGCAGCTGCCTTTGACGTCACTCTCCCAGGACAGCAAGCAGGTTTATGTTCAGCTGCTGTGGGACAATATCAACCTGCACCAGGAGCAGGGAGAGCCTCTGTACCTGCTCTGGAGAACATTCAGTGAGTATAGTAATAGTTTTTTTTCTTGTTTATTAGCCTCTTTTAGATCAATACAAGAAAACTGGCTGAAAACCTGAACACATTCTGCCACTAGAGGGAGACAAAGTCAACAAATTTTAGACTTAAGATTCTTTGAAATTCTGACTCTTTGAAAATTCTCAATTGTATTTTCGGTCGCATATTGAACAATATCAGATTTTTTTTCGGAACTTGGGCTAGACTACTGTTTTATCGTACTGAGTCAAATTGATGTCAGACAAATCCAGCAGCTACTTTGAGCCTTTTTGTTTGAAACATCACCGAACTTGTTGTTTTTCTAGTGGAGAAGAGAGGGACGTTGGCTCCAACAGACCACCAGGAGATCCGTACTCTCCTCAACACCATAGTTCGCAACATCCAGACCAATGACGTTTATGGTCCGATTAACCTGCTGATCCGGGAGATTAAACGTCGCCCAGAGGGTGTGAAACGGCAAAGGTGAGCCTGCGTCTTCGCGATTTATCAAGCCCCTAGAAAGCACTTTTTACTTCTTTCAATGACCTTTCTGTTCCATGTATCACTTCCAGGAGTATCTATAGAGAAATATTGTTCCTCTCACTGGTTGCCTTGGGAAGGGAGAACATTGACGTTGGTAGGTAGTTGTTTTAAATAGGATTTAAACTGCCACAACACATCATGAGTCTAAATCCAAAGTCTGAATGTTGAGAAATAAATTAAATGTTCCTAAGTTGTGCTATTTTCATGACCCCTGCAGAGGCCTTCGACAGGGAGTACCGCCTGGCTTACGATGAACTGAGCGCTGAGCAGCTCAAGTCTTTGCACCGCATCGATCGACCGCCCAGCCCCAGTATCCAGTGGTGCCTGAAATGCTTTGGCGCCCCTTTCATCTGATCCCCTTCAAGGACAAGAACATAGCCAGGTGCCACTACAGTAGGGAAGAAAGGGTGGCAGAGAAACGATCTCAGAATTAAACACTCTCATTCACCCAAACACGGTACTATTTCTTCCCATGGTCTTAGAAGAAGCTCATTTTCTGCCTTCTTACAACCTTTTGTTGCCTTTATGATCTCACCAAGCCAGCACTAGCAAGTGGGCCTCTGCGTAAACAGTTTGGACAGCTGTAGTGATTTTCTAGGACTAGTAGAGGTGTGTCTCTCTCATGTAAGTGTATAGAAAGATAAATTCCTGTACAGAATGTATGGACTGTCCCTTAAATGTACACACATATGAGTGTGTAAGGGAATGTGTCACAAAACAGTCAGCTCTCTGTCTCCACCTTTTGGCCTTTTCACACTAAACGTGCTAACTCTTACCAGATTCCATCAGTCTGAGTTGTTGAGAGCGCACAGCGTCCCTGACTCACACGTCGCTTTGTACATATTGTTCACTCACTCAGGAGGGGGCTGCAACAAGTTTTGACGCCTTGGCTGTTTTGTGTTGTCTTAAGTCTTAATGAATGTTTCCTTTGGTTCACGATAAATGTACAGGTTCAGAGTGAGATGCTCTGTCTGTGTAAATATGAATTCAAAGCACAAGTTTAAATCGAGAGGACTGTGGACAATCATGAAATATCAATCACTTAAAATGATCCTACAACATTCCAGGTGCCCCTCAGAAACAAAGGTCTTAAAGGAGTATTATAAATCCCTTAAATGAGTCTGAACTGTTAAAAAAAAATCCAAGAGGGTGATCTAGAGGCATGCCCACTCAGTAGAACTAGACACAGGGAAAGCCAGCCTTAGTGATGGAGCCGTCAGTCCTCCTTCTGTTTTTAATATCTGCATTTTAACAGTAACAAAGTGTGCTTGTTCAGCTTATTTGCCTTATTGTAATATTGAATTAGAACTCTCATTTACACAGACTACAGCTACTTCTAACTTTAGCCCAGTCTAAAGAAGTAAACGTTCTTTTACAGTGGGTGTATGTTTTGTGGACAGAATTGCTTTTATGGTTTACACTCTGTAGCTTTGGATAAAATCCGTAGCGGTTCGAGCTTCATGCTGCAAAGGGCTACTTCAGTACTGCTCACACTGTGTTCATTATACAACATGACATTCCACTTTAATGCTGAACGGACAGGAAAAAAAGCAGCTGTGACGACCTGTTGGGAAATGGGTGTAGATAGAATGATAGATAGCTGATCCTATAGTAGAGTTGGAAGAGTGCCTTGTACAGAAACAATACTATTGTGAAAAATTCAATTTGCACTGCATAGATTAAAACCCTGACCTGAACCCAGGATGAGAATGAATTGAGACCTTTAAAATATTAACAGAGACAGCGTTTTTTTTTCTCTCCAAAACAAAAAGAAATGCTCAACTATTTATTTTTGTATTATTGACGTTCTGGTTGCAGACAGATTTGTAGGCTACCTTAGCATTTTTATGAGTAACAGTCCCTATCTCTCCCCTTAATCTCTCTCCACCCTGTACTGACTTTGTAAATTTCACCTCTTAATGATGGAGGATGTACAGAAGAGACTGTTCTTTAACGATAGATTAAGTGATCTCTTACCGTCCTGTGGAAAGGAACTGAATGTCTACACTTAAGTGCGCTGCAATAAATGAGTTTGTGAAATGATTGATAACAAAATGTGTCCTTTTCTTTTACCTCTGTGCCTGTATTGTTCAGTGATATACTTCCTCTTCATCTCTGATTTATCCACTGCAGGTCTAAGGGTCAAGGATCATCAGCAAATCTGTTTTTCAGACTATCCAGGCACAGGTCTTTGTCTGTATGATCTGATATGATCTATTGCTCCCTTTAATCCTCTGATGATATACCGCTACTGTGCTTTTGTTTTCATATCCACTCTTGTTATATTGGTTGAAGTCATGCTTGTACATGTAATAGTCTACAGCAGTAGTTCTCAACTGGTCTCATGCTGGGAACCACATTTTCCCATGGTCCTTAAGTCGCGACCCACTTTTATACAATTCAAACCAGGCAAATTTATTTTTAAAAAAAAACTTCGAAGTCGCAAATGTTAAAGATAAATACACCCATTTTGAGTAAAGTGCATTTTAGAGCACATGAACTAGAAAAGACAATTACTTAAGTTGCATCTACAGAAAATATAAAGTAGAAAATTGCGCAAAATAAAGACAAAAAAAAAAATTTCACTGCATTCAGGCCACATTAATAAGAAACAGAGGAGGACCACGACATAACGCGTGCCTTTCAAAATAAAAGACGTCAAACATCCGATGCGCATTATATACTTACTTTTTTGACCAGCTGTTCGCGACCCATCCAGAACGTGTCGGTGACCCACTTTTGGGTCGGGACCCACCAGTTGAGAACCACTGGTCTACGGTGTATTTGTAGGTTGCGCGCGCACCTTGTAGTGTTTGTACACAAGAAACACGTCTATCCTTCCGCTTCACAAAGTAGGCCATATTGGGAAGCGTCATGACTGCGTTGTCGGCGCACTAATACGTTAATTGATGGTTTAAAAGTCTCAGGTGGGTGAGTTGGGTGAACCGGAACCGTATTACTCGCCGAGTGAGCGTCTCGAGGACAGGTAAGGATGTCAAAGAGGCGGACGAGAAACACAAGAAATGGCCAAAGTAAAGAGCAGTTTGACCGGGGGATGCGACAGAGCAGACTGGACCTCTTTATCCAACAATTCGAGAAAGAAGGTTTGCTTTTGACAGCGTGTAAAAATGTCAGGTTTTTCAACTCGTAGACTTCTGTCCTGTTGAACTACAAAAGCCAAAATGTGTACCTTACAGCTCAAGAGCGTATAAATGAGTTGTGGGTCCGAATGGAGAACACGTTGGCAACAGTGGACAAGGTTTTTAAAGTTGAGCTGATGAAGATGCCGCCTTCACATCGAAACAATCTTATAGGGGATTTAATAAGCGGTAAGAGCACTTCATTCACATGTGAAATAAGTTGTCACTCTGTCATCCAAGCATTCATTGAATTGGTCATTTATTTGTGTTTCGCTTGTAACAGAGGAGGACATTTCTACAAGTGAGGTGTCCATTGTAATGAAGGTGAGCTGAGTCCTTTCTTAGGCCGCACCTGCTGCCATTTCTGAATATAAAAGGTGTAATCCGGCGTTTTTCAGAATGAGACCCTGGAGGTAAACCAGTCCCTCAAGAGGGTTCCAAGTAAAAAAGGTAAAATAACTTCATTTATGAAGATGGCTACAGTAGTTTCAGATCCTGAATTAACACCCATCCACTGTGCTTTCATTTCAAGCAAGATCAACTGATTCTCCCCCGGTTCCGCCCACTCCAGTCCAGAGGTCTACTTCCAAAACCTCAAAGGTAGGGAAGTAACAGAGTTTATGAAACTGAACTCCTGTGTGCTTGATTGCAGCAAAGAAAGTGTCAGGAAATCTGTTTTTAATGTTCTGTTGTCATTGTATTAGGGAGGAAAGGGGACAAAGAAGACCAGAACATTAGTTGGGAGTAACAGCACTGGAAATCTTAGGTAAGTTTTGGTGTTGTCAGACGGGGGAATTGGAGTGTTACCATGGTACCATACAAAAAAGTATAATCCAACTGGATATGGTAAGGTGGAGGGTGAAACAATATGGTATGATACAGTGTGACACAATACCTGATAACATAGTCAGTGATGATAAAACACGATAATATCTAACCAACTGAGTTTTAATGTTATTTTCAACAGGGGCTCCTCAGTCATTTCAAAAAGAACTCAGAGCCGAGTGACCAAGACCAGTGACCAGACCCTGTCAACCAAACCCAAACTCAGGTCTGTTTGTACTCTAGATGTGGTGTGTAGCAGTTTCATTCAGACATTGACTGTTGTGTCTGACTGTTGTGGTCCAGGTCTGTCGTCTCCACCGGTGATCTGCACTGTTCAGTGGGAGCCTCTGCTGCACACATCACCGTAACCACAGCGCTGGGACAGGTTCTCATGTTTGTTTACCTCGTACCAGCTTTTGAGGAAGCAATGCTTTATAATTCTTCTCCAGGGTCCTTCTCAAACCCATCATGATCAAGATTTTGTTCTTGATTTTCATCAGTAGCATGCATGCTGAAGATGTTTGTCTTTTTTTGGCTAGACTGTCAGTTTCTCAGAGGAGACCAAGGATGATATAAACCTGGATTTGCTGGATGATGTGGCGTGGTGCCAGATTCAGAAGCTTACGGTAACACAAAGAAGTATTTGTGCTATATATATATATAGAACAACACACTTGACTCATGGGAAATAAATCTCCAGGCGTTCAAAACTCACTAACCAATAACTCTTCGCTCTAAACTGGACTTTTCAGAGTCTTATGGCCTGTCTGTCGAGGCGAAGTCGCTGCCAGCAATAACTAAAGACACACTGGCCACCACCATGACCTGGACTAAACACCAGTGGAATATTTAATTTATTTGACAGCAGTTTTACTTTGGTTGTGCTTGTGAGTTTTAAAAATATAATAAAGCTTATTTGTATCATGTAAGTTACTTGTCAGTTTGTTGAAAATAAAATACAAATCAAGTGCAATGAGTCAACTTTGATATGATTAATATGATATTAATATGATTTAGCATTTACTCTGAATGAAATTCTGTACAGTGTTAATCAGGACAGTCGTATGCTTTGACATTTTAAAGACTCATTGTACTCATTACTTAAAAAAACGAACACCGAGTTGATGACTGTACCATAATTTCTAGAAAAAATTTAAGAAAAGCAAATTTCTCATTCCAGTGATGTTTATTATGAGATAACAGCAGGTTAAGGCTTTGCCAGTATTGTAAAACTATGCAGAGAATTAACAGAACTTAACTGTAAGAGATTTGATCAAAATATATTTGTAAAAAATAAAAAAAAGGATTAAAAGAAAGTTAATCTTTTCTTCTAAAACAGTAACTTTAAAATTAGGGAATGAAAGCAGTAATAGACCATTAGTGCGGCTTTGACTGAAAGGACTGCATCTCCACTTCCATAGGCTCTTCTGAGTGTGTCTGGCCGGAGGGAGCTGTTGGTGAGCAGCAGGTCGCAGAGACTGGTTTCTGGCTCGGTTCTGGCTCCATGCGGGGGTAAAACGGACCGACCAGCCAGTTAAGTGGCGTGTTATTGATCAGATAATCCATGACGTGGTCTAGGGAATCTTTCATCTGGTTCAGGTGGACTTTGCTGCTGGTCAGCACACTGTCAGGCAGGTCTCCCAGCACCTTTGCTTTGCTGAAGCTGTTGTAGATGTGTGTGGCAGAACCACTGAGGGAGAGCGCCTCCTGCTGGATGTTGTTCGGGAGACCCTGGAGGCTGGAGACGAGGCCTTGACAGGTGGTCTGGAGCTGCTTGGTGAGGGAACGAGCCAGAGCCAGGGTGCGAGACTCGATTGCCTGAGTGGAGGGAGTGAATAGAAATGATCTTACTTGAAGTTTTTCAAACACAAAGAAGACTGCTATGTTAAACATTTTACCTAAAAAAAACTTGAATGTTTTTAGTGTACACCCCCTTACCTCTGCCTCATGACTGTTGTCCTGGTTTGAACCACTGGACTTCCACCCCACCAGAGAGCTTAGCTTATCATTTACCATCTGGTTAGCCCCGCCAATATTCTTTCTGCCATATTCAATCTGATGAAAACAAACACATAAAATGTTTAATTTCTCTTCACAAGCAGTTAAATTATTCATTGTACCAAAAATCCAGTTAATGACATACCAGGTCAACAGTGGTGTTCAGCTCAGAAATGAATTTCCTGCTTCTCTCCTTGCCGTCTTGGATTTTGGTCAGGGCCCCGTTGTACGCCCGCTTCCTAAGCTTGGTGGAGAGGGAACCGAGCCGAACATAGTAGCTCGTCTCCTTGTTGTCAAAGCCACTCACATTTTTCGCCTCCATCTCTGTCATGAGGTGGGAAAAAGGGGATAAATAACATCAGACCACTTTTGAGGTCTGTTCAGGATACGCTGTAATGTTTCTGAATGTTCTTTAAAGCCATGAAGAATGTAATTAAGCACTGGTCAGTTTTTTCCAAATGGATCTCTCTAAATCAACAAGACTGTTTATTCTTAACACAGTTTGTTTGAAACAATGATCCCTTTTATGATGCAAAAAAACAAAATGACAGCATTATCTGGTTAGATCTGCTTTTCTGGAGACTGGACCAAATCCATTATTAACACATACTTTAGCAGCTTGGTAAAGGCTGACCCCTGGTACAGCTTGTTACAGAAAAACAACTTTAATCTCAACTTTATTTGCTTTTTATTTTAAAAAGATAATTTCAAAGTCATGAAGCTGTTCACTAAAAAAGGATGAGACATGATTGGTTGTAGGTGTTTTAACTCACCCAGCTCATCCTCTGTCAGAGGCAGATACTGCTCCACCAGACTCTCAGAGGTGCTGAGGGCTGTGTCCACGCCGCTGCTGACCAGCTGCACCACTCTGCTTTCCAACACTGTGACCACACCTCCGCTGACGACCGCTCTGGTCTTCTCCATCCCTCCGTGCATCGCCCCTCGAGTCTTCTCCACAGCGCTGGTCAGTGTGTCTGAAACGGTGTCTTTGGCACCTGACACTTTTCCTGTCACAACATCTTTGGCACTGGTAACCACATCCTTGGCACTGGAAACAATCTGAGAAAACAAAATAATAGAATCAGAATCCCCTTTATTGTCATTATACTGAAGGTACAATGAGATTGGAGAGCTTCTCCATTTTCAGTGCGATAGATATATAAAAAAAAAAAAACAGAGACTGAAGTAAAGTACAAAATAGTTGTAAGAAAAAAAATAATAGGTACGTCTATAAACAAGATGAAATAAAATACTGTGTGCAGTGAGTATAGACAGTGTAATGAAAACTATATACAAGAATAGGAAAGGAGATAAATATTAAATTAAATTTAAAAAAAAAAGTTAAAATTTTTTAAATTAAAAAAATGAAATAATAAATTCTTGATATGTATCTCCTTTCCTTTTTAGATTACAGTAAAGCTAAAGTTGGGAAAGGACAGGGGTGCATTACTTCCTCAGAAGTTGCGACAGCATTCTAGAAATTACTAAACACACAGCAGACGTCAGCATCATTGTTAAAGTTATTCACATATCCACTTCATACCTGCTCAGACGGCTGATGAAGAATCGGCAGAGTTTTCTCAATCTTATCCAACCCTTTGCAGGCCAGGTTATTGGCAATGGCAACTGTTGGTAACAAGAAGTTTAAAGTGAATAAAGAATAAAAATAAAGGATGCCATCAATCAATCAATCAATCAATCAATCAATCAATCAGTCAGTCAGTCTTTATTTGTAAAGCACTTCTTATACAAAAATGAATAAAAGAAAACCCTTATCTACCCCAACCCAACCTCTCATTCCCACCCCGCAATCTTAGCACAATAGAAACGTGTATTAAAATGCATGAACTTAAAAAGGGCTCGATTTCAAATAGGACTGTGCGCACTGACGGAACGCTATTTTAAAATCAGAATAAAATTCACGATAAAAGACACACTGTAGATTTAAAATCTAAAAACAAAGTCACATAAAAGGAAATTTAAGAAATAAATAAAATGAAATAAAAACAACAGTAAAAGATACTAACTTAAGAGCACCAAAATAGCTCAATAAAAGATGATCCTGTCATTAAAACTAGAAGAAATAAATGCTAAAACACTACAATTTAGTTAAAAGCAAGACTAAAAATGTATGTTTTCAGTTTGCTTTTAAATTCATCAAACAAAATTTTATGTTAAAAAAAAATTAGGCAGAAAAGTGAACAAGTGTTATGATAAAAAGATTAAGATGCCAAGTTTTATCAGGGTGAGTAAACAGAAAAACTGGGTGAAAGATCATGATGAGTCAGAGGCGATCGCCTGACCTGAACTTCCTGTTTTATGGTCTGACTGACTCAGCTGGACAGCTCAACGTGTCAAATCTCACAGTTTCAGTTTATGAAATCCTTGACTTTAAAGACATTATCTGAAGGGTAAAGTGTAAAGGGTTCTTACTCTGAGGCTCCAGCTTGTAAATGATGGGTGAAGCTGTGGTGTAGACCACAGAGGTGATGTTGCGGACCCCTTGTTCAGCAGCCTCACACACGGTCTTGAGGTACGGGTGGGTGTCCTTGGTGTTGCAGTACATGCTGGACACCAGGCCATAGGTGGAGCTCACTAGAGGGAGACTGCTGACCCTCTCCACCACATTCTGTAAGAAAATACACATGACATGTCAACAATTTTACTCTATTTTTCATCCAAGGTGTACTCAAGTGCAAGAGGGCATTGACCTGTCTAATCTGAGTAGACTTTACCTTAATATACTGTAATAACAGAGGGAATGATATCATTTATATCAACTTTCTGTTTCTCAAATGACGAACAAAGCCAGCTAAACAACTTCTCTTTAACTTTCCAGCAGACTTACTTGATTCGAGATGACTGCGACTGCTGCCATGTCTGTTGAATCGCAACCTAGAAAGATAAACAAAACAAATTGCGTGTCTAATAAGAATAATACGACTTTTTAAACAATATAACCCAAAGGAGAAAACTGTCTATTACTTCCGTGTATTAAAGCAGATCGTAATTTTAAGAAGTCACAAAAAAACAGTCTTATTTACATGGAGAAAACATGCTGAGGCGACATCTGACCTATATTCTAAGTCATATGAACAGTACATTGAAGGAACTCACCGATAGTATAGCTGGTTTCCAAGTATCAATGAGCTGACTGATGATGTGTGGGAAGCGGCAGCAGCTGTATTTATAATCGGTAATTATCGCGAGATGTGGCACGGCCCAATGACGTCAGTTATGGTACGGTTTCTAGGGCAAAGGTAAAAAGGGTAAAAGTTTAGTCGGGGAATTCCAATTAAAGCAGACTTCACGTGAACGAGGTATTACGCCCTGATTTCTCAATGTTTCATAAGACGAAGATATTTTTGGGTGGAATAAAGATTGCCTTTATCCCCCTCTATGGACCTCTGGTGACAAAAAGGCTTAAAAAACAGTCATACATCAACTACAAAACATCCACTGTTGAGCTAAAAGACGATACACGACTGCTGTCTCCTCCAGGGGGCTTAAAGACAAAAGTTGCCCAAGTAGAGAGCCCCTACTCATATATAGATTCAAGGATTGAATAGATTAGAATATAAAAACTTTATGTGGTGTAATGAAAGATGGAAAAATGCTCAGTTTTGAAACAATTAGAAGGACACTTTTATTAGAAAAACAAGACTCCCATCGACATCTGCAGTTACGGCATTATGTTGATTGAATTGTTCACCTGCACTAAACAGTATACTGTATATATATATAGATAATAAAGATAATATACATAATTAGATATTTAGTTTTTGTTGTATAGTCTATTCATACCTGCAGTAACCAACACTGTGTATGTATTTTTAGCATATTCATGGCACACATACACACACACACACACACACACACATATATATATATATATATATACAGCTCATACCTGCACTGTCCATTTGTACATACCTTGCACTTTACTACCTTGCACTTCTGGTTAGATGCTAAACTGCATTTCATTGGTCCTGTACTTGTACTGTGTTTTAATCTAATCTAATCTAATCTGATCTAAAAGCCTGTAATTCAGATACTACTGATAGAACTGTTTCATGCCTGTGTAAGTGTCTCTTAGATTTGAAATCACATTCAGCTTCATATATTAAAATTAAATGGGAGACAGAAGGAGAGATAAATATATCCAAGGAGGTATCAATGGATGTGTACCAGCCCGCAAAAATGGAGGGAGTTTGAGTGGAAGAGCCTAATTAGATACTCTATAACACCCCTCCAGAAATCTCACTATGACAGTAACTCTCCTGTCTGCTGGAGGAACTGTGGAAATCAAAACCCGAAGCACTACCATGTTTTCTGGGACTGCCCTGTCATGAAAGACTACTGGAGAGAAATTCACAATGCCCTACAGGATATCTTCAAATGTGTAATACCCCTCGAGAGTAAGACTATGTTTTTTGGATACATACCTCAGGAATGGCCAAAAAGAGAAAAACATTTAATAAGTATCTTGCTGGTGGCCTATAAAAAGAGTAAACTTTAAATATTTGGATGGACACTTATAAAATGGAAAAGATATCAGTATTTGTTAATCACAAATTGGAGAAATTCACATCATACTGGAAAAAATGGGTCAATTATGTCATGCCTCATGGGCCAGATTTTATTTTCACAAACCAGTGGCCATGATGTAGGAGAAAGTTCACTTCCTTCTGATATATAGTTCTTTTAAATTTATTTATTTATTTATTTAATTGTTGTTCTTGTTTTGGTTGTTTGGTTTTTCTTCACATTCAAAAAAGAAAATTAAAAAAGAAAACCGAAAAAAGCAAACCAAAAAAACAAAAAGGTTCTCTTATAGTCTCCCTACATATACTGTGCATCATCAATAATCATGAAAAATTCTAGGAAGTAGGTTATTTAGTGGGTCAAATTTCTTCATGTAGAGCAAATGTTATTTCATGGCTTTAGTCAGCTGCTTTCACTGGCAAAAATAAGATAACTAAAGAAGTCTAAGGCCCATTTTCAACAATTGTTATGAAGTCACCACAGCTTTACTCATGTTATTTTTTACAGATACATCTATTTTTTAAAGTTAATATAAGAAATTTGACCTAACACTTGCTTAATACATTTCTGATGACTTTTTAAATGGCCTGAATAGTACCATATGCCAGAGGTTTACCCGCACATCAACATGTCTATGTTTGCCAGTAGCTCATCAGAGCCACATGTGTGACTCTGCTTCTAATTTGAGGGCAGCTCAATATTTTTTCAACGTGTCAGAGCTTATTTCTGTCAAGAATCTTTTTTTTTTTTGCATGTGTTATTAAAAATGTAAATTGAGTGCTAATGCGGTTTCTAGGATACAACACATTTGGACGCCAGATGAGGAAACGTGGGCTTAGTTCAGATACTCCAGTTGGCTCACACATTTGTGGTCCTGGATTCTGTGGATGAATCCCTTGAGGCCCATTTATCAGCCCTTGTATAACTAATAAATAAACCCCATATGAAAATGTTGGCCGCTGCAAACCACAGACTCTAATTTTAATAAGATTCTGTCTGGTGAAAGTTCAAAGATGAAGAGCTTGGGGTAGACAGATTAATTTAGGAACTATAAACTAATCTGCTTTTGTTATATATAGTACGCAGGCCTCTTTACACACACGCACACACACACTCCACGCAGTTTTGGACATTGATCTGCCTTTACCTCATTGTCCACGTCATATCTTTTTGATTGCCTTGATCAGTTTTTATATGGTTTGATGGCAAGCAAAGTACAACCACATGAAAAATTACGACTCTCTGGGGTCATACGATGAAGTTTCTCGGTTTTAGAGGGTGTTATGTTTGGCTTGCAGTTTATTTGTGATAAAAATTAATTGTAGGCTTAAAAGGTTATGATTGGGTTGACATTTTTCAATTACGGGAACGTGAAAATATTGTGTGATGAGGTCCGGTTGAAACATGAGCATGTGCAGGAGGTTCTGAGTTTCATCAGGGACGTGTTTCATTAATGCAGTTCTGTGAACCCTCTAATGAACAGGACGACAAAAGGCTTTGTGTAGGTTCATATACTGTTAATGAGAAGATTGCATCATTTGTTTTCACCATTATAAGCCCAGTTAAATCACAACACCCACTAAAATTTTCTCAAGTTGTGTACAATGTCTACAAACAGCTGAGCAGTAGATATGAAAGTGACAGATTTTCTGAGCTGTTTTTGATCTGTGGTTGACTTGTCACCCCGAAAATCTGTTTTTAAACTTCCAAGAAACTGTTTTTAGTCAACACTGCTGCTCCTCACACAATTTAAAAAAAACAAAAAACACAACTGTGATTATTTATTTTACATATTTTAAAAGTATCTGTATCACCTGTTGGCTATACCTGATATGAGTTGTGCTCCGAAATGTCAAGATTTCTTAACATTTCTTTCTGCAACTATAGATTTACGCCACTAGATGGTACCAAAGTAGACCAAGTTCCATAATAACCATCATAACCTGTCTTCATCACTCACTTCCTTTCTCCCCTGCTTACTATTTTAAATACTTCTGTTTTAGTTTAAATAATTGTGTCAAATCTTTTCACTGTTTTTTGAGTACCTTAAGTTGTTTTCGACAACTGAGAGCGTGGTAATGTCAGAGGAGCAAACTCAGGTTTTATTAATCCATGCCTTAAACTTCTTCAAACTTCCCAAAAATTTCAGAGTGAGCTGCATGTGGCAGAAATGTTCACCCCTATTTTACCCAGACTTTTTCTAACCAGCCTCCTGATAATTTTTTTGTAACAAGCCTGCGATCTCAATGTTGAAATTTTCTTGAAAACAGGGAACAATTACATCTGAACATCCAAGACCAAATTCCAACCAGTTACAACATCAGTGTCCTGAAACACATTTTTGGAGAACAGTTTTTTTTTTGTGGGCAAAGAGAGACTGGAAATTATTATTTTGACAGTACTTCTTTCATTTTCCAGCAGTAGTTTAAATCCTATCCACATATAATGTAATTTGATCATGTTTTACACAAATCATAGCTGCAGTTCTTTGTGAGCAAAAACAAAAACTGAGGCATCTTACAGAGACATCTCTCCAATGAAGAAGGAAAAAGAAGACCTACATACATACTGGGACGTCATTGGCTGGGCTTGATGATTGACAGCTGATAATAGCTGACTGACATACGACCTGGTGCCCTCTCTACGTTGTTTTAGTCCATGTCTGTGATGCATCTAATCTGATCATTTTGACTGCTTTATGATGCCACTTGAAAATTGCTGTTAGATTCCTGGTGAAAACAGAAACATCTAAAGAGAAAAGACCGATACTGTGAATATAACTTTTTACACATAGTCTCGATATAAAGGACTGGAAACATTAGGTCTGCCTTTGCTTTGTCAGTCATCTTGGATTACTTGTACTTATCCAGTGATTGTAGCATCCTTTTCACATCGTGTCTGACTCCTACCCACCTTTAACCTGCCTGGAAATACTTTAAACAGTGAAACATGAGTGAATAAGCTACTTTGGAAATTTTTAACATTGGAAACAAATTGGGAACAGTAAAATTAGAAATAATCCCTCAGAGTACAGCATGTAGAAACTGGATAATTTGGTAGTATCTACATTGAAACACTCCCATGGTCGTCCCTCCACTTGATGCAGCAACGGTGGCCTTTGAGGATAAAAAGCTCCTGGATTTTTAGATTCAGGTGATTTTACATAATTCTACCAAGTCTGTTTTGTTAAAAGTTGCTAAATATGATTAACTGCAACCTTAAATGTGCATTTAATCGACCTGTATGTATCTCCTTTTGTTTTTTACAGACAACAAAGATGAAAAAAAGATCAGCGATTGAAGCTCTGCCCTTTTGTTTCCTGAGGGCTCTCCTGATGTGCAGATGGCATCGGAGTTTACACAGTCTGAGGAGATCCTCTCAGGACATCCCTCCATTGTGCCCTCAGAGACAGGTAGGGCTGCAGGCAGCGTGCCAAGCCTCCTGGCTGGGTAACAGATACCTGTGGGCTGCTGGGAAAGTGTCACACCTCCGGATCACACACAGTGAGAGGTGGCGGGTGAGGAGAAAGACAGAAAAGAACGAGAAAGACAGAGGGAGAGTGGCTCTTTAGATCACGAGGAAAAGACGCAGAAATGTGGCTTTAGAGCAGAGGAGAAAAGAACGTGACATGTCTGTGGTGCGGCGGTATGCTTTGGTTAACTCTAGCCTCAAACACGGTGCTGTCAGACAGACAGAGCAGCCTGAGATGACCGAGAGTCTGCTGGACTGTCCATCAAACCTGTAACCATGTACCAAGGACTCTATTAATACAGAGGATTAACAGTCACTTTCAGTCAGACAGATACACTACAAACATATACATTACATTACTTCATTTATATGCTTGATGCTTGTCATAGGAGATGATTGAATTAAAGGAATGTTCTCTGACTTTTCCAGCCAGGGTCTTTGGCCTGTTGGTCACATAAACTTTGTACTTGTATTCAAGTATCACACTTTGTCCCTGCGGCGAATTCACAGGCTGGTGAATGAGCTGGGAACCAGAATAAGAATCTATTTGTGGTAGTAGCTGGCCAGAGCTGTTTATTATTGTTTACTAAGAAAGCTGAGAGAGCTCGGAGGGAAGTAGTGCACTTGCTGTCCTGTGAGAAAGCTGCAGGTGGTCAGCTGATACCTGGTAACTTTAAATTAGGTCTAATCAAATCTTTTCAGTACGGAAAAGCCAACAACTATAATGTTAAATGACCCAACAGGCCAGATATGATGAGGATCCATGCCAATATTTGCAAATCCTGCAAATACAACTACATGAGATGAGATTTTCTGTCAAGGCTGGAGCTCAGACTTCTGTAGAGAGTCTTTAGTCAAATCAGCTGCACAGAATTCATAACGTTTGTCCAGAATTTTTCATTTTTTGAAACTATGCAAACAGGAATGTATATACTCTTAAAAACATTGGGTTAAAAACAACCCAATTTGGGTAGTTTCACAACCCAGCCCTGGTTAAATATTGGACGGAACACATGCTGGGTTAATTTGACCCTACTAATTGGGTTGGTTCACTTAACCCAACAGTTGGGTTTTTTAAACCCAGCATTTAGGTTGTTAATATTTAATTTAATTTTGAATTACATTTATACATCAGATTTCATATAGCGCTTTACATTGTATACATCATTCATTCGCTCACATAGTCACACCTTGGTGGTGGTAAACTACCTTTGTAGTCACAGCTGCCCTGGGGCTAGTTTGCGCCTATGGCCTCTCCGACCACCACCACCACACAACACTCACAATCATACAGTAGTGGAGGACACACACTGGGAGCAAGGTGGGTTAAGTGTCTTGCCCAAGGATACTTCTTCTTTCGTGTAACGTCAGAGGTTCCTCCCCAACCCAGCAGCGGCATGGTGGCTGTCTGGCATGAGTCTGGTCCTGCTCAAGGTTTCTGCCTGTTAAAAGGAAGTTTTTCCTTGCCACTGTTACTCATGTTAGGTGAGATGGGCCGAAACCCATGTTAGGTTGGTTCTTGATAATTCGTCAAACAATGAGCATGGTCTCAACCTGCTCTTGTTCTTTGAAAAGTGTCTTGGAATGACGACTGTTGTGAATTGGCACTATATAAATAAAATTTGATTGACTGATTGATTGATTGAACTTGGTGTCATGTAGCCATGCCAACATCTCTGGTCCTAGGTCAAAGAGGCTGGCTTCTGAAGGTGGTCTGTACAAGGGGCAGGTGCTGGTTATATGGTTGGCAGTCTGCTCAGGGTCACCGCACTCACAAGTCTGCACTGTCCACCAGGCCCCACTTCCTCATTGATGTTTTAAAGTGACCAATCCCAGTTCTGAGGCGGTTCAGTGTTGTCCATTGCCAGTGTGGTATGTCGCCTCCTACATCCTGAATGTAACAATGGATGTGAGAAGGCCCAGCTGACTTCCACTCCTGCTTCCAAGTTGCTGCCAGCCAAGCATCTCTGGAGATGTCCTCAGAGGTGGAATTGAGCATCTCTTGCGCTGCCTTGTTGTAGGGGTGGCGGGATTTGAGTCTGCTTGGAGGTGCTGCTGTTGTTGTGATGTTGTGCAGGATATGCCAATCATGCCTTTGTGCCTTCCTGGCCAGGGCAAGAGTGGCAGCCTCCCGTCAGAGGACACAACAAGGACACACTCGAGATAGTGGGAAGTGAGATAGTGGGAAGCAATAGTGGGAATGTATCAAAACTTGCTTTGCACGTCTCCTCGCTTCATCAGTTGTGGCATCAATCTGGTGAATAGGTGGTGCTTGGTTTCAAATGCCCAAACGTCTACCCAATGTGTTGGACAATAAACCAACAAAACTGTATAGAAATTACAACCCAACAGCTAATAACTCTGTTCCCAACATGAATAACCTTGCGAACTGGGTACTCCGAATACCCAACTCCATGAAAATAACCCAAATAAATTGACCAACAGGCTCAACCTAGTGGTCGGGTTGAAAAAAACAACTCAGCATTTTTTTTGTGAGTAGAAACTCAAATTCCTAACTCATGTCACCTTTTCTGCAGACATTAGAAGTACAATTGCAGTCGTTTGCTGTACACCCATGAAGTTTTTCTGTCTGCGTTTGTACAGCTCGACCGGAGAACGTGGTTTTCCTCTGTTTAAAATGTAGGCATCTTATTACATTTGCACAAAGGCAAACAACACTCTCAGAAAACATAATACAGCGTAGTACAGTGATTGTATTGGACCAACATGAGAAAGGAAAATGAAGTGAATAGTGCTGCGTTTCTAAAGAAATGTCTGGCTGTCATTTTGATCAAGTAGGGGGTGGACTGAATATTGGCTGTGTCCGTGTTGTCAGACTGAATTTACACAAGAGTTTCAACATCTGGGACAGAAATAGCTTCAAAACGTTTTGTTACCCTGCTGCTAAATTTGGCTGTGTTATTCTTCCCAGCTTCAAACTCAGCTCCAAAGCTGGAGAGGTCGTGCATGCAGAAATGAATTACATTTTAACAAGATGCCTGCCCTCTAGAAATAACCATTACTTCAGCCTTTAATAAACAACAGATCTACGCAGACAATGTGTGTTTAACGCGGCTGTAACTGCAGATTTATAGCCGCAGTGTAGACAAACAGACAAGAGTGGGGCTTGTTAAGCAGGGCTCTGTGCACCTGTCGGATGTAATCCACAAATAATGACTCCGGCTCATTAACTAAGACATCCGAGTCAACCGTCTTCATTTCCCGCTGAGAGGATCAAACCAGAGAAATGAGTCAACAACTGTTTGAGGTTAAAAGTGTGAGAAAAGGTCAGCTGTGATGAGTTTTGCTTTTGAAAATGAGATCCTCATGGGACAACACCCTGAGCCCACTTCCACCGTGATGATTTTTTATAATGATTTTCTCAGGAAGGACAGAAAACGTCTCGTATTGCGCGGTCGCTGACCTGTGAGGCAGCTGTAATTGCTAAGCCGGGCGATGGGTGCATCCTTTGGAAAGGTCAGAAGGGAGGTGAGAAAATGACCACAGAAGGCCGTCCCCTACATGGGTCAGACACCATCCTACATGACCTCGCCATGTTTCCTTTTCGCAGGGCCGTGCTGGGATTAGCAGGCCGGCTGTTTGTGCTGGCAAAGAGGCAGCAATTCACAGCTATATTTTCTGGGTGCTGTTGCTGACAACCAGACCGAGTCTGAGTAATTATGATATAATTGAGAACGATCTAAAACCAAATGTCCAAGCTCTACTGTCCGAAGCAATGTTTACAGAAAACAGCTGCTTAAATAGGCACTTAGGAGGAATTAAAACAACATTTTTTATGTCCCAGCGTGAGTGTGTCTCTGTCTGTGTGCAAGTGTGCGTGGGCTGGCGATTTGGGCACCTACACAGACAAACTCTTTGTTTTGGAAGTGTTCGCTTAAGTCTTCGGGGGCAAACAGGAGCCAAAAACAACGTGGGAAATGGACTCTTGCTTCATTTCTGCCTTCTCTCCGGGCTTTTCCTTTGCGCTCTCTCTGTCAGACTGGTGTTCAGCTGGACTTTAGAGCGGTACCTGAGGCGTGCAGAAGTTTGGAGAGACCAAGGGACTGGTTTGGAGAGGAGAGAAGTCGTAATGGGAACCGAGTGGCAGCTGACAGCCAAACCAAGCTGTCTGTCATCCCTTTCTCCTTCCCCGTCTCATCTTTTAACACGTACACATGTTGTCAACAGGAGACCAGCACACAACCAAGCCTCTGCACAGGTGGTCTCTATGGGGAGCCAGTGGCCTGCAGTGCAGAACAAGCAACCACACTGGCAGAAGCAGAATTCACTGTGAGGTCTGGACCTGTGTTTCTTAAGTGTTTCATGACCATAACTACTCGCCTTCTCCGCTCAGCAATTAGTTTTTTTTCATATTCCAGGAAATGAAGGAGATGAGTCATATAAATTGTGATGCTCTGAGACAATATCAAGCACACATGTGTATCTGTGTGCCCCAAAAGCCTCATGGAACACCTGACTAATTACAGAGGAAGTATTGCTTATCCCACGCTCTTCATACAAACCAGGAAAAAGTGAAAGATAATCATACGTAAAGACAGTGCTGTATTTTTTAAACCTTTTCCATACAAGTTTGAAATGTGTTTGACTTATAAAAGTTATAAAAATGTATAAAAATATCTCCTGCTGAGTGTTAATAGGGGCTTGAATAAGTGCTCAATTATGTCTTAGAGGCCAAATTATGAGTTACACCAGGTAGGAATTTTCCTCAAAGTGGATATTTCTTCTTGAGTTCAGAATGAACTGCCTGCAAACACGAAGACACCAGGCAAAACAGTGAATTACCATGGAAACAAAGAGTCAACGTGAATAAACATCAACTATATACGGGCCTGTGTCCACTTACCTGCATTGATATAATGCTGGCAGCATCTATTCTCAGTACAAAACCAAAGCAGTTCAGGGTGTTTCTATGATTCTGATCTAGAGATGCCACAAATTTCTTTTTTAAAGGTTTATTTTCTTTATAAGATGTGCTTGAATAAAACAGCAATTTAAAACAGCTATAGTGGTGTTTTAGACAAAGAGCATTGGCACATCTTTTTAACCAAGCAACAGTGAGTGCTGGTGAGAAGTGCTTTAAAATTGTGGCGGAAACTGTGCCTGATGGACACAGGCCCTAAATGAACTTAAAAAATGTACAAACTATGTTTAATAAGGACTTATTATAGAGTTGACAGGCCCAATATTTAACACTCAACTCAATCCTTTTGTGTCCATATTAAATTTCGTACAGCCTTTAACTTTGCTGTCAGATTTTGCACTATTCTTAGATACGAGACATCAGTGTTCCCGTCAGGTCAATGATCTGCAAGTCATTGATGTATTGGGAATTTTGATAGATTTGCATCCAAATTTGACGCAATTGTAATCATCAGATGCCCAAGATTATTCAGCATTTACCGTATTGCTTGTAGTGTTTCTTGTAAATCTTCGCCTTCAACAGCTAACACAGTGTATTTTGATATAGTAAACATATCCTGTTGTGTCATTATGCAATGAAGAACAGGAAGAGCTGCATGCTTACTTTGAAGAAGCACTTCCATCAATCAATCAATAAATCAATCAATCAATCAATCAATCAATCAATCAATCAATCAATCAATCAAATATTATTTAAATAGTGCCAAATCAAAACAGTTGTTATCCCATTTGGCATTTTTGATTTAACTTCTAAAGTGGGTGAAAATCAGTAGCAGTCATGAAAACAGGTTAGTGAGGGATGCAGACTGCAGCTGTATGTAGTGTTGTAGTCAAGACCGCACCAACCGAGACCAAGACATTACCGAGACCAGAGAGGAGCGAGACCGAGACAAGACCGAGTGAAAATGCCTTCGATTCCGAGACAACACCAAGACCCTCAAAAAATGGTCTAGAGACCAAGACCGATCTTGTGTACTACAACACTATCTGTATGTGATCTGCTTGTATCCTCTGATTTAATGTGGTCCCAAAATACTGTTGTTACTAAGTCCCACTAATAACAGCGGGTAGTTTTTCCCTGTTTGTGGACACTGTAGTTGACACACCTGAACCAACGCAGGTGAAAGAACATGCATGAGTCCCAACTGAGGGTGCTTCTCATCGGCCAATCTTTTAACCTTACTATTTTTGATACAAATGCTTAGAAAAAATCACTCCCTGTATAACCGGTACTGGAAAAAAAACTGCATTTTTAGTGATTAATTTCTTGATGTTACCGCTTGTAGCTTGCCCCATTTGTAGCGATTGATTCTCTATAGCTTCCACTCCAGCATCTGGTTACTTTCTCCACAAGGGGCTGAGCTGACTGACATGGGATCATGTGGTTGATACTCTGTTGATACTCTAATTATTGAGAAGTACCTCGTCTTACCTCATTTAAAAAAAAAAGAACAATCCCTCTAGTGACGCCGTTCGTTCCCTCTGCCAGCAGCAGATTTACTGAAACAATAGATGCCCACATCTGAAACATAACTGCGTCCTTTACTTGTACTCTCTTTCTTGCCAAGGACTTGATTATTTTCTTCTGATTTTGGGCTGAGCTGTTTTATCCATGGAAAATCTGATGAGAATACAGCAGATATCTCAGGTTAACTTTGTTATTAGGTGACAGGAAATCCAGGATCAGTGTAGTATGATGCTGTAATCTTCTTATAGGGAACTCAATGCCAGTTATCTGATCGCTAAATTATTTGGGCAAATCTATGAATATTCAACCAACAGCATACTTGGTTTTGGACGTAAGCTCAGATTTGTGTGTAATTAGAAACTTCCTTGGAGAAAGACAGAAAAAATTATACCCTTAGTTTCTTAGGACAAGCTGACTGATCACTGGCAACAGTGTGAAGATTGCGGTGCCCACTGTCTACATTTCTGACTGGTGGTTTGTGGCATGATGCCCTCAGACAGTCTACAGTGGACACAACATGCCTGAAGGAAAACGATGCCTGCAGCTGAAACAGATCTGTACTGACAGATATACAGGTTCCTGAACACTAAGCAAGCCTGGCATTCCCCGGGACTCTGAGGCCCAGCAATGGCAAGAGCTTTCATTTCCTCTAGAGTCTCGAGCATGAGCAGACACACGTAGAAACGCACAGACACAAACACATTCAGATAGTGTGCCAAATTCCAGAGAGCAGTAAAAGCAATCAGGGGCAGATGAGGAAAGCAATCAAGTGGCGTAAACTGCATGCCAGGGTACACGAGCTAATAACAAGGTGCCACAACAACACTCAGATGAGTCTGTTTGCTTAATGGTTGAACTTTGAGAAAAAAGCTTATTTTTTTTGCCACAGGATAGATGTGAAGAAGAACAGCCTAAAAATGCTTTAGCTAACGGCCAAGAGACAAGTAAAGAGCTGGGCTGGCTTTGTGCTCAGAAAAGCCGTTCAGATTATGGATTCACCAGTAATATTTACCTAACATGAGAGGAAGGTAAGCCATTGTTAGGAGTACCCTGGTTTAGCTGCTGAAGAGTGTTCAAAAAGTTTAATTTTTCTCAGTCCAGGTTTTTCTCAGTTTTTCTTTGGGACATTTTCTAGGATGACCATAGGTCCTTTTTTACCTGGACATGTCTTCTTTTTGGGGGTCTGTCTGGGTTTGTTCGGCTTTGTCCAGGGAGTTTTTATAAAATCCTTCAAATGTCTGTTTCGAGTTTGTGTCACGTGGACTTACTGAGTTAGAAGCGTGTAAGACACTTGATTCAACAAGAAAAACTCTCATAATTAACTTCGTGCGACTATGTGACTCCGCCCCCGTGTAGTCAAGTCCTCTTTTTGGGAAGTCAGAATATGGTCACCCTAACACTTTCCTTTATTTGAAAGTGAAGGTCCTTTCACACCGGGACTGTTTTTGTCATGCGATTATTTCGGACGTCAATATTTTTTTTCGAACATGTATCCTGTCAATACAACCATTCACATCAGTGATGTTTTCCCGTCCTGCAATATTGCGGCATTTATTTTTTTGGATCACGGTCAATATATCTAAAATTTTGCATACTGTGTGTCCACTTCTGACCAATCAGATTGTGTGTTGTTGCGACATCAGATTCACCGGTATATCCAACATGGCCGACCGGCTGTTTGTTTACGTGTCGGAGAACAGAGTGCTTTTTGATAAAAAAACACAAATGTTACAAAGATAACGACCCAAAGGTCAATTTGTGGAGAGTCATAGCATCGCATTTTCATTTGACGATAGTTTGTGTGTTTTAACAGTTTGCTAAATGTCTTTGTTTTAACTTTCATCTGTGCTAAGTAACTTTAGCTCGTAAGCTAACCTGTTCAGATACAACATACCATATGTATTTTCACTGTCTCAAACTCAATTTTTTCCCCCCCGGAAAGTCGCAAAATCGTATCAGGCTTGATTTGTACAGTCAGGCGCGTCAAAATTCGCCCCGAATATTTCGTAGTTTCACGTTTTATATTCGCGTCTGCCCCAGTGTGTAAGGAAGCTACAGGCTACAGGAATTTGGGGTAAATTTGAGTAAAGCTTACTATCTCCTACATGCTACTTCATATCTTATTTAAAAACGCACAAGCGGTATTTCAGTTTCTTTGGGAGAAAAAAAACAAACCGGGTGTCAAAATGTGTTAGCTGCCTGTTTAATGCAAAAACAAGCTTGCTGGTGTCCCCCCTGAAGGGCATGTTCTTTAGCTGGTATCTGGCAAATTCCTGCCCTCTCTTTGAACACATGTGACAAGCAGCGCTTTGACTTTCAGGCCAAATATCACTGATCAAACAGCTATGTTTGGTGTCAGCCAAGGGGAGACAACTAGGTTACTCATGTGGGGGGCACTGACCTGCTCCAAGTATGTTTAGCTAGGAAACCAACACATGTACAGTACAAACTGTGGCCCTATTTTGCTCTTGCAAAGCCATACCTTTATGCCTGTAAGTTCATGCAAAGAAACTGGGGAGTAAATTGGTGGTGGCGACTTCTAAAACGGCCTGAAAATGGTGTTATTGAGCGCTGCCATCCCTCCCATCATTGCATTCAAACAAAAGATCTCAGCAAAAAGACTGTCATTAGCTTCTGCCTCAACCCCTTATTTGTCTCCCCACACAGAAAAGTCCCTGTAAGATCTAGTGAGCAAACAACTGACAGATGCTATTTAAGCTCCTAGAGCCCCTAAAAATACATTTGTGCTCCAGGCAGTGATTTTGCAACTGCACTGATTGGAGCTTGGAGCGACTGATCCCGCTGAACATGTCCATCAATATGAGTAACAGCATTTGTAATTTGAGGACGTGGCTTAGCTATGCATCGCCAGTCCCTGTGAATGT